TTAAATAAGGTGTGTGTTGATTTAATATGAGATGTGTATGGATGTAATATATAAGGTGTGTATGGATGTAATATAAGGTGTGCATGGATTTGATATGAGGTGTGTGTGGATGTAATATGACGTGTATGTGGATTTAATATGAGGCGTGTATGGATTTAATATGAGGTCTGTTTGGATTTAATATAAGGTGTGTATCGATGTAATATAAGGTATGTATGGACGTAATATGAGGTGTGTATGGATGCAATATGACATTGTATGGATGTTATATGAGGTGTGTATGGATGTAATATAAGGTGTGAATAGATATAATATAAGGTGTGTATAGATGTAATATAAGGTGTGTGTGGATTTAATATGAGGTGAGTATGGACGTAATATAAAGTGTGTATAGATGCAATATGAGGTGTGTATGGATGTGATATGAGGTGTGTATTGATGTAATATAAGTTGTGTGTGGATTTAATATGAGGTGTGTACGGATTTAATATGAGGTGTGTATGGATGTAATACGATGTGTGTATGGATGTAATATAAGGTGTGTATGGATTTAATATAAGGTGTGATAGATGTAATATAAGGTATGTATAGATGTTATATGAGGTGTGTATGGATGTAATATAAGGTATGTATGGATGCAATATGACATTGTATGGATGTAATATGAGGTGTGTATGGATGTAATATAAGGTGTGAATAGATGTAATATGAGGTGTGTACGGATTTAATATGAGGTGTGTATGGATGTAATACGATGTGTGTATGGATGTAATATAAGGTGTGTATGGATTTAATATAAGGTGTGATAGATGTAATATAAGGTATGTATAGATGTTATATGAGGTGTGTATGGATGTAATATAAGGTATGTATGGATGCAATATGACATTGTATGGATGTAATATGAGGTGTGTATGGATGTAATATAAGGTGTGAATAGATGTAATATGAGGTGTGTATGGATGTAATATAAGGTATGTATGGACGTAATATGATGTGTGTATGGATGTAATATGAGGTGTGTATGGATGTAATATAAGGTGTGTATGGATGTAATATAAGTTGTGTATGGATGTGATATGAGGTGTGTATTGATGTAATATAAGTTGTGTGTGGATTTAATATGAGGTGTGTACGGATTTAATATGAGGTGTGTATGGATGTAATACGATGTGTGTATGGATGTAATATAAGGTGTGTATGGATTTAATATAAGGTGTGTATAGATGTAATATAAGGTATGTATAGATGTAATATGAGGTGTGTATGGATGTAATATAAGGTATGTATGGACGTAATATGAGGTGTGTATGGACGTAATATGAGGTGTGTATGGATGTAATATGCCGTGTGTATGGATGTAATATAAAGTGTGTATAGATGTAATATGAGGTTTGTATGGATGTCATATAAGGTGTGTATGGATGTAATATTAAGTGTGTATGGATGTAATTTAAGGGGTGTATGAATGTAATATAAGGTGTGTATGGATGTACTATAAGGTGTGTATTGATGTAATATAAGGTGTGTATAGTTGCAACATAAGGTGTGTAAGGATGTAATATAAGGTGTGTATGGATGTAATATAAGGTGTGTATAGATGCAATATAAGGTGTGTATAGATGCAATATAAGGTGTGTATAGATGCAATATAAGGCGTGTATAGATGCAATATAAGGTGTGTATAGATGCAATATAAGGTGTGTATGGATGTAATATGAGGTGTGTATGGATGTAATATGAGGTGTGTATGGATGTAATATAAGGTGTGTATGGATGTAATATAAGGTGTTTATAGATGCAATATGAGGTGTGTATAGATGTAATATGAGGTGTGTATGGATGCAATATAAGCTGTGTATAAATGTAATATCAGGTGTGTATGGATGCAATATAAGGTGTGTATAGATGCAATATAAGGCGTGTATAGATGCAATATGAGGCGTGTATAGATACAATATGAGGTGTGTATAGATGTAATATGAGGTGTGTATAGATGCAATATAAGCTGTGTATAGATGTAATATGAGGTGTGTATGGATGCAATATAAGGTGTGTATAGATGCAATATAAGGCGTGTATAGATGCAATATGAGTTGTGTATAGATGTAATATGAGGTGTGTATAGATGCAATACAAGGTGTGTATAGAGGCAATATGAGGCGTGTATAGATACAATATGAGGTGTGTATGTATGTAATATAATGTGTGTATGGATGTAATATAAGGTGTGTATGTATTTAATATGGGATGTGTATGGATGTTATATGAGGTGTGTGTGGATGTAATATGAGGTGTGTATGGATGTAATATGAGGTGTATATGGATGTAAGATGAGGTGTGTGTTGATGCTATATTAGGTTTGTACGGATTTGATATGAGGTGTGTAGGGATGTAATACGATGTGTGTATGGAATGAATATAAGGTGTGTATAGATGCAATATAAGGTGTGTATAGATGTAATATAAGGTATCTATAGATGTAATATGAGGTGTGTATGGATGTAATATAAGGTATGTATGGACGTAATATGAGGTGTGTATGGACGTAATATGACGTGTGTATGGATGTAATATGACGTGTGTATGGATGTAATATAAGGTGTGTATAGATGTAATATGAGGTGTGTATGGATGTAATATAAGGTGTGTATGGATGTAATATGAGGTGTATATGGATGTAAGATGAGGTGTGTGTTGATGCTATATTAGGTTTGTACGGATTTGATATGAGGTGTGTAGGGATGTAATACGATGTGTGTATGGAATGAATATAAGGTGTGTATAGATGCAATATAAGGTGTGTATAGATGTAATATAAGGTATCTATAGATGTAATATGAGGTGTGTATGGATGTAATATAAGGTATGTATGGACGTAATATGAGGTGTGTATGGACGTAATATGACGTGTGTATGGATGTAATATGACGTGTGTATGGATGTAATATAAGGTGTGTATAGATGTAATATGAGGTGTGTATGGATGTAATATAAGGTGTGTATGGATGTAATATAAGGTGTGTATGGATGTAATATAAGGTGTGTATGAATGTAATATAAGGTGTGTATGGATGTAATATAAAGTGTGTATAGATGCAGTATAAGGTGTGTATAGATGCAGTATAAGGTGTGTATAGTTGCAATATAAGGTGTGTATACATGCAATATAAGGTGTGTATAGATGCAGTATAAGGTGTGTATACATGCATTTTAAGGTGTGTATAGATGCAGTATAAGGTGTGTATGGATGTAATATAAGGTGTGTATAGATGCAGTATAAGGTGTGTATAGATGCAGTATAAGGTGTGTATAGATGCAATATAAGGTGTGTATAGATGCAATATAAGGTGTGTATAGATGCAGTATAAGGTGTGTATACATGCAATATAAGGTGTGTATAGATGGAATATAAGGTGTGTATACATGCAATATAAGGTGTGTATAGATACAGTATAAGGTGTGTATGGATGTAATATAAAGTGTGTATAGATGCAGTATAAGGTGTGTATAGATGCAGTATAAGGTGTGTATAGATGCAGTATAAGGTGTGTATAGATGCAGTATAAGGTGTGTATAGATGCAATATAAGGTGTGTATACATGCAATATAAGGTGTGTATGGATGTAATATAAGGTGTGTATGGATGTTATATAAGGTGTGTATGGATGTTATATAAGGTGTGTATAGATGCAATATGAGGTGTGTATAGATGCAATATAAGATGTGTATGGATGTAATATAAGGTGTGTATAGATGCAATATAAGGTGTGTATAGATGCAATATAAGGTGTGTATAGATGCAATATGAGGTGTTTATAGTTGCAATATGAGGTGTTTATTGTTGCAATATAAGGTGTGTATAGATGCAATATAAGGTGTGTATGTAACATGAGGTGTGTACGGATGTGATATGAGGTGTGTATAGATGTAATATAAGGTGTGTTTAGATGCAATATGAAGTGTGTATAGATGTAATATAAAGTGTGTATAGATGCAATATGAGGTGTCCCTCTTTCCGCCAGCTTTCATTGAAAAAATATATAGGTTTAGGAAGATCATTGTCACATTGGTGTAATAATCTAAGTTTAGTTATCTTAATATATATGTTCAGGTTCAAGGAATATTACCAAGTGCACCTCTACAGTTATAGTAGATACAGATGTACCAGTGTGGATGCATTCTTTATGTATCATGCACATCTTCAGTACTGGTTGAAGGGAAAAAGCCACTTAAAAAACAATTCCTCACCATACATTTATACAGGGAAAACTTCCCATCAAATATATAAAGTAAATATGAGACGTCAAAGCCGGAGAATAACCAGTCTCAATTATCCACCGAAATACCGTCTGTCAAACTTAAAAATTGTATTCCTTAGAGTTTAGATTCATAAAATACGATATTCTCCAGATGAGATAAAACCTATTTGGATATGAGTGTTTGAATCATGGATGACTACTTGAGTCTTTCGAAAGAAGGGGGGGGGGGGGGGGGGGCTATATGTGTGGCTGTATGTATCATTAGATGGATTTAACTAAGTATTATCACATTATACAATGAATAAGACATATTCTGTAATAATGGTAGGCTCACAACGCAATTACCACGTCTCCCGGACCTAGCATTAACCGTTCATATTGCGGTATAGTCACTTCCCTCCCTATGTACAGTCACTGTTCATGTCGACAATATTTTGAACAATGTTGATTATCAGTGGCGATTTCAAAGCGCAGTTGGGATCTTGATTGTAACTAAAGTTCAGATGACTTTCACAAAAAAATACATCCTTGATACTTGTAAAAGGTCACACCTGTACGTTTTGTGATCAAGCCACAAATAGAACGTCTACATGAGACGGTAAACGTGCGAATATTACTTGACTAACCGACCATCATGTCATGCGGGTATGTGACCCGCATTCCTCCAGGTGGACGGTCAGTGTGATTGCGAGGGCTTCAAAGACAATGTTCAAAAATCAATTATGATCATAAACTTACCTTTCCCATCAGGAGGAGTTGCCATGGCTCCCTAATAAACGTTAAATTTTGTCGAGATGATTCGTCATTACATGTGACCTACATATCTCATACTTCCTTGTTGGATCACGTGACAACGACCTGTCATTGGTTTTCCAGGAATAGTCTTTATTGTCAGCTATATCCAGTATGTATGATTTTCATTTACAGGAGTGTCACGTTTGGTCGCGGTATTGGTTATAAATTCTTAACATTGATATTAATTCGTAGATCACTTCCTATAATGTTTGACCCAGCACGCTTGCCTTTGTACAATGTTGTAGGTATGTCGTTCTTCAAGCAGCAAGCAGGACCCTGCTGTGATAATAACAGACAGTACAACATGGCGATCAGCGGTGTTGAGGAGGAAAGTACATTCCCAGCCTCGCTGATAATCTCGGATCACCAGTCTTCAATAGGTCGCTCAAGTGGAACACCTGAAAGTGGATACACTGATATCGGCGACTAGAACAGCTGGATGTGGAATACGACCATTACACACCCATCCCTAACGCCAGTTACATACAAAACTCAAAACTGTCGGGTAGGGGAGAGGAGTTTATTTTGTGTATTCAGTCCATTACGATGTTTAAGTACACTTGTTTCTAGTGTACCACGCGTTCTTCTGGCCTAGTGGGGCCACGGGTGGCCCAGGCGTCTAAGGCACCGCGATTCGCTGTGCAGAGTTGCGTCCCTTGGGCACGCCGGAAACCTATGATTGTGGGTTCGAATCCCGGTTCGCCCCGATTATGTTTCTAGATTGTCAGCACCATACCCCTGCTCGTGGGTCTAACCGAAGCGGTAAACGTCTGAGACCTAAGAAGCTGACATGCCGTGATATAACTGGAATACTGAGGCGTTAAACCTAACTCACTCAATTCTGGCCTGGCGGGTGTGAAGGAATTGGGACGAAGCTATGAATTGCATGGCGTGAGCGTACATGTCAGAACAAGGTGTAAAAAATACCCAGGCAAAGAATACTTACTTTTTATGCAAATTGTGTAAATGGTGGGTGCTACCGGTAGGGCAGGACATGCTTACCCTTTTCGCGAACATCACTGATTTTCAGTGGTCCATTCCTATAATTGCCACAGCTATTTGCTCTATAATCCAATGTGGAATCTATTTCAGCAGAAAATCTGGGTTGGCCATTCTCTTGCATTGACGGGGCGGTCGGGTAGCCTAGTGGTTAAAGCGTTCGCTCGTCACGCCGAAGACCCGGGTTCGATTCCCGACATGGGTACAATGTGTGAAGCCCATTTCTGGTGTCCCCCGCCTTGATATTGCTGGAATATTGCTAAAAGCGGCGTAAAACCATACTCACTCACTCACTCACTCTTGCATTGACAATTTATTAACAGTGTTTGACAATATAAAAAAATTAGCTGCGGGAGTAATTTTGGGGTCGGGCATGTTATAATAAGTGTATTTCAACAAGCTTAAAATATACTGGACTCGACAAATTGTTTCTTGCTTGTTCGGTTGTTGTTTAACGCCGCACTCAGCAATATTACAGCTATATGACGGCGGTCCGTAAATAATCGAGTCTGGACGACACAATCCAGTGATTGACAACATGAGCACCGTTCCACACAATTGGAATACGATGACATGCATCAACCAAGTCAGCGAGCCTGACCACCCGATCCGCTAGTCGCCTCTTACGACAAGCATAGTCGCATTTTACAGCAAGCATGGGTTGCTGAAGACCTATTTTAACAAAACAAATCATTAATACTAAACGCCCGCCCAGAGAGCGGAAGTTCCGGGGTTCGATTCCCGGTTGCGTCCTACCAAAAGACGACAAAAGATGGTACCTGTTGCTACCCTGCCTGGCGATCGGCATGAAGGGGCTAAAAAAGGACTGGTCGGCTCGGAGTCAGTATACTGTGTCTGAGTGGGGTATCTATGTTAAACTGCGGCATCTCAGTGGGCTAGCACTATATTATCGGCATTAGTACGGACTAGTACAATCAGCCACACACACGTGCCATTCATGACCAACTCGTGTTATTCCGGGACAAACCGAATAGCGACTCGTGCCCCTCTCGTGGCCATTTTGTGCGACCGGGTTCCGTCTTAGCGCAAACGGGCATACCTAAAACAATTGTCAACTCGTTGCGTAATGGTTCACTTATATTTCCCCATATATTATATATATTTCAGATGCAGTTTAAAGCACACCGTGACGTGCGGAATTATACAGTGTCCTTGAACACACTTAACTGTGTCTTGGGTATATTTTTAGATGCAAGACATATGTAAAGTCAAAAATTATTTCTGAGGGATTCTTTGATGAACTTGAAATCATACGCGCATTCTGATTGGTTTGTCGTATTTTCGCAAATAACATTCATCGATAGGGGGACGAGTCTTATTGCAGGTTACGGAAAGGGGCGAGCGGTGACGAATGACACACGTGCATGCACGTCGTAATATAAGTCCACTAATCTTGAACGCGACGTTAAACCCCAATTCACCTCACCTCATACATACTTACTTCCACAAGTATCTGGTATACGTCAGGAGACAGCATGTAAGATGGTGTGTTGCGTAAACGTAGCTTGAGAGGCTTTCGTGACGACATGAGGACACAAGCTAACATGCGGTTGGCTTTCTCTTGATCTCCAAACGTGCGAGAGTGTTTGTTAACGCTGCCTTGAACAGTATTCCAGTTATATCACGGCGCGTCAGCTTAATGTTGGAGGAAAGCCCAAAGTGATGCAGTCTTAGACATTTATCACTTTGGTGAAACCAACGAGCAAAGGTTTGGTGCTGAACCCACCATCATAGGTTTCTGGCGTACCCAATAGACACAACTCTGCATAGCGAATTGCGGCGCCATAGACGTCTAGGCGTCAATGTCAAAATGCGTTTTGCCTGGGCTGCAGATACGAAGGTTTAGAGTTGGAACATGGATAAATAAAGAAAACATTTGACATTTGATTTTACATTTCATTACATTGTGTTAAAATGCAAAATAAACTTTTTGCGAGAAACATTCATATGTTTAAACATAAACGAAGTTGTATTAATAAATTCCCCGAGATATTACGTCCCTGTTTATGAGATTTAACCCAACGTGAGAACAATAGGATGACGTCACTGGATGTTTGTATCGGAAGACACTGTGTCCAATTGTCAGGGTAAGTATTGTCGTAAATGCTTTCGGGCGTCAAGAGCGACCCTAATACAGCTACTAAATGTATTGCCGTTCCTGGTCCTCGTGTAAATCAATTACGCCAAGACATTTCCACTCGCCTTGTCCGCCGCGGCTCGGCTCCGTCAAGGAGGGATTGGTCTAACGACACTTACTCCAAGTTGTCTCTATCAGCATTCACACACGCATAATAAAGAAACGCAACACCAGTTTTATACTCACATTGTTTTACTTACTCTCAGCCCATCTATCAATACAGGACAGGATCAAACCGGCCAGATTCGTCACTAACTGGGGAAACTTAGAACGATCGGGATTCGACTCGATCGATTGCAAACCGCGCTCTCCTCTCCTAATGTTGAAGGTATCATTTTACAGTGTTCGGACCTGGCCTGTCGTTGTCACATGTCACAAAACCTCATTTTGATTCGTTAAAAGTTAGATCTGACCATGGACTCATGTGTCGTAATCGGAAAAAATACAGAAGCCTACGTGCCAGATTGCTCATCTCTCTATTGATTTTGTGACTCGCATCCGGAAGCTCCAAATGAAATATACCTTGAAACTCTCTATTTGTTTCATTAACTAATGGACGATAGCCAGGAACCAATCCAATGATAATTATGAAATGTCCAGAATACACTTGTGATAAATGTGAAATGTCTTTTATCTATTGATTCCTTTCAAACTAAAAATTCTGTCACAAACTATATCTAATGCAACTCCTCACTGCAGCTATAACGGTAACAATTTTCTAATGTTTTTGAGATGCATTTTTAACCTTATAACAATATTGAATATATTGTATTTCGTCCCATCATAAGAAAGAGCATTAAATGATAGATAAACATTTTATTGACTACAAGCCATGTGTTCCTTGTCATGCACCTGAAATGCAAATTAAAACATTAATGTAACAAGTGTTTGCACTTAGTGTTATTTGTCAATACAAACAATAAGATAGTGACACATGGTGATGTTTTGTTGCTGACAGAACACCGCGTCACGCACCTCACAACCTCAGCATTACTGCAGTACTACGGGTACGAAAGCTCACCTCATCACAACAGGCTATACTGTGTTGGTTTTAATTCCACGTTGTTTTTTTACAACTAACTTTATCATTTGTAAGACTTCTTTAAACCTTTTAACGATAGTTTTCTATATGTCAAGGGGCCTAACGTGATTCGAAACTATGTAGCTCGGTGCTGGTATTTTTTTGTATGCATGTTATTCTAGAGATTGATAATAAGAATTCGTTGACTGAGTGCAACTACCGCCTGTTAGCACTACTGCTCCTTTAAAATATATTATCTAAGGTGTGGTAACGTAACCTTTCGGAACACAATTATCAATTAGGAAAGTGTCACAATCCAACTAATGATAAGAAAACTACATAAACAAATACTAAAGGTTACATGACATCATCAGTTTAAGCATCATCTTCGTCATCATCGTCGTCGTCATCATCATCATCATCATCATCATCATCATCGGTGTCTCTTTTAGCATCATCATCGTCGTCGTCGTCTTCTTCATCAACATCATCATTATCATCGGTGTCTCTTTTAGCATAATCATCGTCGTCGTCTTCTTCATCATCATCATCATTATCATCGGTGTCTCTTTTTGCATCATCGTCGTCGTCTTCTTCATCATCATCATCATTATCATCGGTGTCTCTTTTAGCATCATCATCGTTGTCGTCTTCTTCATCATCATCATCATTATCATCGGAGTCTCTTTTAGCATCATCATCGTCGTCGTCTTCTTCATCATCATCATCATTATCATCGGAGTCTCTTTTTGCATCATCGTCGCCGGCATCATCATCGTCATCGTCATCGTCTTCATCGCCTACTTCTCTTCTCGCTGGGGCAGCTTCCGTGACCCCTTCAGTTGTGGCTGTGTCTTCGCATTCTTCCACGGCCTCTGTTAACTTCTCAATACCAGCTAGAAGTATCAGCTTCCTCATGTCCACCATACCACCATCTTGCATATTTCCCTTCCTGCCTTCCAACATAGCCCCTTCCTTCGTGTGTTCAACCGTGGGTCCCGCTCTCTCCCCTCCTAAACACAGAGCAAGTTGTAGTCTCAGAGCAGACAGTTGGTTCATCAGATTCTTGAGCTCCTCGTCTTGCGGCGTCCCCATCCTGGCCAGTTCCACCACAGCAACGACACTTCCCAACGTCAGCAACGTCGTCAACAAGACCTTCATGTTGGTGTAACGGGTGGAGATTGAAGACGGTAACTCACAAGAACGTAATGGTAATGGTGGCGCCGAGTGATTGACGTCGTCAGACAGACCAGGGTTTATATATATAGGAGGGAAGGGCAGCAGAGATGGAGACACAGACTGCATTTGATCAAAATCTACACAATCCTGAAATATTAATTTCCTTTCCTATGATTGTATGATAACGGCTCTAGAGATCACAACCACACAACCCTGTCCACTGGTACCCTGAAGCGCTGAGCACCATGGTTCTTTCAACAGTTCGTACATGCAGTAACAGGTCGTTATCTATTGCGATGATCGCAATACTGGGAACTGTTTCATAAAGGCAAAATCCCTTACAGTGCCCAGAGGCTAGGATACCACTGTATCACTCAGTGATAGTCTCACGGAATGAGATGCAATGCAGCGTTTTAAATATTATTCTGTCTTCTCTCGTCTTTTATAATAGATGAATGAATGAATGAATGAATGAATAAAAATAAATTTATATAAAGTGTGTTTAATGGTATCTAAAAAATAGCAGCGGGGGGAATTTTGGGGTCGGGCAGGTGTAAGAAGTGTATAAAATATACTTGACTCGATAAAAGTTTTTTGTTTGTTTGTTTTTTGACGCCGCACTCAGCAATGTATTGTAGCTGTTTGGCGGCGATCATGATCGTGATATTGCTGGAATATTGCTAAAGGCGCCGTAAAATCAAACTCACTCACTCACTCACTCTTTCAGGTACATTTCTTATAACCAACTATGTTATAATTAACGAGGATTTTTTTTAACACCTTATGTGATCTTCCGTCAGTGTTCAACAACTCTTGGTGAATAATAAAATGTTTGGTTAAAATTAAAAGATCCTCATTTGATATCTACATGACATACGTCATGGGGGTCTGTGTGGAAAAAAGTCATGTGAATTATGAAATAAGAAACGGCAAACTAGGCTCACAAGTAACACCACATTGATGACAGAGACGATATTTATGATACCCCGTTCAACAGTTTTATGGCATCAAAACTGCCTGCTCATCTTCTATAGCTATGAGACAAGATCAGGGCGAGGTTTATTGCCGACGTAGCATAAACATAATTATTAATATACGGCTTAATCAACGTTTATGATATTCATTTCCGTGTTTGAGCTCTGCCTCAAGGCTGTTTTCTTAATTAAACAGTCCTCCTCCAGCAAGTCATCACTCTGGTATCCATGGTAACACGGCATGCATGTACGTGAATAGATATATATGCCATATTATGAGAAGGTGAGGTGAAATGGTGTGTGTGTGTGTATGTGTGTGTGCGTGTGTGTGTGTGCGCTCTGACTGCGAGCCGACCAGTCCTTGTTTTATCCACTTAATGCCGAGCGCAACAGGGTAACAACAAGTACCATCTTGTAACGTCTTTTGGTATGACGCGGCCACGAGATAGAGCCACCGACCTTCCGCTCTCCGGCAGACGCTCTATCCACTTGACCACGGAGGTGGTATAACATGTCAGTATCATAGCCAAGCATGAAATGGTAATGGTATGAGGGTTAATGAACGTGAGTTTGGTTTTCAGCCTTTTTCACACAGAGTATCAGCTAAATGTGGTAGAAATCCCCAAGTGGCACACGTCGACGTTCTGTATGATCACGGGTCTGGTGCAAATATGAATTATTATCAGTGCGAATTCGAACTGTTGACAAACTTATACAATGTGTTACAGTTATATCCTAGTTGGTTACACCATTTGACATTTATATCCAAGCTGGGCATACTTCGTGTGAGTTATATCCAAGTTGGTTACACTGTATGACAGTTATATCCAAGTTTGTTACACCACGTGTGTTATATCCAAGTTGGTGAGACTGTCTGTTATATCCAAGTGGGTTACACCATATGTGTTATATCAAAGTTGGTTACACCATGTGAGTTATATCCCAGTTGGTAACACTGTATGATAGTTATATCCAAGTTTGTTATACTGTATGAGTTATATCCAAGTTGGTGAGACTGTCTGTTATATCCAAGTTGGTTACACCATGTGTTATATCCCAGTTTTTTACACCATGTGTGTTATATACAAGTTGGTTACACCATGTGTGTTATATCCCTGTTGGTTACACCATGTAAGTTATATCCAAGCTTGTTATATCATGTGAGTTATATCCAAGTTGGTTATACTGTATGAGTTATATCCAAGTTGGTGAGATGTCTGTTAAATCCAAGTTGGTTACACCATGTGTTATATCCCAGTTTTTACACCATGTGTGTTATATACAAGTTGGTTACACCATGTGTCAAAATATGTATCCTTTTTATGTCAGTGATCTCTATCTTTGAGAAAGTTTGAGATAGCCCTTAACTTTCATCCTTAATATTTCAGTGTGGAACCAAATCAACATATATCATCGAACATTTGCCTTGTCAGTGCTTTAGTTTCTTGTGGTGGAGTGGTATAGTCTGAAATTGTTGAAATATCAGTCAATAGACACCAAATGCACTTTTCAGTGAACATATTTCAGATTTTATGTCATACACATGAGTTTTGATGTTGTTATTTTACTTATAAGATTAAAATCTTTAAAAGAAACATCAGTTTCCTCTGTGTTTCTATCTTTGAATAATGAAAAATAAGCAAAGCATGCCTGTATAAAAGGTCCCTGTCCTTGGTGTAACCATTTGTTACTTAGGTGTAAGAGTAATCCATCTTTATGTAGAAAGAAGGTAAATTAATGCTCACTTATCATATCAATTCCTGACTTCCATGGACAAAAATGTTTTTAGTCAACTGAAGAAAAAGTTAATCAAACTGGAAAAAGGTAACACCAAGCATCATCATATGAAAGTTCTATGTCCTTGGTGTAACGTTGTTATGAAGAAAACGATTTGATTTACAAAACATCCTTACATGCATAATGGAAGAGTTGCACTGGTAATGATTGTTGTTGGCTTCTGTACAGGGAGCAGTCCCTTGTATTTTTATTTCATGTTGAATGTAAATATGTCTTTGTTGTATCTGTCCTTGGTGTAACCTGGATCATGACAAAATGTCCTTGGTGTAACTTAAAGGGGAAGTGTACACGCAAAAATCACTTTCTTTCTTTTTCTAAACAAAACGCAATTTTAGAATTAGTTAATATCTGTGTTTGAAAATGTAAACTCATTTTTTTCACAGTGAAAGTAGGAAGCTCACAATAGTGTGAAAATGATATGCCGTTATGAGGCCTTCGTTTTTCGAGCTAAACAGGCCTGAGTTATCCCCCTTAGATTATGACGTAATTGGTGCCAATTCAACTGGGTCCCTGTTTATTCTGAACGCAAAAGATATCAAGTACAAGTTTTCGGTAAAACAACATGGCCTATGACACACTCCGGCGCAGTAGTGACTCAGCATAACACAATTCTGGCTGGCATCTGAGACGCTAGAATCACAAAACTGTACCTACACCACGTGAAGCGGCTCTAACAAAGCATGATGACGTCATAATGTTTATCAATTGGCACCAATGACGTCATATTGCAAGGGGCATAAGCCATGGTGTTTTTGTTATGGAAATAGAACACTTGGTAAATGTGAAAAATATAAATCGTTTTAATGCAAAAAATATGTTAATTAAATATGATGTTTTTATATTTTTGTCTATGACACTTCTATGTTAACACTTTTAATGTGGAAAAAGTACAAGAAAAATTGGTTCATTTCCGTGTGAACTTGCCCTTTAATATGTCCTTGGTGTAACTTAATATGTCCTTGGTGTAACTTAATATGTCCTTGGTGTAACTTGGATCATGACAAAATGTCCTTGGTGTAACTTAATATGTCCTTGGTGTAACTTAATATGTCCTTGGTGTAACTTGGATCATGACAAAATGTCCTTGGTGTAACTTAATATGTCCTTGGTGTAACTTAATATGTCCTTGGTGTAACTTGGATCATGACAAAATGTCCTTGGTGTAACTTAATATGTCCTTGGTGTAACTTAATATGTCCTTGGTGTGTAACTTAATATGTCCTTGGTGTAACTTAATATGTCCTTGGTGTAACTTAATATGTCCTTGGTGTGTAACTTAATATGTCCTTGGTGTAACTTAATATGTCCTTGGTGTACCTTATTATGTCCTTGGTGTTACCACAAGTCAGCAGTAATAACTTCAAAGAAAACATTGTGAAACAAAAGTGTCTGATGCCATTGCAAATATGCAACACCAACTATAGTGCATCAATTCCTTCTGATAGATTGTTGTGATGTGAAAGAAAAATCATCATGAGTAATGGTAATGTCTTTGGTTTTACTGCCTTGTCTTTGGAAATTCTGAAAATGATTCAGGTAAACACCCACTGCATAGCATGCTTCTCATTGAGTACAAAGAACATGTTCACCAAAAATAGAACATTGAAATTATATTAATCATTTTGGTAATGTGTGGGACACAGAGAAGAGTAAATGATCAATTTTTCATTTTATTTCTCACAAAGAATGATAATCCACGTTTTAAAATGTGGTGATATTAAAGTGAGATACTTTTTCTTTTCTAGGCAGAGGTAAAATATTACAATATTTACAATAATACACCGAAAGAAATATTGTATTCATTTTTTATTTCTGCAAAGGATCGGTAACTATAATGGTTACACCAAGGACAATAGATTTCCACTGTTTCTCCAGTATATTTGAAATATTTCAAAACTATGTTTCTTTGTGTTGGCATAATTTACCCAACTATTTGTTAAGTTTAAATGTTTCATGTTAAATCACAAAAAGTTTGAATTTTCAAGCATTATTTTTGTTTATTCAACTGGACCAAAAGGGGTACAAATATTGATAATGACCTGTATACCAGTTAGTTACACCATGTAACAGTTATATGCCAGTTGGTTACACCATGTAACAGTAATATACCAGTTGGTTACACCATGTTACAGTTATATGCCAGTTGGTTACACCATGTAACAGTTATATGCCAGTTGGTTACACAATGTAACAGTTATATGCCAGTTGGTTACACCATGTAACAGTTATATACCAGTTGGTTACACCATGTAACAGTTATATGCCAGTTGGTTAACCATGTTACAATTATATACCAGTTGGTTACACCATGTAACAGTTAAATACCAGTTGGTTACACCATGTAACAGTTATATGCCAGTTGGTTACACAATGTAACAGTTTAGGCCAGTTGGTTACACCATGTAACAGTTATATACCAGTTGGTTACACCATGTAACAGTTATATGCCAGTTGGTTAACCATGTTACAATTATATACCTTTTGGTTACACCATGTAACAGTTAAATACCAGTTGGTTACACCATGTAACAGTTATATACCAGTTGGTTACACCATGTGACAGTTATATGCCAGTTGGTTAATCGTGTAACAGTTATATGCCAGTTGGTTACATCATGTAACAGTTATATACCAGTCGGTTACACCATGTAACAGTTATAGACCAGTCAGTTACACCATGTAACAGTTATATACCAGTCAGTTACACCATGTAACAGTTATATCCCAGTTGGTTACACTGTGACAGTTATATACCAGTTGGTTACAACATGTAACAGTTATATGCCAGTTGGTTACACAATGTAACAGTTATATCCCAGTTGGTTACACTGTAACAGTTATATACCAGTCAGTTACACCATGTAACAGTTATATACCAGTTGGTTACACAATGAAACAGTTATTTACCAGTTGGTTACACAATGTAACAGTTATATGCCAGTTGGTTACACCATGTAACAGTTATATACCAGTTGGTTACACAATGTAACAGTTATATGCCAGTTGGTTACACCATGTGACAGTTATATGCCAGTCAGTTACACCATGTAACAGTTATATCCCAGTTGGTTACACTGTGACAGTTATATACCAGTTGGTTACAACATGTAACAGTTATATGCCAGTTGGTTACACAATGTAACAGTTATATGCCAGTTGGTTACACCATGTAACAGTTATATGCCAGTTGGTTACATCCCAAATGGTCTGTACCCTTGCCAATACTGACGTACGGGTTCAACAGTTAAAACAGTAAGCAGGCACGGGGTAACAACTCGATTCGTACAGGATTATTGCAATGCACTGTGTTTATCATAAACATGATAAATCATAAGTTTAACCAATACAGGTATTAATATTTCAAAATGTTTCAGTGTGTTGGAGCAGACTTGTTAACTGTTCAGTAAGGAGAAACTATCAGAAATGAACACAAAAGGTTTGGTGATTTGTTAATGTTTAATGTTAAATAAAGTTGCATAAGTCTTCATACTTCAGGATAACACCCCATAGTATTGCACAGTCAAACGCAGTCAAACTGACTCATTAATAAACATGGTATCTGAGCAACTCCAAAGTTTCCTGAATTATCCCATGCAGGTGAACAAAGTTTTAAATATTTAAATATGGTGACTAAGCAGTGTTTCCAATCAATACAGAATGGTAAACTAGTCAGAATAGAACTAAGAAATAGTCATGCACATATAGTTTTAAATATTATTAGACTTGACACCCTGAGACTAAATTTAATCTTAGTGACCTCTTTAGAATAAATACTACTTCTACTCTAGCATAAACAGAAATGTAGAAACATTTTACATAAATGAACTAACACTGTTGGTATGCAAGTCTTGACAATGTTGCAATCTGTTGCCATGACAACAGTCGCCATTGGTTCCATTCACTCCTTCATAATAACAGTAATTTCTTCCATATTGCTGTCCACTGCCACTTGATTAGAAGCATGCTCTGCAGCATCCAATCCCATCTCCTCACTGGCTCTGTTTGTGATGGTAATAACACTCGGAGTTTCCGCATCCATAACTTCGCTTGTTTCCATAGCAACAGCATTAGACCCATCAACAGTTGTCAAAGTAACAGAGCCCGAGTTTTCTTGCAAGGACTGCTCAGCTGCCAACAGTAGACTGGCAATGTCGTGTACGACAGCGTTGGATGACTCCATGTCCATGTTCTCCCCGCCCTGAATCACATAATGTATTGTGTTGTCTTCATTTGAAATCTCCACCAGCACTGAGGCAGCTGTTGAAATGTCTTCCTCTTGAGACATGGCGTCCATTTCAGTGTGACCATGCTCCGATGGAACAACTGTCAGAACAGCATCCTGTAAATCGTTGTTGATATCGGAACTCTTGTCAATATCAATCATGTCAACTGCTTGATTGACAGGAATAACTGTCATGTGCTTGTCAGCCGAATGAACTTCTACAAGCTGCAGATCCCCCGTTTCCGGAACAATATCATGTGCCTTTGCCAAATGTCGAGCAAGAAATACCTTCTCAAAGAAACCATGTTTGCAATATTCACACTGGTAAGGAAAAATATTAGAATGAGATGTCTGCACATGCTCAACAAGCTGAGCTTTGTAACAAAAACCATCCTGACAATACGGGCAACTGAATAACTCCTCGTTCTGCTTGTTATATTTGCAAGACTTCTCTCGTGGATTTACAACCTTGAAATCGACATCGTTATGTACGTGGGCCATGTGTTCTTCTATCTGCTTCGAACGCATGAATTTCACTTTGCATATTGAACATGTAAATGGACACAAATTGAAATGTATCTTTAACACATGTGCATGCATTGTACCTTTCTGATTAAATCCTTTCCCGCAATAGGAACAGTGGAATTTCTCAGTCCTAGGGGCATGGACTACTCTAACATGTCTTTGAAAATTGCATTCGAAGTTGAATTGTCTCCCGCATACTTGACAAACTATCTTCTTTCCATCAGTATCATGTATGCGCGAGTGTCGGTTCAACTGTGCTTGCCGGTAGAACGTTTTCCCACATTCTTTACAAGTCACGTTACGCTTTTGTTCATGCACTTCTTCAATGTGCTGTTTGAGTGTGATCGCTTGCTTGAACACAGATGAACACAGATGACATAAATGAGTTTCATCATTCAGGTGTATCATTCTGATGTGGTTCCGCAGAAACTGGAGATTCTTAAATACTTTACCACAAATTGTGCACCGCGACATTGTCTGAGAATGCTCCCTGTCCTCGTGAATCTGGAACTGAGATCGACTGGCAAATGTCATGTTGCAGGCAGAACAAGTAACTTGTTTCAGTGGCACCAGTTCTTGTAAATATTCCTCAATATCTTTTTCATTCATATGGAATTTTTTAACATGAGTATCGACACCAGTGAAATCACAAAATCTTTTCTCACAGTACTTGCACACTGCTGTTTTTTGCACATTCCTTTTTCTGCGTTCCTTAGAATAAACATTTCCCATTGCAGCAAGGATTTTCTTTCTCTCAACACTTTTCTCTTTAGCTAAGCAGGAATCTTTGAATTTCTTCAGCATTTTCAAGGACCCTCGAAGATTTGACTTTTTCTTTTGTCTGTAGATACTGGGTCTCGAAGCTTGCCATTTCAGTTTACTATTTTCAACATCCGAGGCCTGTTCTGTTCCATCATCAACAGTCTGGGACTCCCCATTACTCTTTTCTTTGGCATGGACCAGAGAATCACCCTCAAAATTTTCCATGACAACAGTTGGTTCTGAGTCATCTCCCTTGAAGGCAACGTAGTCTTCAGAATCGTCCTCTTCTTCCAGATCATCAGCATCTTCATCTTCAACATTTATCTTTCCACGGACAGCTTCCATAACAGCAGAAGAAAGTTTCACACCTCTTAAACTGTATCTTTTCTTTCCTTCCTGAGTTTCAAGAGTGTGCTGAGGACTTTGTAGGATACTGGAACTCCCTCTTTCTTCATTTGATTCTGAAATCTTTTTCTTTGGTTTCCTTCCTCTTTTCTTTGGCCTAGGTTTTGCTGCTTCTGTTTCTGGAAGGTCTGCGGGGGTAAGCACCTTGCAGTTATGGTCTGAACTCAAAGGAAGAAAATTATGTATGTTTTCAGTTGGAGAATGCATCATGTCATCCGTGACCTGTTTAAATGAGACATTTTCATGTTTGAGTACATTCTCATTGTCAAGTTTATCATTAACAAATTCATGACAGTCTTCTATCAACTGTGTGCATTTTTTGTTCCCTTCCTCTCTTTTCTCCTGTCCTTCAAAAAAGCATTCCACCTTTTTTGCTTCACTAATGGCGAATCTGATGGAACGCTTGGCGTAGATCACGCTCACGCCACTCATGACAAAAGTGACTGTGTTGTCTACTGTTCTCATGTTTGTTTTGATGTAAAGATTGTCCGTTCCATCGGTAGAAAGTCCCTCCCATGCCTCCATCACTCCTGGAGACTTTAAACATCCTCTCAGGAGCTCGCATGGAAGGGACATAGTTATAGAGTCTACAGCTAGTGCGTCTTCCATTGTTCATTTGTGAAAAGGAAACCTTCTATACACGTCTTTTGAGTTACAAATAGCTAAAACTAATGTAAAACCATATCACTCTGTTGACTTTCCCTGCAAATCTATCAACCGGAAGAGGTTAATTTTACGTCTCTCTGGAAGAAGAGTTCTCACGCTCGTTTTTTAAGAGGCTCTATTAGGGATTGACTTTGTGCAGTGTATATTGTGATCGGAAGCTCTTGATTCTAAATGTTTGCTTTGTTGCTAATTTTTGTGTCACATCTTGGATTTTTTAACATATGATAAATCTACTAATTACCTTAACGGCAAATCACATGTTGATACAGACTGGTTTTTTTTGCTCTTTTGTTAATAAATCAAATATTTTCCTATTTAAACAACCTTTGACAAGCCTCAAAACAAATTGGACAGAGTTGTTTCCCTTCGTATTGCCGCATATGGGCTTTGTTACGACCGGTTTTCAATATTTGTGACATATGGTTTTGAACAAATAAGAAGCTTTGTAACTACCCTGAGTATAGAAATTATAGAAACTTAACTTATTCATTAGAATAGTTAAGGCTGACGTTTACAATCCTCAATTAAGAAAATCGATGCACGTGTCATTTACGACATCTCACACGTAAGATGCAAGATGTCAACATCAAACTTGAACTCAAGAAGTAAACGTCACAGATGAAACGTTTTAGCCTGACTTTGGTGGAATTAACTAAGATAACAGGAACACGGAGCCGTAATCAAATTATATGATGAACTTTGATTATGTTTCATGCCTCTTGATTCTAACATGTGTGAAGATTCACGTGTTAACTGCCAAAACTGTCAACGGAGTTTTCAGCACCCTCGTAGCCAAATCAGAAATTGGACAATACATTACGACATTCTGTTTCCATGGTAATATCCTCCTTTAGATATCCAACTAATCAACATTCGGGATTCAAGCAAACATATTGAAAAGGCTTCCAGATTTGTTGAATGAATTTAAATATCAAGATTCATGTTTTAACTGAAAAAAAGAGTAAACGTTAATTTGCGTTCATTTCGTGGAAAAGTCGGCCCTTAAGTTATATATATATGTATTTATTAATTATTTTAATTATATATTTTTTTGGGGGGGTGTACGTGCTGAAGTCTTCCCCCAATAATATTGTTTGCTGTAGATCTAACTTTCATTTTGTGAAACAAGGAGCCAATGGACTCATTTTGGTGATTGATTCGATTCCTACATAAGAAGGAATTAATTAGAACAGTTGACATGATCATGTCAAAGACGTATGTCAATGATCCTGCCATGGATACTTGTAATATGTGATCATGCACATCTTTTCAGTAAAAGTTTATTCTATATTCTATCTGGGCTGGGACGGGTAACTCACGTTGGGTGGGTTCTGAGTAGGACCCAGGTACCCCCAGGACTGCCCTCACCCGTGGTTAGTCACATGACATGTTGATTAATGACAGAAAGTTTCTAGAACTCCATGTTTGCACTACAAGTCACTATATAATGTTCGCATTTCTTTCTGACAACTTCTTTAAGTGGCATTTAGAAGTTGGTGTGATGAAGTAAGACAAGTTCTATGGGTGAACAACTTCTTTATTACAATTAGTGCGACGTTTTGGTGTAGATCCTAACATCTTTATCACTTGCTTGATAAAGGTGTTAGGATCTACACCGAAACGTCGCACTAATAGTAAGAAAGAAGTTGTTCATCATAGAACTTATCTTACTTTCTTTCTGACAATTCACACATTTCTTCTGATTTTCACGTGTTTGAATACAGATAAAACTTTGAACAGTATTTGCATGACCAGATCGTTTTATAGTGTATCAAAATACTTTTTGTTGGGGCTTGATCAATTAATTCAAAATTGGACATTTTGTATCTATCCCTTGAGATCTACAGTGTGTATCTGGGTAGGGTTGTGTAATAGGGGTTTGGGTACCAGGGTAGTAAAGTTTGACTCGTCCCCCCTAATTCTATCACCTGGGCGCTTATTATGTCGTATACGGTATATATTATAATTGTGAGAATAAAAAAAGTGAAAGCAAGTTTATCTTTTTACCAGTTTACATAAAAAGTCTATACTTTGTTTCAGTCACAACAATTTGTCTCGTGAAGATCCAGGGTAGAATAGGTCTTCAGCAACCCATGCTTGCCGTAAGAGGCGACTAATGAAATCAGGTGGTCAGGCTCGCTGACTTGGTTGATGCATGTTATCGTATCCCAACTGCGTGGATCGATGCTCATGATGTCACTCACTGGATTGTCTGGTCCAGATTCGATTATTTACAGACTACCGTCATATAGCTGGAATATTGCTGAGTGCAGTGTTAAACAACAAACAAACAACACTTTAATGGTTTTGCTGAGTTGTATCAATATTTTCTGTCCTAAATTGATTGGTTGTGTTTTTCAGGGAATGCGCTGGTCACATTCCAGACGAACACAACCGGCAATGCACCTCCCACACTGTACATGTACATCAGCGATGACTGGTACGATGCTGTGGAAGATCTTGACTGTGAACGGAGACTCGGCAAAGCTAGGATCTGGCGTGAGTTCAGTATAGATGCTGTTAAGCTTTCAAGTGCTTTGTACTGTTGAGTGAGTGAATTGGGTTTGACGCCACTGTGACCAATATTTCAGTTATTTCATGGCAAGTGATGCAGGTCTGACATGTTGACCTCTTTGATGAACCCCACGAGCAAAGGTATGGTGCTGACAAACCTAGAAACACAACCGGGATGAACCAGTATTCAAACCCACAATCATAGGTTTGTGACGTGCCCAAGGAATGAGGCACTGCACAGGGAATCGTGGCGCCATTGATGACTGGGCCCCCTGTTCTGTTGAGAACCTAAAGGCCGAGTACGGTGAACATGGCGACTTTGCGGATTTTTTATCATTAGGGCATGCTTAATCACAAATGCTTGACCAAAATCAAATTTGAAAAAAGCAGATAGGCTAAAAAAAGCCATCAACCAAAGTAAAAAATTCACCACTGGGGTTAAAACAGGTTCTTAGGACAGCATTGTTTTATTGTACCCAAACATGATGTCAGTCATAAAAAGGCATTAGAAGACATTTCTCATTGTTTTAATGATTCACAGTGTCAGGATGAAAGGTCTTTTCACTCCCTCAACAATGTATGTTGTCGAACATAATCTCAAAAAAGTCTTTGGTCACCAGATGGGTCATTTTACCAACACAATCTTGACCGACAGATCTGACTGAAACTGATCACAGATAACATAACGAGTTCCAATAGATGTAGACTTGGTACACTTTCTGGCAGCACACAGGCTCAACATTTCACCATTATTATCATACAACATCAACAATCATCGTAAAATATAACAGATGCACAGCAGCTAAGCATCACTACATGGATGCTGCAGCCTATCTACTTAACAGACAATGAAAACGCTTGTCACGCACCACTGTACCAGTAGCTTCAGGGCACGCCCTAAAATAGGTTTTCTTTGGAAACTGACTACGAAGTGTATGACTTCCACATTTTCACATGGACATTTAAATACTTTCTACAAATGTTCTGATTTGTTTTCTCTTGGAAATTGACTTCATGTATCAAGGAAAATCACATTCAAGGTTATATTCTACTATATTTGTATATACCTGTTAAGATCCGGGTTAGAATTGGTCTTCCACAACCCATACTTGCCGGAACAGGCGACTATCCTTTCCTTGGGAGGCCTCTGCCTGGAGTGTGGAGGGTCGGGGGTTCATTCCCCAGCCATGTCATAACAAAATATGTTTAAAGATGGTATTTGTTATTACCTGCCTGCCCTTTTTATTTCGAAAAAAATCTTTCTTTCTGTATAAATTACCACCAAAGACAATAAATAGATCTTAATTGTGCACCCCCCTTTTCAAAAAAGCTGTATCTGCCCATGTGCATGTCGCAACATAAGTGCAGTAATCTTGAACACAATGTTATACCCCATTTCACCTCTCTACACCTCCGCACACGTTCCATCATGTTTCATTTCAGATGAGTTGAATACAACATCAGGCAACTTCACCGTCGCCCACTCCATCCGTCCACGCATCTGGCACATCATCTACGCCGACAGCTACACGTGCCACCCCGGGCGCCCAACCCCACTTGTGGAACAGCCCAACTTCATACAGTTTGAGATTCAGCTACTGAATCCGGACTCCCTCGGCAACCCCACAGAACACTTTGGTGATGAGGAGACGGGTGAGTGTCAAAGCACCAAAATATCCCCTCGTAAAAAACATGTTTCTGAGACCCATCATCACAAATATTTGTTGTATTAGATGTAGTTCCGCAGGAGTACTGGTGTGTCAGAACTACCAGTATCAATCACTTTTAATTTATGCTGACAGCCAGATATGTTCATGTACGACAGATATATTTTTTCAGAATTTAATTGCCCATGATTAAGGGTGCACATAACACACGAGTGCGTATCATACGCGAATAAATAAGTCTTTTGTACATTGATCAATCGGAAGGGGTGCTAATTGGGATTGTTCACTAGCCAATATATTAGCAAATATCGCTGGGGTTGCTTATTAGAGCGGGGCGCTTATTACGTCGAATACGGTAATCTAAGAATGATAGATAATAGACAGTGGGGTAGCCTAGTAGTTAATGTGTTCGCTCACGCCGAAGGCCAGTTGCCACTCCTCACATGGGTGCAATGTGTGAAGCCTATATTTTGTGCCCCCTCTGTGATATTGCTGGAATATTGCTAAATGTGGCATAAAACCATACACTCACTCACTCACTCACTCACTCAAATCATAACAAGCCCACTGTTATTTCTGCTGGTCACTGGCTAGAGGACCAGCAGTTACGTCACCCTGTCTTCAGGTACCTGATGTGTCAAAGTAAGGGCTCCAGATAATGTTTGGAGCCATTTATGTATTCACTCATATGTTATCATTCCCTTTGGGTATTGATAGGTTTCTTTGGGTATTCACTATGTTTAAACTCCTTGCATCCTTTCTATTGGGTATTTTTATACCAAAGAGTGAATCATATAAAATAATGCTACTTGAAACAAGCTGTTGACTTCTAATTGCATCTGTCCATGTGAAGCCCAATGAGTGTCATATAATGCATAAGCTCACCACAGCGATAGATGTCTATGTTACAAAAATATGTAACAATAACGACACAAGGCACTTATTTGCATTATTCACTGAAGTAGACAATCTCATTAAAATCAGATCTTAGTTCTCGCTACAGCTAAACAAAGATCTGAGGTCATCCCATTTGGGTCACGTCAGAACGGGATTTCATCCGACCAATCAGATCGGGAAAGCAACATGTTGGAATATGTTATCTTTTTATGCAATCTTGAAAAAGTTAACACGGTGTCTTCTGAACAACAGTTACAGACTTTCCATAGCCTGTGGGAAGAACTGCCATCAATGACACATTCCAGATATTGTCTTGGCAAAGTTTTCAAATGTTGAATCAATATATTTCAAACTGTAGCCGGGAATGGAAGTCGCCAGTTTGAAACAAGCGCCTCAAAGCTGGAGAAAGCTACTTTCTGATTGGCTAATGTCGATTTCCAGAAAAGTTGTTCTGACGTTACCCCACAAATGGGATGTCCTCAGATCTTTGTTTAGCGGTAGTGATTTTAAGGAGATTGCCGAAGTAGAGTTCATGTATGCGAGATGCCTGCAATCGATAGTGAAAAACCATCTGTAAATACATACTGATATGCAATCTGAACAACTACATTGAGAAATTAAGCACATCATGAAGCTATTAATTTTTTTAATTGATGCATATTTATTCGCATGCAGCTCAAACTTAATTGGGTTGCATTGATTTGTGTTTGTTTACGTAATTTATGCACACATGCAGCTTATCCGGAGCTCTGAGTGTTGTAGTTTATTGAGCTTCTATCTGTTCAGGTTTGCTGCGGTTTTACCAGCTATTGACCCTAGCATACTTTGTGCTGGCCTGTATTTTTGCACCCCGGCTGTGGTCCACGTTGAGTAAAGGTGGGCCGATGCAGCTAGTCATACAACTACTCACAGTGTCTATATGTCTTCAGACGGTCGGGTCATTTCTCATGACTCTGCATCTCTCCAAGTAAGTCATCAGCTTTGCTGCATTTAATTTTCAAGCATATATGTAGTGGTTAAATCAGTAGCCGTTTCTGCTTACATTTAATTCTGCCAAATTTCTGAAGTGGACTGATGTTTTCATGAATTCTCTTTCACAATACTTTACACTTAGAACTTTTAGCCATCCAGGGATTTATCTAGACCCTGCTCAGAGGCCGATATTCGACCCCAAGTCTGCAGCAAATTGGAATTAAAATTTTCCCAATTATGTTGATATATATTATCAATTGCTAAGTTTATGGCTTTGTTGAGATAACCTGTATCTCACTGACAATCTGGAATTGCAAACTACATGCTCTTTGCAGGAAAATTGGGAAAATCGTTAATTTGTTCAAAATTGGGATTTATTTAAAAATTAGATTCAGAGGTATTTGTACATAGTATTCAATGCAATAATGTAAAACTAAGCATTAAACATGTGAAAGACCCTTTCATCTTTGTCATTTTGTTTATTGGTCCTGTTATCAGGGAAATAGAAGTCACCTCTGCATTGAACCTTCAAAAAGATTCATCTTCCAAAACTGAACATAATGGGCAGTTCCGAATGGACATAATAAAGACAGCACAATAATGTTGGGGTGGATATTTTATACGCCTTGTTTTTTCTGTATGCTTTGCTGTCAGTACCCAAGAGGGAGTTCTATTGAGGAAATATCTTGTTCTGTGTTTGTTTTCTTTTGTCAAGATCAAGAGAAAGTAGTTTCCTTTAGAAGTAGTTTTGGTAATCCGTTGTTGTTTGCTGTGTGTTGCCAGGTATCACCATGATGGGACTGGCTCGCCATTCAAGGAGCTTCTGTCTGAATGTGAGTTTACGAGGATCTGTGTTCCATTTCATTTTGTTCCTTCATTCAATATCAGGGTGATCCAGCTATCAGTATATCCCAACTGATGGCAATACACCAATGAAAACACCATAGTTATACCTGGGGCTGTGTATTGACCAAAACGTTGTTGGGAGTTGTTTATCGTTAAATAAAACAATACAATACGACCACGGCAATGTCAAACAAGTCCATTTTATGTACATTGGTATTTCCCGGATATTCTCACAATTTTCAGGTCAATTATCTGTATCTTTTCACCCAATACCGATCGTCATATCTCTCCCACTTTTGAATGCGATCACTTGGCCATTACATTTATCTGCGTTGCCCAGCTACATCTGTGGGGAACAACCCACTAGACACACATCCTCATCCAATTTATGCCATCAAGTTGCGAGCATTTGTTTGAATCTCTAGAAATGACGTCGTGATAGAACAATGTTTTAACGTGAAATAAACCATGCTTCGATCTTCATTGTTCTTTGCAATTTATCACGTAGATATGTAGGTATCTTATAAATTGCAATATATATATTGCGGTATACGTATATGTATTGTGATACATATTGTGATATATTGGTGGAATAGTTTGACTGTCATACACGCAGATCCTATTTTCTGCGTTCTAAAGTAAGTATTACTCAACATGGTCACTCAGTCATGGATGCAGGGGAGATAATAACATGAGAGAAAAATCACTCCTACATTTCTGCTGTTTTGTTAATCAGTTTTGAAGGGAAACATCAGTTGTGAATGAATCACAGTGTAGATTTTAGGGTAAATGATTCAAATAATAATGGAATATTTTCTTTGCCCAATATACCAGAACACAGGAAATGTATATCTAATACACTTTGTAATCGAGGTTGAAACTGGACATGTTACCGAAATACATCAATTTTTATCGGAAATGAAGAGCTACTTTACTGCCAATTTACCCAGTGAAATGGTCGAGAATCTTACAGGATACTATTGGACAAACAGGAGGCATGAGTGGCCCAGTTGTCTTAAGGCGCAGCCACTTGCTGTGCAGAGTTGCGTCCCTTGGGCAAGCCAGAAACCTATAATCATGCGAATACTCTACCTCTATTACATCATTGCCATAAATTCTGTATTTTGGCTGCAATCACAACTGCACTTTCAGAGTTTCAAATGGGGTCCTCTTCACTGTCAGCTATTCAAAGTAGTTGTCCCCACTATAGCACTTTGTCCCCACTATAGCACTTTGTCCCCACTAGAGCACTTTGCAGGTTTGTCAGCATCATACCCGTGCTCGTGTTTCTGTAAACCAGATTTATGAGGATGCAATGATTCATTAACTGCAGCTTCAACCAGTGAATAACAATATGGAGGAAATAATGATATATGGTAAACAGGAGGACAGGGTATACCTGAAACGTTGATGACACGTTTGTTTTCAGTTTTCGATGTGCTGTCTCAATTCGCCATGCTGTACATGTTGTTGAGTTTGTCCCTGGGATGGACACTTGCCAGCACCCATTGCCGCTACTCCCATCTCAAGGCCATCAGTCGGAAACCTGCTGCCAAGGTCGTCGCTGTTCTGGCCGTCCTGCAGGTTGGTCGAGTCCCAGTCTCGCTAAAATCAGATTTTATACTCCCAATATGATACCTCTTTGTGTGAAGTTCTCACAGACTCTCCAGGAGGTCATGTCAGGTGAAATCACACTGCCAATCAGTGTTGAGGCTTCTAAATTCTAGGTATAGCGAGCAAAGCATTCAGAGCAGCATATCTAATTTGTTACCTCGAAAAGGAACATGAATAGGCAGTTCCAAATGGAATATGATAATGGCTCTACAATGACATTGTTGTGGATATTTTTATTATTTTTACACCCTGTTGCTGAACGCTAAGGCATCTACACTCAAAATGGTGTACTATCGAGGGTGTATTTGTTGTTCTGTGTGTATTTTCGTTTGTGAGGATCAAATTTCTGAATCAAGGCTATGAAGAAATGAAGCCAAATCATTTTAGAGAATGTTATTAAGATTGGTCAAAGTTTGCTCAGGGTTCACCTGACGCGACATCCTGTGGAGGGTCTAATAGATCTTGATGGAGAGAGGAGGGGATTTTTGAGTCCATGTGAGATTTGGGGAGAGGTCATGCCACTGACTTGATGTACTGGACCAAATCCTGTCCTGTGATTGGAAGTAACCATGAACATTAAGGAGTCTTTTGTCATTACTCCAGTCTGTAACTTTAGACACAAGTCCAAAGTCTGAGTCTGGTAAACTTCTGTTCGGTATAGTAAACTCAGCTAATAATATTTGTCATTATGATGACACTGAAACGTTACACAAAGATGCTACGAGATAGTTCAGGCAAATAGACTCAGCGCAGACTGTAACCATCAAGTTAAGATGAAAGATGTGGGGCTCCCTTCATTCAAATACTCAAGGAACAAACTCAAGTTCAAGAACCCCAACTGCCCTTATTTTCAAAAGTTTGATGTAATTTATGAAATTATCAGAATAGATTACAGCTGTGTCATCCACAACGACATGTTCTGTGTTGTTAGTGGGCCAGCACTGGATCACAAATGGAAGCATGTGTATGACAGTGCCCATGTTGTTTCAGGGCAGCTTGTTTCTGTGGGAGCAGTACAACGACAGCTACACACGGACGTACCACGCCCACCGGAGCCGGGCCGGGACTGCCCTGGTGGTGCTGCGGATCCTGCTGGCCGGCTTGTTTGGCTGGAATCTCTACACAACGATTAAAGCTGAAAGAAGCACATTAAAGCGGGAATTTTATAGTACTTTTACAAAAGTAAGTCTTGTTCCATACATGAGTAAACAGTAAATCTGACAGTAAATCATGCAGCTATCTCGGACTATATCAGCAACTGTCCTAATCACAACATCAAGTGGGACAACGTCCAAATCCTCTCCAACAACCTCCATGATTTCATTAAAATAAAACTAACAGAAGCAGTCCACATTCGCCACCACAAGCCATCAATCAACAGAGTTCAAGGCTATTTCATATCCCATCCGCCTACTATGAACTCATCAAGCAATAATCACTTATCCTGTTTATTGGCTTCATGTCCCTATTGGCTTCCACCTATGTGTTCTCTGTCCATCGTGTTGTGACAGCATCATCCCTTTGTTGTCAACACCTACCAACGTTATCCCACTCATGTATGCAATTGTTGTTACTGCTAATCCTCTACTGTTAATACTCCAACTACTATATACTCTGTACTATGTCCCTCATTCATCCAAACAGGACACACCAACCTAAATAACCACCTAAAAAAAATAAAAAAACACACTACAGGTAACTGCCCACACTGCAAACAACTAGAAACCCCAGAACACGCACTCATCCACTGCACACATTACCTAACACATCGAACCGCATTACAAACCACCCTCAATCTAAACAAGGCTCTCACTCTAGAAGCAATACTAAACCCACAAAATAAACTAGAAAACTTCAAGGCCTTAGGCGTATTCTTAATAAAAACGGAACTAATAAAACGCATCTAAAAACACAATAACCTACCAAATCAAAATTACATAAACAAACAAACATCCACCATACCCAGCTCCCTTAGTTCTCCTCCCCAACCCCATCGGCATCTATTCCAAATCTCAAAATTCCCAAATTCTATATAAGCAACCCCTAAACCCCCCTTTTGGGTTGCACAGACCACTTTCGCCCCTTTGGGAAACACACTAGATGGCCTGGCCGGGCCTGTGTGCGAAAATACGCATCAGTCGGAAAGCGCACGTTAAATCTCCAAAGTAAGTAAGTAAGTACCCTCATTCAGTCTTGCTTGACAATGGTATAAGGATCTATTCTGAAACGGCGCTTTTTACAGTATTAAAGGAGTTGTTATCCATAAAATTGTGTCTACCTTGTCATCTGTCAACTTCTAAGTAACGCCTATCAAACAATTTATCTTCTTCCAATTGTTTACAAGAAACACAGTTTCAGTGCATGTGTAATTTTTCAGACTGTACTGCTTGTCATCATTTTTGGTATATCTCCACCAACTCTTAAACAATATTACTGTTTCAATATCAGCTTTATGGGCGGTGGGGTAGCCTTATGGTTAAAGTGTTCGCTGTCATGCCAAAGGCCTGGGTTTGATTTCCCACATAGGTACAATGAGGGAAGCCTATTGCTGGTGACCTGATATTGCTGGAATATTGCTATATATTCGAAACCATACCCAATCACTTGCTTATTCTCATGTTATCATGTTGTGATGCGTATCGTATCATTCATGTATCACTTTGAGTATCATCCCTGTCGATAACATCGTTGATCTCTGTCATTACATAATGGAGAACAGAGAGCTGCCACTGTTCTATTGCTGCCATATTTTTCCTGTAAAATCTAGTTGTCTTAGGTGCTACATTTTACTATACAGAGTTGTGTCCCTTAGGTATATCAGAAACATATGATCATGAGTTCAAATCCCGGTTACCCTGATAATGTTTTTATGTATGTCAGCACTACAGCCGTGTTAGTTGTAAACGACGTAAGACCGGCTTAACTTGGGGCTTTCCTCCCACATTAAACTGACATGCTGTGATATAACTGGAATACTGTTAAGTAACATTAAACTCAACTCATTCGTTCACTCAGTATACCCCACTGTTTACTTCAGGCTTGCATGTTGTGGTTCCTGTGCTATCCGGCCACTGTGACTATAACGTGGATATTTCCTGAATACCTCCGCTCAAAGGTAAGTTTGAAGTGATATCATTACCCCTTGACATGACCCGTGAAAATTCCAGGGTAGAATAGGTCTTCAGCAACCCATGCTTGCCGTAAAAAGGCGACTATGCTTGTCGTAAAAGGTGACTTATGGGATCGGGTGGTCAGGCTCACTGACTTGGTTGATACATGTCATCGATCCCAATTTCGTGGATCGATGCTCATGATGTCAATTACTGGATTGTCTGGTCCAGACTCAATTATTTTACAGACCGCCGTCATATAGCTGGAATATTGCTGAGTGCGGCATTAAACAACAAACAAACAAACAAACCTCTTGACATTGTTTATACAGATGAATACTTTCCTTGCTACCCTGTTACGCCAGGAATACAGCAATCCTGTTGTTATTTTGAAAACAGAGTTTTGAAATATTTTTTATACTCCCCACCTTAAAGTTATTAATACTTAAGGTCCTTCGTCAGAATTTGTACATGACTAAGAATTGAAATATTACATATGTTACATGTAGGCTAAAAAAATTATTCTCTTGGTTCTCAGGCACAGACTGCATCATCATAAAGTTCGCTGCATGTTTTGTTTTTATTTCCATTTTTTATATAAAAAAAAATTAATCCTTAAATATTCCAAGTCCAACGGTAGTCAAATACTGTATTCCAGGATTTTGCTCATCAAGGAATACATTTATGTAGGGAGGCCCTTTCCCAGGTTGATTGTACACAATTGTTTATTGATTACACAACTTTTTATTGGTTACATACTAGTTTGAACAACCAAAGAAATTTAAAAAAGACACCGCCAGCCCGCACGTTATTTTCAAAAACTATTGCCAGAGAACCAACTCTTTTATTTTTTTAAGCCTTAACCACTTTCTAAAAGGCAGTGTGTCTATAAATGACTCCTCCCTTGTGTTGCAGCTGGTGCTGATGGGGGTGTTGCTGAGCCAGTCCCTGGCCGGGGCACTCCTGTACAAACTCTTCCTCTCCAGGAGCCTATACTGGGAGGTGTCCGCACTCTCCAGCGCCCTGCCACTCCGATTCGATAAAACCTTCAGCTTGAAGATGTATTCTTGACACCATGCGGTGTATGTGGTATTGTCAGTGTCAAACAACGCATATGAAACTTGGACATGTGATCTTTTCATTTTCTTAATGATGAAGTTATTGTTTAACATTCAGCGACAATTTGAAACCTCAGAATACCATGTGATAACTTTTCATTTTCATGATGATCATGCTTGTTTTATGTTTTATGTTTTCATAAAACAGGTCAAACCCAAATCCGTCTCCTTGAAACAGTTGATAAAATGAATAATGCTACCATATGGAGTGCATGATATTTGTGACATTTTCACATTGATATTAGCAATTCTCAAAGTGGATTGTCAGAATACACATTCTTAAGAACAATATAATATGGCAATATGTCACCCCCTTCTGTATTCTGCGATTCCGAGGTCGCTGAGTACTTTGCAGAAATGCGCACTCTGTGCAGAAATGTATCTGTTTTGCAGAAAATCACAATTTTCTGCAAAACTCGTGCAGAATATTGCATTGACCTGCTGCAGAATTAATTCAATACACTGCAGAATTTGAACATGTGAGTGGAAAGCTGCTTTAAAATGTGTAAACGGATATTTTTTTCTTTTTGAAGGGAAGTTGAATTTTGTGTTATTGCCTACCGAAAGTGTATGTCTGTATGTTTATACAAGTGATCTCGAGATTCACTTCAATAAGCTGTACTAGCTGTGGATAAGTGTATCACAAAAGTACCTGGTGCAAAACAAATTCACAAAAACTAAGCTAAAGATTTGCCAGAATTTTGTGCAGAATTTACAAAAATTGTCTGCATAATTTTGATATTCTTTTGGCTGTGGAATACAGCGGGGACTGATGTGTATTATTATATACTGCAAAGCTTTCCGCCATGTTTTGGGGCCTAGAAGAAAGAAATGCATGTTGACTCCTTTCAAGGATGGATAATTTACGGCATTTACTCGAGTTACTGAAAATTACCCAGAAATGGTATTGCCGAAACCTGAGACAATTCTGTATCTGTCTGTTAGAACCTCCTGATGTTATTGTAGCTAATACAGTTTGATAGGTTGACCTGCTTTTGTCTCTATATTATATGATAAAACAATTATAGACTTTACATCATGTCAATACCTGCTTTTTTGGACCCCTCCAAAATATATCGACCTCAGACTTTGTGATGTACTGACATTTGTCCTCGGTCCATGTTACTTTTTATGGGTCCATAAATAGGTATTGACCTCATATTAAGTCTATCATCCTACACTGTAGTGTATACTATAACATCATCAGAACTATAACTTGACTTCAAGAAGTTTTTCTGGGGAGTTGACCTCTCATGTATTTTGATACAAGACATAACAATGGGTGATATATAGATATATCTTCTAGGAAGATTTACTTATCATTTACCTGTCTCTCAAAATGAATCTTGTAAGTCCATAAAACTATCAGAAGCGATGTGACAGTGCGCTAGTGGTTAAAGCGTTTGCTTGTCACACAGGTCGGGTTTCAGATCTCCACATGTGTGCAATGTGTGAAGCCCTTCCTTGCATCCCCGTCGTGATATAACACCCACTCAGCACAATCCACAGTTCCAAGTTTCCTTGTTGTTTTCAAAATGCTAGAGCTTCACATTTCAATATTCATTAAATCAAAACGTTTTCAATACAACAATTTCTGACTGTCCCAAACTCAACTCTTGTAAAATTTCTTTTAACCCTTCTACGGAGGCTGCCAACCCCCTTCTGGTATGCGGGGGGTCTACATAGAGGGTATAGTGGACACAAATAAAATCGTTTTTGGTACGCCGATTCAAAATTTAAAAAACATTTTGGTGTACATACATTTTCTGACATGCTTTTTAGATTTGTGTGAAGTAGTTTTCAGGATTCAGGGGTGAAAATGTAGATGGTACTTGAGATTTAGGGGAGTGGGGTTACTACCTCCCTAAGTTTAGCTTGTGACAGCCCAAATGTACTGTGTAAGATCGATTGATGGAGGAACAGACTGTGCTATTGGACTCGGTAGCCCTGTGTATTGTCTACAGATGGTGCTACAGTTTGTTATTGGACAGTCATTGTATTATGATAGGCAGCAAGGAAAAGCTGGTCAGTCTTGTTATCAGGCAAGTTTCGTATTCGAAAGACGACCAAGAAAGCTATGAGGAATTAATAAATAGTTTGTACTCGGTTATTGATATCATTGCGAGATCAGCATGGACAATCAATATGGGGTTAAATGTGAATCGATGCCAAATTAAGTGTATGGGGTATCGTATCGTGCAACGTTTGCTGATGATGCACCAGAGTACCGGTGAATTGCGACATTTATAATAATCACTTTAGTATGTTAATATAATATTACACAACTTTTAAGTTAAAGACAAGAACAAGTTGTCAGGATAGCAGTTTACTATCAAGATGCAAGTGACTGATACCATATATCGGTGTATGGTCTCTGGCCAAGGTGTTCAGTTTAGTGCTACAGTGAATACACTTTCAGTAAGATCACAGAGTGTCTGCTTGATGTAGGAAACATCCTGAAATCACTTTGGTAAACCCACAAAATGACTTTGTTGCTGACAAACCAAAAAACATAATCGCAACAAACAACATTGTTTGTTGTTCCTGGTCCCGGGACTGGTGACATCATTCAGCTCATGGGGGTCAGTTGTCTAAATTTCCTCAACTATTGTACAGGGTCTGTTGACCTGGGGTTTGAATCCCATATTTGCCCGATCTTGGTCTTTGGTTTGTCAAGTAAACGTCTGTGACCTGCAACTCTTCTGACTTTTCCTCCCCCAATGAGTGAGTGAGTATGATTTTACGCCACCTTTAGCAATAATCCAGCAACACCAGAAATGGGCTTCACACATTGTACCCATGTGAGGAATTGAATTCGGGCCTTGGGCGCGACGAGCAAACGCTTCAACCACTAGGCTACCCGACCGCCCCTCCCACATGAAACTGACATGCAGTGTTATGACATTATACAGTGAAAAACAACTCACCCACTCACTCATTTTCAAGAGGGGGGATCGAATCGAGAATTAAAAAATCTTATAATGATGAGATTGATCACTGACTGAACCCTATAAACTTACTTATCGATGTTGCAGGCAAACCCAATATGGCAAACCTACGGAGATTTATATCACTATGTATCCATGCCCCCAGGGCAAGCTTCTTGATCGTAAAATGTCTGAGGATAATAATGCAGTGCTGATATTATTTAATTCTTGAGAGATGTGTTACAGTGTTATTCAACTTTAGAACTGCCCCTTTAATGATTAATAGACTTCTTCCATTGTGAAGTGGATAGAGCGTCTCATTAGTTGCATCATACCGTAAGACGTTGAAAGATGGTTCTTATTGTTGGGATTTAGGGGATAATACAAGGACTGGTTGGCTCAGGGTATAGTGTATCTGAATCGGGTATCCATGTTAAACTGTAGCCTAAAATTTTATTTATCTTACAACTGTACTGTGGGCCATGTGGCCTGAATTACGAAATAGACTTGACTTGACTTGTAGCATGGTATCTTAAGTGTGCTGGCTCAATAAAATCAGCGTCAGTCCAAAGTGAAAAACATCAGTGATGAAGATGGTTTGTAATCTCATCATCGGCTGAGTACAGGGTATCCTTCCACACAAGTTATTTAGGGCCAAATAAGGGAACTGTCTTGATTCGCTCACCTCAAATTGCTGCTGCCCAATGATTCAAAATAGATTATATATCAGTTCTGAAATTATGGGTTTTACATCACAACGTACCGGGGTAGGTAAAATTCAGACAGCCTAGTGCCAAAAGCTATTTTGTTATTTTCAAGAAACCAAGTTAATTTTTCTTGTAATTAATAAGATCTGTGGACATATGAACATGATACAGTTAATTCCTTCTGCCCAACTAGTAAACATAAAGTTGATATGAAACATATTTTGTTTACTTGGTTGCAGCCTACAATAGATTATCGGATTTGTTTGATGTGGATATGGATGGAATGTGCAATTTGTGAACAGTGAAGCATTTTGAGGTGTAATCTCCGCTGCCTGCAATAGGAGTGAGTGAGTGAGTGAGTTTGGTGTTACGTTGCTTTTAGCAATATTCCAGCAATATCACGGCGGGGGACACCAGAGATGGGCTTCAAACATTGTACCCATGTCAGGATTCAAACTCGTGTCTTCGGTGTGACGAGCAAACGCTTTAACCACTAGGCTACCCAACCGCCCTGCCCGCAATAGGATCTGAAGCCATTATTCATACACCACTGATGGCCACATCATTGCATCAAGGGGAATAATCTGCCTCAGCAGGAGTGGGGAAATCTTAAAACAACATTCACTCGACCCAAGAGCATGTATACAGCTTACACATGAAAATGTGGGAAAATAATGTTTCCCAACCATCCTCAATTATCAAGCTTATTATTATATCCCATTTTTCCATTGTAATGGGGATGCTGGATAATCGAAGACGCACCCAAGATGAGCTGACAGATAAAACGGAATAACTGTTATTAGGAAAAGATTTCTCACAAAATGTGTTAAAAAATTCAAAAATATGTTGTCAGGAACAACAATATGGTTTCCCACAAGTGGTGCGATGCTTTCTTCCTTGAATGTTAGCAGATATATATGTCCTTATCTCACACATTATTTGTCATATTATTGTCATATCAGTTAATATTGGTTGTTAATTATTTACTTTGCATGTTTTCAAACTTTGCAGCATGTGTTTATGATATTTGTGTTTGATATTTAAGATTTTTATACAAACAGGTAATCTAGGTTGTGTTTGCTGGAAATATTGAAGCTGTTCAAAATATGGTGCATGGAAGTTCTAATGTAAGCCTAGACCAGATATGGTGTTTGTGTTATATTGTGTTTGTTTGTTGTATGGACAAGTCTTCAATATTTTTGCCGAACTGAAAAAAATGTGTATTATTAATGTTTACCTGTATCTCAAAGCCTGACAAGTTGATTATTTATTTGTAAGTGATGTAGTTACCTTCTTGCTTGATTATGTTTAGCTGAAGACAAAGCATCCCCATGAAGATTATATTCACCTGTTATCACCTGTGTTATCATTAAATCATTTATTGTCAAAATATTCTGAGGCTGTTGGTAGACAATGAGTCCCATGTTGAGATTCAAAACAAGGACCAAATAAAATTAATTACATTTTATTTTTATGATGAAATTGTCATTTCAGTTAAATGAAACAACATCAGCTACTCCATTGGGACAAAACAAGGCTCACTAACAAATAATCAGTCATGTTCTTGTATGGGCCTTGTCATGTTTTGATGGTTGCCATGGCGAGGTCGTAACAGTAGCACCTTCACAGACATGACTGATTCTTGCATGACTAGACCGCCTGAAATATTAGTGCTCTTTAAATAATTCGTTGGTAGATGTATCTAAACTGCACAGTGCCTTGGGGATTCAATAAAAATGTATTTGATAAATAGTTCATGCTGTTTGCTTAATATCTTTGTTTCCCATCTGCCAAACCAGTAAAACCTGCATGGTGATGGATGGTCAGTACCAGTTACAGCCAAAGGTGTGGAGTTGTGTCCCCTTAGCTTCCAGGATCTTCTGTTTGTTGGACTTACACTGTGATCCTTTTTGGTTCACCTACAACCTCGTCCTTGATTTTTCAGTGTATCATACCTTCATTCTATATATTGATAAATAACCTGGACCTGTTTGCTGTCATTGATTTGTTTGGGTAGTGTCACCGTCATCTCCATCTCTCATGTCTGGAACATCTCTCAGATTGTTTTAAATCGATCACCAATATTAAGAATGTGCTCCTGTGTATTAAGATGTGACAAAAGTCCTCCACTGTCTGAACTTGGAGGTTTGGAAGGCTATTCATTGCGTGTTATTCGGATCATACTCAAAAGGAAGCTATGGGTCAGGGTGTTAATAGCTTTTACACATTATTCAGCAACTTAAGTACTTGCCCGAAGCCCGAGTCTAGTAAATTTATGTTTGGTCTAGTAAATTCAGCTATAATAGTTCATATAACATATAAATCTTCTAAAAATCATGCCTTGAGCCCCAACATATTTAGCACGGAACATGCCTACGAGGTGGTCCTGCAATTGTACTTCTAAGCCAAGGAACTTGTTTCAGTTAACAGCTGGTTGTATATTCTTTGGGATGTGTCAAGTGTTGTACCTTATTGTGTTGCTGTTGATTGTAAGATATTGGTACATTGAACTTTAATGACATAGGAGTTGTAGGTAACATCAAATCCCGGCTGTATTCCTATGCTGATGGCCTCCTATGTATACCGGTACATATTGATCCACTTTTACAGGCCACCTCCAGGTTCCCAGGGTACATCAAGTTGAGAACACGTCCGATGGATGTGTCCTCTTGTGAAGGTCCTTGTGTACCTGTCCCCATGTCAACATCCTAGTGTCATGCACATGTCCATTAATGGCCCCATGTCAAAGTCCTAGTGTCATGCACATGTTCATTAATGGCCCCATGTCAAAGTCCTAGTATCATGCACATGTCCATTAATGGCCCCATGTCAAAGTCCTAGTGTCATGCACATGTCCATTAATGGCCCCATGTCAAAGTCCTAGTGTCATGCACATGTCCATTAATGGCCCCATGTCAAAGTCCTAGTGTCATGCACATGTCCATTAATGGCCCCATGTCAAAGTCCTAGTGTCATGCACATGTCCATTAATGGCCCCATGTCAAAGTCCTAGTGTCATGCACATGTCCATTAATGGCCCCATGTCAAAGTCCTAGTGTCATGCACATGTCCATTAATGGCCCCATGTCAAAATCCTAGTGTCATGCACATGTCCATTAATGGCCCCATGTAAATGTCCCAATGTCTAGGACATCTATTGTCCATTGAAGTTTCCATGTGAACAGCCTGTTCAACATCCACACGATGATGTTGACAGCCTCATATACATGTCATCCCCCATGTCCACATTTGATTTCCATGTCCCCATGTACTTGTCCTCACATCCACGTCCTCATGACCACTTCCCAATGAGAATGTCCTCACAATGTGGCCATGTACATGTCTTCACATCCCCACATCCTCACCCCATGTACACATTGTCTGACATGACTGACTGCTGTACTGCAGGACTGTTTCCTATGGTTGTTGCCTGTCTATATTTAAATAGAAATAAAAATCTATTTTACATGAGCATGTGTCAGTTGTCATTTGTCTTTGACTTGAACAATCACCTTCAGTAGCGACTTGGGGTAAGGAGGGTAAAATAGTTCCCCCTGAAAATAACATAGTGAAAGAAGAGTTACCTCCCTTGAACACAGCCTGTTGATCTACATATATTGTGTGTCAAATTGTGAGTGAGTGAGATGGGTTTAACGCCGCTTTTAACATTATTCCAGTTATATCATGGCGTGCCAGCTTAATGTGGGAGGAAAGCCCGAAGTGATGCAGGTCTCAGACGTTTACCACTTCGGTGAAACCCACGAGCACGGGTATGGTGCTGACAAACCTAGAAACATAATCGGGGCGAACCGGGAGTGTCATATTGTTTGGTCATGCAGATAAAAGTATTAAAATAATTCACATATTCAACTTCCAAGAGTGCAGTTCCGTTGCAGCTGGAATGAACCATTTCATACCCACAATGACTGAAACTTATCATGTATTGCACATGCAAGGTTGTTGGTTTGTTGTTTAACGCCACACTTAGCAATATTCCAGCTATATGATAGCGGTCTGTAAATAATCAAGTCTGGACCAGACAATCCACTGATTGATATCATGAGCATCGATCCACGCATTTGGGATTAGATGACATGCTTCAACCAAGTCAGTGAGCCTGAACCCCTGATCCTGTTAGTCACCTCTTACAATAGTTGCCTATTACGACAAGCATAGTCGCTTCTTACAACAAACTTGGGTTGTTGAAGACCTATTCTCACCCGGATCACACAATTCTAAAAGCATTGTTCACAGCAGTGTTGTCATCTTGTTGACACACAGTACCTGGTTATTTACAGAATTTGCTGACCACCATCACATAGCTGGACTACTGCTGAGTGAGGTGTTAGACAAACCTGGATAGATCTGTCAATATCAACATGGATAGGGAAAGAGTGAGTGAGTGAGGTTTTATGTAACTTTTAGCAATATTCCAGCAATATCACGACGGGGTACGCCAGAAATGGGCTTTAAACATTGTACCCATGTTGGGAATCGAACCCAGGTCTTCAGAGTGACGAGGGGACGCTTTAACCACTAGGCCACCCCCACCGTCCCTTGATATGGAAACAGGCAAGAAGCATAGTGGCAATCAGTACAGGATTTCCAGATGCCTCATTTGAAGTATTTTATTAATAAATTGATGATTGCTGGATTATGTACAATGAAGTATCTGAGACAAGCAGTCACACAAACAACAGAAAATTTAAATCTCATTAAAATCAGATCTTAGTTCTTGCAACCGCTAAACAAAGATCTGAGGACATCCCATTAGGGGTCATGTCAGAACGACCTTTCATCCGACCAATCAGAGCGTCACTTACCAGATCATGAAAGTGATTTCTAATCATGCATCCTCGAAAACTTTAACATGGTGTATTCCGAACGATAGTTACGGGCTTAACGAGTGAATCCACACAATCTATACCATCTATTAGCCATCCCAGAATGTTCTTTTGTTCAGGTTTCAAATTTTTTATCGAGAATTTGTCAAAATATGTTTTGAAGCGTAGTCGCGAATTTGAAATTAGTGCTGTAAAGCACAAGAAAGCTGCCTTCTGATTGGCTAATGTCGACTTCTTGACAATCATTCCATTGGTCGCTCAAAGTTCACGCAAGGTCAGTCTGACGTGACCCCTAATGGTATGTCCTAAGATCTTTGTTTAGCGATAGCGAGAACTAGGATCTGATTTTAACGAGATTGGAAAATGTCTGAATACTTGATATTTGATCATGATGTAGTTTTGAGGAACCAAATTTCACAGACAAGAGATATTTCTGGTGCTGTTGGCTGAAATTATAATTCTGTTATCACCTGGATGCACACATGACACAACTTACATTGAGCACAGTTTGACATGAACACAGACCTCGCTGACACACACAGCAGGACATCTCAAGTCTCTCTGCTTCTTTCAGATTTTATCCTCGTCTACATGCTCATGTAGCTCTCGACATAGTCCACATGAATAGCATGTACCAGCTACTGCAACCAGCCAAGAGAGTGTGAGCGAGGGATAGAAATGTCTGTTTTTCCCTTGTGGTAAATCCAGATTATCACCTCCGTCGATCATCATATCCAGCTCTGTCGTCATGACTCCTGTCATCACGTCGGTATCTGTCACGGTCTCTAAATTCACCTCGGAATCGATCCTCAGAGTTATCTCCCCTTCTTTGCCTGAAATCCTCCCTCTCTCTGTCTCTCCATACATTATCTCTCCTGTCTTCCCTCCCTCTGTCAAATCTCTCATTTCTCCTATCTTGTGATCTGACCATTCCATTTCTGTACCCAGAATCCCTATTAAAGTCCCCATCTCTCTCAAAGGCCCCGCCCATATCTCGTCTGTCTCTCTCATAGCCCCCAGCCCCATCTCGTCTGTCTCTCTCATAGCCCCCAACCCCTTCTCGCCGGTCTCTCTCAAAGGCTCCGCCGCCTTCTCGCCTGTCTCTCTCAAAGGCTCCGCCTCCTTCTCGCCTGTCTCTCTCAAAGGCTCCGCCTCCTTCTCGCCTGTCTCTCTCAAAGGCTCCACCTCCTTCTCGTCTGTCTCTCTCAAAGCCCCCACCCCCATCTCTCCCAAAGCCCCCACCCCCATCTCTCCCAAAGCCCCCACCACCCTCTCTCCTGTCTCTCTCAAAGCCCTCACCCCCATCTCTCCTGTCTCTCTCAAAGCCCTCACCCCCATCTCTCCTGTCTCTCTCAAAGCCCCCACCCCCATCCCTTCTGTCCCTCTCAAATCTGTCCCCAGGTGAAACCCCTTGTCTTTCCTGTTGGTCAAACCAAGGATCAATCTTTTCTTTCTTTGTCCTGATTGGCTGACTCTTGTCATGTGACCTCTCATCCTCACTACTTGAAGCTGATGCTGATTCTACTTTTTTCTTTTTCTTTTCTTTCTTTTTCTTCTTCTTTGATTTCTTATCTGGATCTTTTACTGGAAAAAAAATAGCAGATTATAGCAGATATTGTGGTTGATCGAAAATTAATTTTATTCAAATACATCTTTTTTGTGATATGCTGCAATACAATACAAGATGGATGACACCAGGTGTGTCATGACTTACCAATGTATCGACAGATTTGCAACTGAGGATGCGATATATAGGTTTTAATTAAATATTGGTTTGTTTTTTACTCATCCAGCCTGATACCTACTCAATGCTAGCACTACCTATCAAAGAAAGGGAAAGAATCTATCAGATGTGATTCCTCCTTTAACCAACTGCACAATATATTGGTGTCAAGACTTTCTTGACATGTGATGTTTTATAAGTACTTTGCAAAAAGATTTATCATCCAAAACTAGCTTCAACAGGGGATATATCACTACAATGAAATAGCATCCTGTTAAGCCAGCCATGTGGTCCTGCAGTGTCTTTTGTAAAATCACGGCACCTAATGTGAAATAAATTAAAAAAACAAACAAAAAAACTATCCCTATGCTTCGCAGACCACTATGATGTCACAACGCAATGACATCATTGTTCTCTCTGCCACTGAAACTGTAGCTGTACTTACACTCAAACAACTGGCTACTGCTGTTTACAAACTGAGAAAGTTGACACAGTAGGATGGAACATCACCTCAACTTTTATCGACTCGTGTCAGAGCTCCAGATAACTTTTTGAGCAATTGAGTTTTTACTCGAAGGTTTCTATTTTAATTGGGTTATTACATTTTTCATTGGATAACCAATATTTTTTCACTCATCTATTCATCACTCTATTGGGTTTTTAAACAATTGAGTTTTTCGTTTGATGCATGCTTTTCTGTATGCAAGTTAACTGAAAGTAACTGGGTTTGGAATAGTTTTGGGGGTATTTTACGCAAATATGCAGCTTATCTGTAGCTCTGTATGTTGATATATTTGATATCGAATTCACTCCAGGGATTTATCTAGACCTGCTCGGAGTACAACATAACAGGACCAGTAAATAGGTCAAGGTTGTTGGTTGGTTGGTTTGTTATTTAACGCCTCACTCAGCAATATTCCAGCTATATGACGGCGGTCTGTAAATAATCGAGTCTAGACCAGACAATCCAGTGATTGACATCGTGAGCATCGATCCACGCAATTGGGATCGATGACATTCATCAACCAAGTCAGCCAGCCTGACCACCCGATCCCGTTAGTCACCTTTTATGACAAGCATGGGTTGCTGAAGACCTATTATACCCCGGAATCTTCACGGGTCAAATAGGACAAGGGGTTGCTGCTTAGTTTTAGTCTTGAATAGGTTTTACTTTGATTTTCAAAAGTGGGGGTTCAGTGGACCCTCAATAATCAATTAGAAGGATCCTTGAAGGCAATATAAGGGTGTCTTGTACTGTACATTTTGATCATTACTTTAGAGCCTGGAATGAATCAATGATTATGTGGACAATGGACATGATTGATGGACCAAATAACAGACACTCATAACTGCTGTTGATGGGCTGTAGGTACAATTAATATAATTGTGCATCCCTTGCACACAAAACAACCGGTTCAAACTCAAAATACAATGTTAAACATGTTAAAATACCTCTGAATTTAAGAAAATAAGAACATTAAACTAAAACATGAATAAATCATTTTTTGGCCCATTTGCCTCGGGCACAACGTATTGAATCTTGGACAAATCTCTGAACCCAGGTGAGCTTCTCTGTAAATGCCATACAAAAAAAAAATATTATCACAATAATTTATAAAAGTCATCAATCAACAATAATTTCATATCATCACAGATAATTTCTTGTCAAGAATAACTACAGGCTACCTTTCTTGGCTTTCTTTACGGTAACGACAAACGATTCCTCATCTTCGGATGACGACTTGATCTTGGGGGCACATCCCTCTTCCCTCAGCTTCTTTGTGACATCATCCTCATCTCCATGCTCCTTGGGAATCTTGTAGCTCTCCACGTGGTCCACACGGATAATACGGCCCAGCAACTGAACCAGAACGAGAGTAAGTAAGCAGGATTACAGATATGTGTTTTTTAATATCATTTATACTTATCCTGACTCATACTATTGCTTATCTCTACTCATTTCCGAAAGGTAGTGGAAACTTCCTGAACTGTGTTCCCAGAGAACAGAAAAACAGCTCACCTGACGCACCCGTGAGCCGTGCAGGCACACCGGAACCACGTGACAAAACCCATAGACTCCTCACTCTCACATTTCTCTTACCTAACAGTCAAAACACAGGGGAAGAGGGGATGCCTGGATGGGCACAATAGCTCATAGATCAATGCTCATGACATCAATCACTGGATTGTCTGGGTGCCATTGTTCAGAGCGACCTTAGCGCTAAGGTGATCATAACTCCCATACCTTAACATAGACTTATGACAGTCGTAGCGCTAAGGTTGTTTTTTACAATGGCACCATGGTCCAGAGTTGATTATACACAGACGGATATCACACAGCTGGAATAATGCTGAGTGCGCATTAAACAACAACCTAAACGTTCTTTATTTTGTTCTGAGCAGTGACATTTGACCTTTACCTTAATACTGTTGAGGTTGTCCACAGCTAGCACTGTGCTGCGCTGATCCTCGTAGCAGAGGAAGCCGTAGCCCTTGGACTTCCCGGTTCCTTTGTCTCGCACCAGGTTTATGTTGACAATTTCCCCATACCTGGAATATAAACATATACTGACTACACATAGCTCAGTACTTAATGCTGATGTCAGTGTGGTCTTGTCTTATCATTTTCACTGCCTGCTCAAACATTGCTCACCATTTGATCAGAGCTCCAAGGGAGGTAACCTGCATAATATTCAAACTATATAACCACAACCGAGTTCATTTGGGTTTGCTGGCATGAGTGAGTGAGTGAGTGAGTAGGGTTAAACGCCGCTTTTAACAGTATTACAGTTATATCGCGGCATGTCAGCTTAATGTGGGAGGAAAGCCAAGAGTGATGCAGGTCTCAGATATTTACCACTTCGGTGAAACCCACGAGCATGAGTATGGTGCTGACAAACCTAGAAACATAATCGGAGCAAACCTGGATTCGAACCCACAATCATAGGTTTCTGGCATGCCCAAGTAACGCGACTCTGCACAGCGAATAGCGGCGCATTAGACGACTGAGCCATTCATGCCCCCGTACGAAGTTGACAGCGATTGTGATCAACCATCTAAACTGCCTGGTTAAACATTGCTTACAATTTGATGCTGAAGATCAGTGTGATTTGTTTAGTTTCAATGTTGAAGCCGTCAGTTCCAAATGACATGTCCTGGCAAAATATACACATTACCATCTTTCATTCTGAAAACACATAATGTTCTTGCAATGACCTATTGACTCACTGGGAGAAGACACAGAGTATGTCTCCCTCTGTCAGGTCATAGGGGAGTCCGCCTATAAAGAGCCATGCGCTGTCCTTATACTGGTCGTGCCATGACTTCTTGCCAATACTACCGAGTTGTAGCTCAGTCTGGTTCAACTTCTGGATGTTGCGAACATTTCTGCAAACAATCAAATACTGTAAATCGTGAAATTAATGCGTCTCCAAAAGAATGCGACCACTGGACCCTAGCTAAAAATGTGACTCAATATGAATGCGACACCCCCTCCCCTCAAGCATCAGTGGATTGATATCTTAAGATGTCCTCAGTCAGGTTTAGAATCCTCACCTTAATCCAACCTTACATTAATCCTATCACACACCAACTGAGTAAAGTACTTCCGCAAAAACAATACATGCGCGCTGGCTTGTGTCGGCCTTTGACGCAGTCGCAAAGAACAAAGGGTGGCGTCTGTCTGGACTTGCAGGTGTGATCAGTGATGACATATGTGAGTAGAACTCTTGTCTTGACCCAAGCAGTGACAATTCATAGGACGCAATTAGTGTTTGAATGACATTGTTTATATACTTTATATATAAGTGCTGCTCAATAAACAGTGGTGTGGAATACATCAGCGTATGTCTAAGTTGGTATTTTTGCTATCCAAAATGTCTTATTGTTGATATAAGTGTGATGTTTAAAAATGCGAGCAAAGACTGCTCGCATTTTTCGCATTTAATTACAGTAGATGTCACAAGTCATAATACAATTATTACATTCTCATCACGGCCAGCCTCCCTACCAATCACCCTGCCTCACACTATGTTATTGTCCCCATGTGCCTACAGATGAAGAAAGTCACTAAATGCCTTCTTACACAGATACTGAGTAGTTTGTTTAAATGTAACAAAAATAAAATGCCTCCCACCTCAGTTTTGAAAGAAATGTAAATAAAAATCAGATTATTTATTCAAGATTACTGCACTTATGTTGCGCCATGCATGTAACATCTTCCCGAGGCAAGAGAGTTAACTGACTATAAAAGTCCAGTTTCCACCCTTGCCGAACTAGACTGGAATTATGGATGTATATTTTGGCTGGACTAATGCGTCTATGCATAGTTCAATCAAAATCGTATAACGAAATCGACATATGGTTTGTAAACTGACATGCAGGTATCGTTGATAGCAGGATTTGCAAAGCATGTGCACCACCAACTCAGCATCGACAGATATTTTCCTAACCTTCTCATATGTTTAATCAAGATGCTCACCTGATTTGATGCACTTCGCAAAGCAAGACCCGCTTTAAGACACTTATAGATTTTGATTATCGATCAGATCTTGACTGGGAGCTGCCGTTTTGTTTGAAGCAAATGCATGTGAGATGAGAGGTGGAATCTGATTAGGCATTTTTTTTAGGAGGGACGTGACTCTTTATAGCTAACAGTGGCACTAAGACCGAGCCCATAAATTCCTGCCTAGTTTGGCAAGGGTGGAAACTGGACTTTTACAGTCAATTAACCCCCCTTGCCTCAGGAAGATGACTATTAATTACTCGAGGGATGATATTTATCTTTGATCTGTATGAAACTTTTATTTGACTAATATCAATAACCTTCTCACAAATCAACTTGTGATTTTCTTTTTGCGTGGAGTGATTGATGACGGACACAGATGTTTACAACTTTGTTGAAACCACAGGACCATGTAACAATAAAAATATAGAAAAGTTGCAAAAAAAATCATAGATGAGGCCAAAGGCCGAGACCATGTAACAATAAAAATATAAAAAAGTCGCAAAAAAATCATAAAAGAGGCCAAAGGCCAAGACCATGTAATAATAAAAATATAAGAAAGTCGCAATTTGCGACTTTTTTATATTTTTAGACTCGTCTATAATTGTTTTGGAAACTTTTTTATATATTTTTATTGTTACATGGTCCTGTGCTGAAACCCACAAGCGCGGCTATGATGCTTATGTAGCAACTATAAAATTTCCGAGTCCCGTGATGGGATTCGAACCACGGACCTTCTGATCCGAGGTTGGACGCCTTGTCCACATGACCAAAGAGGTTATCCCCGTCAGCAAGCTGACAAGGTAAGGATGTCATCTGTGGGATGACTCCACACCCTGCTACATACTCCCCTGTCAACAGAAGGAACGTCCCGGGCCGCATAGTAGGGTACTGAGGCTTATTTTGCTCAAATTTAATATGAACATGCTCAGCCCCACATTGGGCGCCAATGTAGCGGCCATAAAATTTTCGAGTCCCGTGATGGGATTCGAACCACGGACCTTCTGATCAGAGGTCGGACGCCTTGTCCACATGATAAAAGAGGTTAACCCCGTCAGCAAGCTGACAAGGCAAGGATGTCATCTGTGGGATGACTCCACGCCCTGCTACACTTACAAACCTAGATACAAGCTCGTGACGAACCGAGATTCGATCCCACGATCAAAGGTTTCAGACGACCTGAAGTTTTGCAAGCATCAGATGTTCACCACTTCGGTGAAACACATAAACACTGGTATGCTGCTTACAACCCAAGAAGCGTGATCCTGTGCTCCATCAAACGAAAGACAAAGTGGTGATCGAAAACCGCACCGCAATCCCTCCTTGAATGGTGTACGTATCACAAAACAAAGAGAACCGGGTGTTATTATGTCATAGGACGTATCTAAGCCAAACTCACGTTAATGGATTCATTACTTAACCAAGAAAGTAACTAAAACACTCTGCAACGTTGACCAGACAAAACGTCAAATTCGGGATGAAGTCTTTTGCCGCAAAAGGAATATTTCCGGAATTAATGCAGCAAAAAATAGAATATGATCACCATTTATGTATACAATATAAATTCATATTGTCAATACTGAGAATTGCCCCAGTTTCCAAATTCAATGTTTTTCTTCGACTACATATTTCAACGTGCTGGGGAAACTGAAAGTCGTAATATTATTTCGCGGTCAATTCCCCAACAGTTTGTAGCAAGTTACCTCCCCTGGAATATTGAGCCCAAGGGAAACTTGGTTCCCAAATAAAAGGTAAGGATTTCACTGAAACGGTGCGGATTATCATTGTTATGACATGACACTAAGCCAATGGCATATAGAGGTTCATACAGATAACGAACAGTGATTGACATCTTTTGTATGTTGTTCCGTGTGCTGGATAGTTTCAAATCTGACATTTGGGCGCCGTCACATGATCATGATGCCGATAACATAATATGATGATGATAAACACTTTACCTACAGTGAGGATGGTTGGAAATATAACTATAATATTTTGTCCCCTAAGGAAAAACCCAATAACTGAATAAAGTGGTTTGTAAGATACGACTATCTGGATTGTTTGGGTAATGTGAGAAATAATTTGTTTTGATTTCACTCCCAAATCTAGCCTAAGTAATCGAGTCTTTATGCAGAAGCATTCATTATAAACGATTTTGATAAAAACTTGTCGCTACTGTATACAACAGAGGTATGGTTACCATAGCAACTATAGAGGTGAATTCGTAACCAGTATCATCAAATTTTAGATTTTAAATATTTAATACATAGTGATCTGATGTGATGGTCAAACGATATGTTTCTAATGTTTTACTTGCATTTCACGGTATTACAGCAAAATGGTAATCCCCGACTCCACAGACCTTTTACCGAATGATCCTCTTGTCCTTCTCAGGTTGGATATATTTACTGGATTATTAAGTTATAATTGTGTTTACAAAGGATCCGGCAAAAGAAATACTAATACTTACTTGAAGTGGGATGCATAGGTGAATCGCAGGGCTCCAGATAAGCTGCGTATCTGCGTAAAATACGCATCAGAAATACAGAAATACGCAGTAAAATAAAATCCAAGCGTCTCAAATACGCAACAAACTTTACAGATACGCTACAAAAATAAAACTTGTGCATATTATCAAAATATTGTGAAGTAACACTGCGTATTCGATTCGCAAATCAGCAACTTATTTTGAAATTATAAACGGGCATTCCGTCAACCTTGCCAAACTCCACGATGACAGTTACATCATGATCATTTGCCATCACACTTTCCTGTGGAAGTATCGTGGTATTTTTGAGTCCTACAAAGCTCTCGAACCCACACTGCACCAGTTTGCAGGGACTAGATGAATAGTGTTTTTACATATTTAACTTAAATACCCACATGTGTAAAAACTAGTGGGTAACAGATATTTGAATACTCAGATAGAATTACTGATACCCAATGATTTTAAAATGCATGGGTAAAATACCCACAATACCAAAAGCTTATCTGGAGCTCTGGAATCGTGATTTTTTGCTTCTCATACGAGTATCAATCACAATTGGACACTGAGTAATAAGTTTCAATTATTACCTTAAACATGTTAAAATGTATTCTTTGATATATGTTACACCAAACACTTATTACAAGTGAAAAGGAGTTGTGAAAACATACATATTTTCATCCTTTGCGCAATGCTTGACACTGCCAACTGTACATCGTCAGTTTGCCAGGTATTTGGCCATACTGTCTGTGAAAAAGATGGCTTATGCGCCACAGATAAGAGCACATGCAGGTATGGTAATACGATATCGTGAGCAAGATATCGTGTTACGTATCAGATGGCACAGTAAGTGTATCATCCCAGCCCTAATACATGGTACTTACCAAATATTTATTTAACATAAACAGGAATGAAGTTTGCAACTAATGAAAATGTGTCTTTCATTTAAGAAGTGACGAAACTAATCTTGTACAAAAAAACTGTTGTTGAGATAAATCAAAAACACATCAGTTCTCTGCTGAGTATGTATATCATTATTCAATTAATAAGGATGATTTGAAGAAGATGTAATAGCAATGTTAATTTGAATAAAATTGTGAAAGATGAAAGAAATGGGTTTTACAGCAGACTGTATCAGTCTGTGCCCAAAATATTTTTGTCTACTAACCTGAATTTGTATTTCAGCAATTACTTAATGCCTGTGTGTCTGTGTGACACAGATGGTGACTTCTCCATCGTGTTGGTTTAAGTTGGGGGCTCATCTCTAAAACTGTAGGGGACCTGTGGATGCATGTAACACAAACATAACAATTTACACAAAAATAAACATTTTCCTTCACATCTTAAACTTACGTTATTCACAGTACAACTGGATGCGCGACATCATTCTGAAAATCGTTCAATGGTTTCTGATTGGCAAGAAATTGTCTCTTCTCCATCTAAAGGGCATGGTCTAGGATTTGATACTGTAAAACGAGAAATTAATGCGTCTCCAAATGAATGAGACCGCTTGCCCTAGCCAAAAATGCGACTCAATATGAATGCCACACCCCCTCCTCTCAAGCATCAGTGGATTTATATCTACACAAAATGTCCTCTGTCAGGTTTACAGGAGAATCCTCACCTTAATCCAACCTTACATTAATCCAATTACATACCAAATAGCACCGCTTATTAGCTCTGAGTAGAGTATGACAGCTAAAACAATACGTGCCCGCTGGCTCGTGTTGGCCTCTGATGCAGTCACAAAGAGCAAAGACACCGTGTTGGGTGGCATCTGTCTGGACTTGCAGGTGTGATCAGTGATGACATGAGTGAGTAGAACGCTTGTCTTGACCCCAGCAGTGACAATTCACAGGATGTAATTAGTGTTTGAATGACATTGTTTATATACTTGTAACAAGTGCTGCTCAATAAACAGTGATGTGGAATACATAGTTGTTTGTTTTCAGCGTATGTCTAAGTTGGTATTTCTCCTATCCCAAATGTCTTATTGTTGATATAAATGCGATGTTTAATAATGCAAGCAAAGACCACTCGCATTTTTCGCATTTAATTCACGCTCGCGTTAATATCAAGATTTACAGTACTTTTTCTTGGATGGCATCAAACCACCTGATTGTGATCACAGGATTGTCTTGCTCAGCCTTTGTACTGACTTGGATGGCTACATCCAAGATGGCAGGACCACTTTCTGGAAAGCTGCACTTGCCACTGTCGTCACGACAGCACATGTCTTTTACAATAAGAAAAAAGATTTAATAAAACTGTTTTTCGCCAAAGTTGTGTATAGAATATGACAATATATATAGCCATGGCATTGGTATGTGATGACATTCTTTCTTTTGTTGTGAGTCTTGTAACATCTCTCACGGCTCTGTGTGATCCGTTATCCTCAAGTGATCCGTTATCCTCAAGTAACATGTTTTCAAGCCTCACCTCTTCGAGCCCCTAAACATTAAGTATCCATGACCTTAATGACGTAATCAAGGTAGACACTTCAAATCCCACTGAAGACATCAAAATGTTCGCCACTTGTCGCTGAAGTTATGTTACAAATTAAGCTACACGAGATAAGATATTCAATAAGTTATGAAAACATACCTCAATACTTACTTTTTGACTTATGTCAATTTTAATCAGACTTGATCTTTTGCATCACAACAATCATATGCACGAATGATGTATCAGCTGCTGATTGTAAACTTCTGTAATGTCATGAGACCTATCATGTTATGCATCTATTCTTAACTTGACTGGGGTGGTCGGGTAGCCTAGTGGTTAAAGCGTTCGCTCGTCACGCCAAAGACCCGGGTTCGATTCCCGACATGGGTACAATGTTTGAAGCCCATTTCTGGTGTCCCCCGTCGTGATATTTCTGGAATATTGCTAAAAGCGGCGTAAAACCATACTCACTCACTCACTCACACTTAACTTGACTGTCATGGAGGGGCTGGAAATCAGGTGACGGCGCCTGATTGACTTGTCTCACTTTAATTGACGAGATGTCATTCGACTTCCCAATTGTAAACAGAAATAATTTATCTCAAATGTAAGACTTGGTTTTAGTGTATTGCGATTGTTATGAGCCATGTAATGAAAAATATTTCTTCCGGACTCTAAAAAACAGTACACGGGTATAGTTTATTTATGGCATTAAGATGCTTGTTGAAGGTGTGCGTGCATGCATGCATGCATGTAATTTGTATGTATGATAGAATGTATAATATTACTTTTTCCACAACACTGTATTCAAATACAGCCAACGGAATCTGACCCGTGAAGATCCGGGGTAGAATAGGTCTTCAGCAACCCATGCTTGCAGCAAAAGGCGATTATGCTTGTCGTAAAAGGCGATTAACGAAAGCGGGTGGTCAGCCTTGCTGACTTGGTTGATGCATGTCATCGATCCCAATTACGTGGATCGATGCTCATGATATCAATCACTGGATTGTCTGGTCCAGACTCGATTATATGCAGACCGCCGTCATATAGCTTGAATATTGCTGAGTGCGGCGTTAAACAACCAACCAACCATCAGAATCTTTCTCCGGGTTTTTATGATCTGTTTCAAAGAGTTAACGCACACCACTATTTAGGTAACCGCAAACATTGGTTGTCCTCACGTGGACCCTTTCATGCGAGTCTGCTCATGCCTATTTGTCCATCTTAAATTACCATGTGTTGCCTTTTCATTTAATATTCTTTTTTTTTGTTACAGGATTTAGAGACGGGAGCAGGGGTGAAGATCAAAGCTTTTCAGCCATGGGGACCTTTGACAGACAGATGTCGGAATCATCCAATCAGAAGTCACTGGATGTTTATATGCATGGAATCGACAGACTTACCGAACCTCAAGAAGTTCAGGAATATAGCATCCAAGGTATAGCAAGCATTATAGCACAGTTCTTTTTTTTAAAAAGAAAGTATAAATTTGAACATTATTTAGTCACTGGTCGTTTATTATAGGGAGGGGGTGTCTGCAACATATATAACCAATCTCTCTGCGAGAACTAAGGTCTGATTTTGATTAGATTGAGCAAGTAGAAAATGTGAACTTAGAATATTTCCTTTGTTTGTGGAGTCATTATCTATGAGAAGAATCTTTTCAGGGCAACATAATGACATTGATTGAGAATGTGATTGAATGAACACCAGGAAAACATGTAGTTAGAGACATATTTCAATTTCACATAAGAGGCGGTGGGGTAGCCTTGTGGTTAAAGCGGTTGCTAATGATGACGAAGACCTGGGTTCGATTCCCCACATGGGTAAAATGTGTGAAGACCATTTTTTGGTTACCCCGCCGTGATATTGCTGGAATATTGCTAAAAGAGGCGTAAAACTATACTCACTCACTATTTTACATAAAAGTTCATGCGTAGCTCTTTTGAACACTCTGATGAGTTGGACTCCTCTGTAAGATGTAGATGCTTTGGTTAGCGCCATCCTGACAGTGTGCTTCTCCTGCAGACATCACCCGGCGCCACTGGAAGCAGTGGGATGGCAAGACGGTGTGCAGCAACAGAAGCTGCCGCAAGCCCTTCTCCATCCTGCTGGATAGAGTCCATCACTGCAGAAGGTGCAGCTGACTTTGGAGGAGTCTTTGATAAGCATTTAGAAGTTGGGAGAACATGAATACATGACACTTTTTATGGATAGCAGCTCCTTTAATTCTTTATACTACGTTTCAGATGAAGTCTTTGATAAGCATTTAGAAGTTGGGAGAACATGAATACATGACACTTTTTATGGATAGCAGCTCCTTTTATTCTTTATACTACGTTTCAGATGAAGTCTTTGATAAGCATTTAGAAGTTGGGAGAACATGAATACATGACACTTTTTATGGATAGCAGCTCCTTTTATTCTTTATACTACGTTTCAGATGAAGTCTTTGATAAGCATTTAGAAGTTGGGAGAACATGAATACATGACACTTTTTATGGATAGCAGCTCCTTTTATTCTTTATACTACGTTTCAGATGAAGTCTTTGATAAGCATTTAGAAGTTGGGAGAACATGAATACATGACACTTTTTATGGATAGCAGCTCCTTTTATTCTTTATACTACGTTTCAGATGAAGTCTTTGATAAGCATTTAGAAGTTGGGAGAACATGAATACATGACACTTTTTATGGATAGCAGCTCCTTTTATTCTTTATACTACGTTTCAGATGAAGTCTTTGATAAGCATTTAGAAGTTGGGAGAACATGAATACATGACACTTTTTATGGATAGCAGCTCCTTTTATTCTTTATACTACGTTTCAGATGAAGTCTTTGATAAGCATTTAGAAGTTGGGAGAACATGAATACATGACACTTTTTATGGATAGCAGCTCCTTTTATTCTTTATACTACGTTTCAGATGAAGTCTTTGATAAGCATTTAGAAGTTGGGAGAACATGAATACATGACACTTTTTATGGATAGCAGCTCCTTTTATTCTTTATACTACGTTTCAGATGAAGTCTTTGATAAGCATTTAGAAGTTGGGAGAACATGAATACATGACACTTTTTATGGATAGCAGCTCCTTTTATTCTTTATACTACGTTTCAGATGAAGTCTTTGATAAGCATTTAGAAGTTGGGAGAACATGAATACATGACACTTTTTATGGATAGCAGCTCCTTTTATTCTTTATACTACGTTTCAGATGAAGTCTTTGATAAGCATTTAGAAGTTGGGAGAACATGAATACATGACACTTTTTATGGATAGCAGCTCCTTTTATTCTTTATACTACGTTTCAGATGAAGTCTTTGATAAGCATTTAGAAGTTGGGAGAACATGAATACATGACACTTTTTATGGATAGCAGCTCCTTTTATTCTTTATACTACGTTTCAGATGAAGTCTTTGATAAGCATTTAGAAGTTGGGAGAACATGAATACATGACACTTTTTATGGATAGCAGCTCCTTTTATTCTTTATACTACGTTTCAGATGAAGTCTTTGATAAGCATTTAGAAGTTGGGAGAACATGAATACATGACACTTTTTATGGATAGCAGCTCCTTTTATTCTTTATACTACGTTTCAGATGAAGTCTTTGATAAGCATTTAGAAGTTGGGAGAACATGAATACATGACACTTTTTATGGAAAGCAGCTCCTTTTATTCTTTATACTACGTTTCAGATGAAGTCTTTGATAAGCATTTAGAAGTTGGGAGAACATGAATACATGACACTTTTTATGGATAGCAGCTCCTTTTATTCTTTATACTACGTTTCAGATGAAGTCTTTGATAAGCATTTAGAAGTTGGGAGAACATGAATACATGACACTTTTTATGGATAGCAGCTCCTTTTATTCTTTATACTACGTTTCAGATGAAGTCTTTGATAAGCATTTAGAAGTTGGGAGAACATGAATACATGACACTTTTTATGGATAGCAGCTCCTTTTATTCTTTATACTACGTTTCAGATGAAGTCTTTGATAAGCATTTAGAAGTTGGGAGAACATGAATACATGACACTTTTTATGGATAGCAGCTCCTTTTATTCTTTATACTACGTTTCAGATGAAGTCTTTGATAAGCATTTAGAAGTTGGGAGAACATGAATACATGACACTTTTTATGGATAGCAGCTCCTTTTATTCTTTGTACGACGTTTCAGATGAAGTCTTTGATAAGCATTAAGAAGTTGGGGGAACATGAATACATGACACTTTTTATGGATAGCAGCTCCTTTTATTCTTTGTACGACGTTTCAGATGAAGTCTTTGATAAGCATTTAGAAGTTGGGAGAACATGAATACATGACACTTTTTATGGATAGCAGCTCCTTTTATTCTTTGTACGACGTTTCAGATGAAGTCTTTGATAAGCATTTAGAAGTTGGGAGAACATGAATACATGACACTTTTTATGGATGTCAACTTCTTTTATTCTTTTCAACGACATTTCAGAGCTTCTCCTTGCCTGGTCATTAGGTGAATGAAGGGAAAAAAGTAGCTTTTAAATGTCGTTGAAAAAGAATAAAAGAAGTTGTTATCCGTAAAAAAGTGTCATGTTTTGTTTTTTGGAAGGTAAAAAAAACCAATTAAAATGTTTTTAGGAAATCACGTCCTTTAGGGAGCCCTTCCCTACTCCATCGGTAACATTTTCTATCGCTGCAGAAATCTGTCTTTAAACATCTTTCATTTTCCTATTATTACCGGATTATAACTGGTTCCCGAAACCTATGCTTTATGGAAGAGGCAACTCAGTTGATCGAGTGATCTGTGATTTGGTCGATTGTGTGAAAACATACCTTGATGGCATGAATCATTGCTCACAATAGTAATACTGGATTGTTGGGTTAAGACTCAATCATTTAATGATAACTGTCATATGGCTGGAATATTGCTGTAAGTCATTAGAAGAATGCATGTCTCAATTCTGTGGCTGAATCTAGAAAGTTGAAGCAGGTAATTTATGCAAGAATTTTGGTATCCATCAACCTTTACATGCCCAAATAAATTATTACCAAGTGAGTCGCTTCATGTTAGCTTGACTTGTGTCCACAGTTTGAAATATGATGTCTTCATTTTGCAGATGTGGAAATATTTTTTGTGCCAACTGTCTGAAGTTCCGTCGTAAGTTGAATAAACTGGCCAACCCTGACCCAGATGGCCGATCATATAAGGTAAATATGGAACTGAACGTCTTTGAGTATAGATTATGACACAGTTTCTTATGTGGTGAGTTGGGTTATTAATGCCGCTTTTAACAGTATTCCAGTTATATCGTGGCGTGTCTGGTTAATGTGGGAGGAAAGCCCGAAGTGATGCGGGTCTTAGACGTTTACCACTTCTGTGAAACCCACAAGCACGGGTATGGTGCTGGCAAACCTAGAAACATAATCGGGGCGAATCGGGATTCGAACCCACAATCATAGGTTTCTGGCATGCCCTAGGGATGAAACTCTGCACAGTGAATCCCTGCGCCTTAGACGACTGAGACACCCGTGCCCCCTCTTATGTGGTAGACCTTCCTGTGTTTTAACATGTTTAAGTCAAGTAAAATTACCTAAAAACTGGAGAAAAACTAGTGAGGGCTGTTACAAAATATACTTTCGATTTTCCTCCCGCATAATGTTGGCATGCCGTGTTATAACTCGAATTCTGTTCAAAGCGGCATAAAACCAACTTCAGCTAAGTGTTTCTTCCCTTGCTGTTTCATGAAATAAACAGTCAGATTGAATTCGTGTGTACATGTACAATAATACCGGAATTATCCCTGGAGTCTGAGACCCCATATAAACAGTATGCGCACACCAGGTTCAGCTGATATTTGTATCAGACATGATGGGGATGCTTGGAATCCAAACTACACTGGAAGATCCACTTGATCTTATCATTGAAGAGGGGGCACGGGTGGCCCAGTCGTCTAAGGCGCATCGATTTGCTGTGCAGAGTTGCATCCCTTGGGCACGCCAGAAATCTATGTTTGTGGGTTTGAATCCCGGTTCGCCCCGATCATGTTTCTAGGTTTGTCAGCACCATACCCGTGCTCGTTGGTTTCACTGAAGTGGTAAACGTCTGAGACCTGCATCACTTGTGGCTTTCCTCCCACATTAAGCTGACACGCCGTGATATAACTGTAATACTGTTAAAAGCGGCGTTTAACCCAACTCACTCACTCACTCACTATCATTGAAGACAAGAAACTGCTAATCCAAGCAATGACATTGTCTGGTACAGTAACAGCAGATGTGGCTATGCTCAGTAGCAGACACTTTATATTTACTTTTAAAAGATCATTTCAACTTGTGAAACAACACATGAAAGTGCAGAAGTCTGGATTGGTTTCTGTTGATGAAGAATGAATGTAGTGAAATCCGGGCCTCTAAATTTGATCTGATTTTGACATGTATCCAGATTAGTCAGAGGCTACAGATTTGCCATATTCGTTTTTCATCCAGATTGTTGAAAAATGAGTGAGTGAGTATGGTTTTAAGCCGCTTTTAGCAATATTCCAGCAATACCATGGCTCGGGACACCAGAAATATGCTCCACACATGTGGGGGATCGAACCCGGGGTTTTGGCGTGACGAGTGAACGCTTTAACCTCTAGGCTACCCTACCGCTCATTAAAACATGAGGCATTTATTTCAAATTTGTTTTAAAAAACCTGTTCAAGGTGTCTGTGTACATTAACTGTGGATTTATGTGACTCCAAACACAAACTGTGACAAGAAAGAGGCAACCAATTGGATGGGGTTGTCAGGCTTGGTGACATGGTTGATTGTGTGTCATTGTACCTGGACAGCATTGAATTATGTGATAATGTCAATCACTGCATTGTCCGGTTCAGACCTGATTATTTACTACCGTCATATAGCTGGAACATGTCACATGCAGCAATATTCCAGTTATATGACAACATGATATGACCAGACAATCCAGTGATTGACATCATGAGCATCAACCTACGCAATTGGGATACAATGACGTTCATTAACCAAGTTAGTGAGCCTAACCACCTGATCCTCATAGTCGCCTCTTACCAATTCTAACCTGGAGGGGCGGTAGGGTAGCCTAGTGGTTAAAGCGTTCGCTCGTCACGCCGAAGACCCGGGTTTCGATTCCTGACATAGGTACAATGTTTTAAGCCCATTTGTGGTGTCCCCCGCCGTGATATTGCTGGAATATTGCTAAAAGCTGCGTAAAACCAAACTCACTCACTCACTCTAACCTGGATGTTCACAGGTGTGATTGTAATGAGATTGTTATGGCAGTATGGTGTATATTTGCCAGGTGTGTCAGCCCTGCTATGCTGAGGGCCAGGAGACGGAGGGAAGGATGGTGAGTCTGACGGTGGAGTTCCGATCACTCAGAATGTGTAAGTATAAGAATTCATCGTCAGTGAGAGGTCATATGTCGTCATCACGGAGAGACAAGTTGGACATTGAAAAGGAGTGCAAACGGCTCATCGAAGGGTTCAAGGGGTCAATGGGGTCATCAGAGGTCAAGCGGACATTGCATGAGCTGAGGAACATGGTGTTGATTCCAGAATGGCAGAAGGCAAGCATGTGGATGGTAGGTTCAGTGTGATGCTTAATGGAGGAATTCTCAACATATATTTGTGCCAGACCTTTTTGTTGTACATACACCAATTTAAATTGATCGCCTGGATCAGGGGTCCGGAAAATTTAAAATCCCAATCAGACATTTGCATTTAGGCCACGCCCCCTTCAAATAGCGTATTTTAGGACGACTTTTCACACACATTACAAGTTGTTACGTATTCATAATATGATGAATTATGAATTGTTTCAATTTAAATTGTTAATTCGCCGGACAATTAATAACAAATAATATCATTTTAGATATACATGGAAAACATACGTTTGTTTCTGTTATAATAACGATCTGTTAACATAGTGAATGGTCTAATTAATATTCATGAGTTATATTCATGAGTCTGCTCAAGTGTACGCGTTGTAACATTTGGATCGAGACTATTATCCCATATTTGGTTATCATTCGACCTCATGGGAAAAGGGTTTTTTTAAACTAAAGATTATTTAAAAACAAGACAGATAATATAATCACAAATACTTAAACTTCGTTGATAGCAATAGTTATTTGAATACTTTTTTCATCTGTACTTAATTATTGACCATAAAAAAATGATATCGATCTTCACAGAAAGCAAAATGGCGGTCAAACAAGATTCAATATACGACTAGCTACTGAAAACAATAAAATCTGCAAATCCTCATTGTATGTCAACCAAGTGAAAGTCGTTAGCCACGACTTACAAATGATCGTCCAGACTTTGAGGGTTTGTCAGATCCGCTCGACTGATCTGCATCCAGGCCCTGGATATTTTATATGTGTTTGACCTGTAAAGTGCCCCATGCCTTATAAACACTCCCAATTAATAACATTTAAGCTGAAACTGTTTAAGAAATGTTCAGGGTTTCAAAGTCCATGTGTTAGGGCGCCAGTGATAAGATTAGAATAATGAGACAGTTAAAGTAGGCACCTGGTTCCTGGTCACTTAGAAATCATTCTCTTGGTAACAAAAATACCTTTTGATGATGTTTTTTTTATAATACATCTGTGACACATAGTTTCACACAATTAAGCTGGACGAATACATGGTAGATGAACACGTGAACTCTCAGAATGAACAGTAGGCTTGACATTATAAACCTAGGGAACAGTCCAAAGTAACTGCTTGCCCACCTGCCCGTGGCTGGTAATGTTTTTGTTGGGCTGCCTGAATTCTCTTTCAGATTAAATCCTCCTTGGGGCACTTATTGCATTTTCCTGGCTCAAGAAAATCTACATGACATAGTTGTAACAATTTTTCTTAATAAAAATGTTACCACACAAAAAACTTCGTTTTTGTATGATATACGACCACCCTTACGGTGCCTCACCCTCCACGGCGCGTCACGCCAAGGGAAGCAACTGTCACCCAAATCCCTTTCCTTTATGTCATTCACCTGACAAGATGTGTGACTATTCAGAGAAAAGTTTCAAAGTACGAAAATCGTGACCTGAGACAGCATGACTGACCAAACTGTATGTATGGAACATTTATTACCTTGCAAAGGCGTAATACCTCGCATTGTAAAGTTATAACGTTGTAATTCTCATAGAAGAAACGCCACATGTACGGTGCATGTGAATTCAAATGTCCGTAATGGCGTCCATTGTGCGGTTCAACTGTCTGACACATGTAACACCAAGGCCAACAAAATGGCTTGGGGTTTGGTTATATCATACAGATTTCAACTGCCCGCTTTTCCTTTACAAAACCCAAGGTGATGTACTAGATTATAACTACACTTACCTTTTTTAAGTTTTTTTTACACCTTAGCGCGTAACACGCCCACTTGGTGTTTTTAAAAAATTTATACTATGGACAATGGTTATTAGTATCGCACTACAAGTCGCATTATACATTAAGCCTTTGCTTCTGTTTTCACAATTGTTAAAAGCACGTATCTATCCGATCTTTAATCGCACTGATACACTTTTCCCACCCAACCCAACTCAATATTTATGGTCTTTTTTACAGACCTTCAAACTTTGTACGGGATGCTGGCTTAACATTCCGCCCAAAGACCAACATGCTTTTTGCCTAAAGTGCTTGGTGGAGAACGGACATGATGATCAATCATGCCCCACATGCAGGGCTTTTACGCCCAAGACGATGAAGCGGCGGCATGCCGATCTCTTACACTATAAAAGCCTACTCGAGGCGGGGGTGGATATTCACTCCAAAAGGCCATTTCCCCCCGTCTAAAAAGAGTAAAAGTAAAGCTAAGGCAACTAAGCCTTCCGCTACGGTCTCCTCCGCTCCCTCTCCGAGGGCCGGGGGTGAAGGCTCTAGGGTCCCCAAGGTTCCCTTAACTGCACCCTCTTCTGCACCTTCTTTAGCAGATATATCTGCTCTGTTCAAGTCGCAGATGGCGTTGATGATGGAGGAGGTCAAGTCCCAGCTCCGAGAGGAGATGTGGGCAGGGCCTTTCCCGTCATTGGCGCCGGGCACGGTTTCGAGGTCTTGTGGAATGCCCGGCGTCGGCCGAGGCAGGCCACTCGACTTCGGGGACGATCCGAGACCGGGCTTCAGCTCCAGCTCGAGGTAGCTCCCCAGCGGAGCGGTGGCAAGTGCTGGCTCGTTCACTACCTCCGCACCTTTATCCCTTCTCCGAGGCCGAGGCTCCCGCTAGTGGATTTATGGCGCAGAGCCAGGTGGGTTCTCTTGAACACCTGGCACCTCGGGGCCGGGGGCAGCCCGGGGATGTGAAGGCCCAGGCCTTCGGGCATCCTTTTCCTACCTCATCCGCTCACTCTCTTAAGGACGAGTCGATTACGGTCGGCTCTGAATCGAGAGATTAGGAGAGGAGGGAGGGGATGACTCGGAGGCTTCAGGAATTTTTTCAATTGCATCCTCTTTGAGGCACGTACGGGACAAGATTGTCCAGGTACTGCCTCAGGTGGCTGCACCTATGCCCGAGTCGGATCCGAACTCACTGAGTTCTGCCTTCCGGGGGACGCTTTTGCTCCTAGCTTGTATCTTGTCCTCCCTGACACACGAGGTCATTGACCCTCTGCTCTCGGGTGTCGCAGGAAGTTCGACCTGCCCGAACTTATTAAGCGGTACCCGTTGGCAGAGGATGGTGACTTTGAGGTGCCAGTGGTCGACGAGTGCGTCTGGACTTCTGTCACCCTGGGAGGGTCTTCGACCCCAGCCTTGGCTAGGGCCAAGCAGGGCCGGCGGTTGCCCCCCTTTCCCATGTGCGGCGCGGAGTTGAAGGCTGCTTATGTTTGCTTTGAGGAGCAATACCGTAATGCAGGCCAACAGCTTCGCATATCCGTACACTCCGCTTATCTGTCTGCTGTACGACCGCCTCCGTGGTCTAGTGGTAGAGCGACTGCCCGGTGAGCGGAAGGTCCGGGGTTCGATGCCCGACCGCGTCATACCAAAAGACGTTAAAAGATGGTACTTGTTGTTACCCTGTCTGGCGCTCGGCATTAAGGGGCTAAAACAAGGACTGGTCGGCTCGGAGTCAGTATTCTGTGTCTGAGTGGGATATTCATGTTAAACTGCGACATGGTATCTCAGTGAGCTAGCACTATAAATCGGCATCAGTCCGGACTAGTACAAGCAGCCACACAAACACACACACACGTACATGCACGTCGCTTTATAAGTGCAATAATCTTGGACGCGACGTTAAACCCCATTTCACCTCACCTGTCTGCTGTACAGAGGGAGCTAGTGGGAGAGGGGCCGGCCGACTCTTCGGAGTTGGCGGTGCAACTGACAGAGGTTCATAGTCATCTCGCGCGGGACGCTATTCGTAGCTGTGCCTCGCAGATGATTTGCGCAGTTATGGGCATGCGCAGGCTGTGGATGTCAGTATCTAAGTACTCGACGTCCACACGCCAGGATCTCCTAGCTTTGCCATATAAGATGGGTTCTACCCTCTTCCCTGGGGCTCAGCAGGTGGTCAGAGAGGCCGCTCAAATGTATGCCTCCATCAAGGACTCTAAGGCCTTGTTGGAGATACCTAGCGTCTAACCACGTAAGCGGGCCTCTCCGCTTGACTCCTCCTCCGCTGACGCGCCGGCTCAGAAGTCTGCACCTGCTTGGAAGCAGCCGCTTCCTTCAGGTAAGGGCGCTGGGAAGAGCAAGCGAGGCAGGGGCCAGGGCAAGGCAGCTGGTCGAGGCCAGCAGCCTTTTCGCGGGGCCGGGAACCCATCGAAGCCTGAAGTCCGAAGCGCTCCGGGCGGACCCACAGTCGCAAGTTATCGAACTGCAGACAGCAGGGGTCCACTGCCTCAAGCTGGAGGGGCGGTTGGGTAGCCTAGTGGTTAAAGCGTTCGCTCGTCACGCCGAAGACCCGGGTTCAAATCCCGACATGGGTACAATGTGTGAAGCCCATTTCTGGTGTCCCCCGCCGTGATATTGCTGGAATATTGCTAAAAGCGGCGTAAAACCATACTCACTCACTCACTCAAGCCGGATGTCCCCGTAGGGGGCTGACTGGCTCTATTCCTGAGGGAATGGGAGACAGTCACCTCAAATCCCTGGACCCTGTCCACTCTAAGGGATGGCCACTTACCTCGTTGGAAACATTATCCGCCCTTCTCCGGGATAAAGCACACTCCGGTGCCTGCTACCCGAGAGAAGGCGGAATTCCTCAGTGCCGAGGTTGACGCACTTCTTATGAAGGCGGCGATCGAACCGGTTCCCGTGGGACAGGAAAGCGAGGGCTTCTACTCGATATATTTCCTAGTCACCAAAAAAGAGGGAGGGTTCAGACCTATTCTCAATCTGAGACGCCTATCTCCACGTACCCATAAACCCCGAGTTCAAGAAATACCTGAGGTTTTCTTTGATGGGAGGTGTTATCAGTTCAGGGTTCTACCATTCGGGATTGCCACGGCCCCGAGGGTATTCACCAAGCTGATGTTGATTCCTGCCCAAGTGGCCAGGTCGAAAGGTCGGTTCTGCCACCCATACCTCGACGACTGGTTACTAAGAGCTCTATCGCAATCCCTCAGTCAGATAGCTACACAAGCTGTGATAGACATTCTGATCACTCTAGGGTGGATAGTCAATCTCAAGAAGTCAGAGCTGAGCCCTACTCAGAATCTTGTCTCCTTAGGGGCGAACTTCAACACAGTGAGGGGACTTGTATCTCTATCACAAGACCGCATAGTCAAGGTCAGAAGTGTTACTTCCCAGTTTCTTCTGTCCAGGAGACACACTGCTCGTACATGGCTCCAGTTACTGGGCAACATGGCGGCAACAGTGGATGTTGTTTGGCGGGCGCGCTTCAGAATGAGACCCATTCAACAAGCACTACATCAACTTTGGGTGAACTCGGAAGATCTCGAGACTGTTCTTGAGACTCCGCAGTGGCTCATTACAGACGTTCAGTGGTGGACCGAGGGACTCTCCCGGGGACTCTCCCTCGACACTCCTGTTCCGTCTCTCACAGTTCAAACAGACACGTCACTCTCCGGCTGGACCGCCTCCGTGGTCTACTGGTAGAGCGCCTGCCCGGAGAGCGGAAGGTCCGGGGTTCGATCCCCGGCCGCGTCATACCAAAAGACGTTAAAAGATGGTACTTGTTGTTACCCTGTCTGGCGCTCAGCGTAAAGATAACCAACTATTTTGCTGTTATGGCGGTAGGAAGGCTGGCTCACCTGCGAGCAAACAAACTATCTCCAAGTGGATAGTGTCTACTATCTGTACTTCGTACACCCTTCAAGGCAGGGACCCCCCTACCAGGTTGAAGGCTCATTCGGTTAGAGCAGTGGCTACGTCACAAGCGTACGCCGCGGCTCTGCCTATTGAGGAGATCTGCTCCGCGGCTATTTGGAGCCAGCCAAGCACGTTCATCAAACATTACTAACTCGACAAACACTCAAGCGAGCATGCTCGGTTTGGTCAGTCAGTTCTCCGAACTGGGCAAAGTTCTAATCTCTAGCCGATTGAGCCTTCGAGATTTTAGATCGCCCAGACCGGTTATACAACTGCTCAGTAACGGTCCGGATTCTATCTTCAACGGTCGATAAATTATCCGTCCATACTACTCGATAATACTCGTATTACACAGCACTCCTCAGATCCTCTGAATTCTCTGATGAAATCCTCCTTGGGGCACGGCCACCCACCTCCCCACATTCCGTCAGCATTAGACATATGGAAAGTGATTTGGGTGAGAGTTGCTTCCCTTGGCGTGACGCGCTGTGGAGGATGAGGCACCGTAAGGGTGGTCGTATATCATACAAAAACGAAGTTTTTTGTGTGGTAACATTTTTATTAAGGAAAATGGTTACTACTATGTCATGTAGATTTTCTTGAGCCAGGAAAATGCAATAAGTGCCCCAAGGAGGATTTCATCAGAGAATTCATAACCTCTACAGGTTTGTAAAAATTTTCCTCCACCTGCCCACCTGTCTCACATATTCAGTGTTGTCATAACATCTCATAGATTTTCAAGTAATTGTTTACATTATTTCAACTGAATCAAATCACGATTTGTCTCTCGGTTTTTGTGATTGTTCCATATTTGAATGCAGGGAGGTAACATTGAAGATGGGCAGATATTTATGGGTTACCTGCCCGAGTGTCTTGTTAGGGTTTATAAAAGTTTCAAACACTTCCAGAGATTCAGAAGTTGAAGTATTTCCAATTTAAATGAAATGGAAAGGGGCATACTGACAATTGCAACTGCTAGTTGTCATGGTGACTTGAGAATCACCTGTTGCAAACATGGTGAAAAATATTTTCATTGGCACTCTTAAATTTGTGAGGGTGCTCGTTATGATGTCTTTGATGTGTCTGTAGGCATTATGAACTTTGAACATGATCATTATTTATCCTCCAAATCTGACTTACACAGGAGATACCACTTGGGTGAGATGAAGTGATGTTTCCTTGACGTGTCGCTACAATCAGATTGCCCCACAATGCTTTGAAGACCATTGTGATGTCACAATCAAATGACACATCTTTGATCGCTCTGCTACTGAAGCTGAGCTGTACCATTTTAAATATCTTGCAATCTCAAACTAATTTGAAGAAACAAAATGAAAATTCATCTTGGATATGATAAGTCAGTCATAAACCTTTTCACAATTCAATTTTGGGGCATTCCCAAAGACTTTCACCAAAATATAAATGTCACTACATTTGGGGTTAGGGGGCAGATTGCAAGATTCATGTAGTGTCACACTTGGGAAGGAAACCCTTTCTTGGGGGAACAAGTCAGAGTGGCAAATGTATGCCCTGAAGCTTGATAAAGGGTATTATCATAATTCCATGTCAGAATGATTACATCTGATTGGTTCACGTGATCTTGATAAAATACCATGTATCCTGCCTTGGAGGGAAATAAATTTCTCAGCGGGAAATAAATCTCTTATATACCCTGACACAAGCAAGTCAGGCTGCATGTGGATTTCTTAGAGACAGAATAAATCTCTAAACCCCCCTTTTCTGCAAAAAGACGCATGCTTTTTCCGAGTCAATGGAAGTCAACGAACATAGGGCAAGCTAACCTCAGCTCAATCAAACAGCTGTTTTCTATCAATTTTGAATTTGCTTTAATTCTTTTACAATGTCATATTAAAACATGTCGGTAAGATAAATTTGTTGTAGGATCATTGGGGTAACATGAGTTTTTATGTGTCCCTCGTTTGGTTTTATATAACACCATGCATAAAACCCCTTGTACACCTCGTGATCCTGCTACAACTGAAAATTGTAATGCTTTGATATGTCTTGAAAGAACAAGTGTCAAATATATGCCTTGACGCTTGATGTTGTGTATTTTGTCCCCAGCAAGAGAACATGAGCGACTGCTGTCACATGTGTCGCAGCACGTTTGGGTTCCTACGTAAGAAGCTGTTCTGTCGTGTGTGCGGGCTGGCGCTGTGTAAGGGCTGCTCGGCCAAGGACCTGTTGGTGTACTACCCTGATGTGGAGCCGGGTGAAGCAAGGGCCACCGACCCCAGACTCGCCATCATCAAGATCATCGGGGTAAGACCAGCAGTAGAACCAGGGGGGGATGTGGAGCCGGGTGAAGCGAGGGCCACCGACCCCAGACTTGCCATCATCAAGATCATCGGGGTAAGACCAGCAGTAGAACCAGGGGGGGATGTGGAGCCGGGTGAAGCGAGGGCCACGGACCCCAGACTTGCCATCATCAAGATCATTGGGGTAAGACCAGCAGTAGAACCAGGGGGGGATGTGGAGCCGGGTGAAGCGAGGGCCACCGACCCCAGACTTGCCATCATCAAGATCATTGGGGTAAGACCAGCAGTAGAACCAGGGGGGGATGTGGAGCCGGGTGAAGCAAGGGCCACGGACCCCAGACTCGCCATCATCAAGATCATCGGGGTAAGACCAGCAGTAGAACCAGGGGGGGATGTGGAGCCGGGTGAAGCGAGGGCCACCGACCCCAGACTTGCCATCATCAAGATCATCGGGGTAAGACCAGCAGTAGAACCAGGGGGGATGGGTTGAGGGTTCTCACAGGCCGATATTGAGAAATAGCTTCCATTAAGTATTATATCTAATACTATTTGTACAGATATTCTTGATACCCTTTATATGGCAGAATTGACCAATCTTTAACTCCCAAACTGGAAAGATGTCCAATTTTTGGTTGATTTTTTGTCGTGGCTTTATATGTGCACCTGCTAACAGACCCATCAGGATGAGATATATACTCACCAATAGACCCATCAGGATATGATGTTTACTCACCAATAGACCCAACAGGATGTGATGTTTACTCACCAATAGATGCAGCAGGATGTGATGTAATCTCACCAGTAGACCCAGCAGGATGTGATGTTTACTCACCAATAGATGCAGCAGGATGTGATGTAATCTCACCAGTAGACCCAGCAGGATGAGATGTAATCTCACCAATAGACCCAGCAGGATGAAATGTAATCTCACCAGTAGACCCAGCAGGATGAGATGTATACTCACCAATAGACCCAGCAGGATGTGAGGTATACTCACCAATAGACCAAGCAGGATGTGATGTATACTCACTAATAGACCCAGCAGGATGTGATGTATACTCACCAATAGACCCAGCAGGATGTGATGTATACTCACCAATAGACCCAGCAGGATGAGATGTATACTCACCATTAGACCAAGCAGGATGTGAGGTATACTCACCATTAGACCAAGCAGGATGTGATGTATACTCACTAATAGACCCAGCAGGATGTGATGTATACTCACCAATAGACCCAGCAGGATGTGATGTATACTCACCAATAGACCCAGCAGGATGAGATGTATACTCACCAATAGACCCAGCAGGATGTGATGTATACTCACCAGTAGACCCAGCAGGATGTGATGTATACTCACCAATAGACCCAGCAGGATGAGATGTATACTCACCAATAGACCCAGCAGGATGTGATGTATACTCAACAGTAGACCCAGCAGGATGTGATGTATACTCACCATTAGACCCAGCAGGATGTGATGTATACTCACCAATAGACCCAGCAGGATGAGATGTATACTCACCAAGAGACCCAGCAGGATGTGATGTATACTCACCAATAGACCCAGCAGGATGTGATGTATACTCACCAATAGACCCAGCAGGATGTGATGTATGTGATGTTAAACAACAAATTAACAAACAAACAAAATTCACCTTCAGACCCAGCAGCTCAAATTCTGTTTTGTTGACTTGGATGATAACATGTAAAGTTTTTTTACATGACCCCGTGACAAACCAGGTGAAATTTAAGTTGGCAGTTATTTTGACCATGATTATTATAATGTTCTCCTGTGAACTAATGCCCACTACCATCCCCCAGTGTCCAGAGGTGGAGCCTGAAGTGAGCCTGTACCTGCGAGCCTGTCCGTCGTGTCGGGAGCAGATCATTGAGCGGCAGATCTCCCAGATGGAGCTTGCTACAGTAGATGACCCGAGTTCAGAACTAATGCCCCAGCTGAACAACATCAATGTCAGCTTCCAGAAGACTGAGATCAAGGTCAAAAAGCATCTCCCAGAGGTCAGTGTTTGTCAGGCTAAGATAATATTTACTATACTGTATCTTTAAGAACCTCCAAATATGTGTTGTAGTACCAGGAGATAGTGGACTCCCTGGAAGATAACAGTTAGGGGTGTAGTTATATGTATGTTATCATTGTGTTTTATTACCAGGAGATAGTGGACTCCCTGGAAGATAACAGTTAGGGGTGTAGTTATATGTATGTAATCATTGTGTTATAGTACCAGGAGATAGTGGACTCCTTGGAAGATAACAGTTAGGGGTGTAGTTATATGTATGTTATCATTGTGTTTTATTACCAGGAGATAGTGGACTCCCTGGAAGATAACAGTTAGGGGTGTAGTTATATGTATGTTATCATTGTGTTTTATTACCAGGAGATAGTGGACTCCCTGGAAGATAACAGTTAGGGGTGTAGTTATATGTATGTTATCATTGTGTTGTAGTACCAGGAGATAGTGGACTCCCTGGAAGATAACAGTTAGGGGTGTAGTTTTATGTATGTTATCATTGTGTTGTAGTACCAGGAGATAGTGGACTCCCTGGAAGATAACAGTTAGGGGTGTAGTTATATGTATGTTATCATTGTGTTGTAGTACCAGGAGATAGTGGACTCCCTGGAAGATAACAGTTAGGGGTGTAGTTTTATGTATGTTATCATTGTGTTGTAGTACCAGGAGATAGTGGACTCCCTGGAAGATAACAGTCGTGGGTCGTCAGGGTCCGGATCTGGGCTTCCGAAGAGCAACATGAAGACACTGGCCAAGGCACAGGTTGGAGTGAACGCGTTTCGAAACTATGATAATAATTATAATGATACTATAAATAATATTCATACATTTGGAAACGTGCATCCCACTTTTTCCAGTGTCATTCTTGGATTATTGAGAGGTATACAATCAAAGCTGATTTTTTGTGCTTGAAATAATTATGCCAAAATTGTTAGAAAGATGACAAACCAAAGAATTACCTCCCCTTCCATTTCTAAAGCATATATTTACACTTAAATCTTATTTACATAATTTTGTCTTCTCTCAGTTAAATGTTGTGTTGTTTCATCTGTAAATCAATGCATACCAAACTATGTTAAGAATGTGAAGGTAAAAGTATGAATGTAAAATGTCGTCAATGTTGACTTGAGGTTTAGTTTCCTGTACATTACCTCTTTGGTGTGGTAAAGTGAAATGGGGTTTAACATTGCTTTCAAGATAATTGCACTTATTTTGCGAAATGGATGCATGTGTGTGGCTAATGGTAGTCAAGACCTTGCTGACTTTCTGGCCAAGCATGTCCTCATTGTCCCACAATCTAAACTTCCTGTTCCTGTTCCTGTTCCAGGGGGACCTTGCTGACTTCCTGGCAAGCATGTCCTCATTGTCCAACAGACTAAACTTCCTCTTCCTCTTCCTGTTCCAGGGGGACCTTGCTTACCTCCTGGCCAAGCATGTCCTCATTGTCCAACAGTCTAAACTTCCTGTTCCTGTTCCTGTTCCTGTTCCAGGGGGACCTTGCTGACTTCCTGTCCAAGCATGTCCTCATTGTCCAACAGTCTCTAAACTTCCTGTTCCTGTTCCTGTTCCAGGGGGACCTTGCTGACTTCCTGGCCAAGCATGTCCTCCTTGTCCCACAATCTAAACTTCCTGTTCCTGTTCATGTTCCAGGGGGACCTTGCTGACTTCCTGGCCAAGCATGTCCTCATTGTCCAACAGTCTCTAAACTTCCTGTTCCTGTTCCTGTTCCAGGGGGACCTTGCTGACTTCCTGTCCAAGCATGTCCTCCTTGTCCAACAGTCTAAACTTCCTGTTCCTGTTCATGTTCCAGGGGGACCTTGCTGACTTCCTGGCCAAGCATGTCCTCCTTGTCCCACAATCTAAACTTCCTGTTCCTGTTCCTGTTCATGTTCCAGGGGGACCTTGCTGACTTCCTGGCCAAGCATGTCCTCATTGTCCAACAGTCTAAACTTCCTGTTCCTGTTCCTGTTCCTGTTCCAGGGGGACCTTGCTGACTTCCTGTCCAAGCATGTCCTCATTGTCCAACAGTCTCTAAACTTCCTGTTCCTGTTCCTGTTCCAGGGGGACCTTGCTGACTTCCTGGCCAAGCATGTCCTCCTTGTCCAACAGTCTAAACTTCCTGTTCCTGTTCATGTTCCAGGGGGACCTTGCTGACTTCCTGGCCAAGCATGTCCTCATTGTCCAACAGTCTAAACTTCCTGTTCCTGTTCATGTTCCAGGGGGACCTTGCTGACTTCCTGGCCAAGCATGTCCTCATTGTCCAACAACTCAAGAGGCTCAAGCCACAGACAGAAACGCAAAACAAACTCCTTAAAAACTACATCAAGGTGAGACATAAGTTGTCTTCATGGAAAGACTGAGTTTTACTGCAAGACTCAGATCTTGGTAGAACTCAGATTCCTGGTAGAACTAAGGTCCTGGTAGAACTCGGATCCCTGGTAGAATTCCTATACATATCCATGTTAGACCTCAGTCACATGGAAGAACTCAGATCACTCGAAGAACTTGGTAACATGGTAGAATTCAGATACATTGAAGAACTCAGATCCTGGTTGATTTCACATCCCTCGATGAGCTCAGTTACATTGCAAAACTCAGATCCCGTGTAGAATTCTTATTCATATCCATGTTCCTCAGATCCCGGTAGAACTCAGATCCTGGTTGAACTTGGATCCTGGTAGAACTCAGATCCTGATGGAACTCAGGTCCTGATAGAACTCAGATCCTGGTCAAACTTGGATCCTGGTAGAACTCAGATCCTGGTCAAACTTGGATCCTGGAAGAACTCAGATCCCGGTAGAACTCAGATCCTGGTTGAACTTGGATCCTGGTAGAACTCAGATCCTGATGGAACTCAGGTCCTGATAGAACTCAGATCCTGGTCAAACTTGGATCCTGGAAGAACTCAGATCCCGGTAGAACTCAGATCCTGGTTGAACTTGGATCCTGGTAGAACTCAGATCCTGATGGAACTCAGGTCCTGATAGAACTCAGATCCTGGTCAAACTTGGATCCTGGAAGAACTCAGATCCCGGTAGAACTCAGATCCTGGTTGAACTTGGATCCTGGTAGAACTCAGGTCCTGATAGAACTCAGATCCTGGTCAAACTTGGATCCTGGTAGAACTCAGATCCTGGTCAAACTTGGATCCTGGTAGAACTCAGATCCTGGTCAAACTTGGATCCTGGTCAAACTTGGATCCTGGAAGAACTCGGATCCTGGAAGAACTCAGATCCTGATAGAATTCATATCCTCGTAGAACTCAGATCCTGAGGACTCAGGTCCTGGAAGAACTCAGGTCCTGGTAGAACTCAGATCCTGGTCAAACTTGGATCCTGGTAGAACTCAGATCCTGGTCAAACTTGGATCCTGGTCAAACTTGGATCCTGGAAGAACTCGGATCCTGAGGACTCAGGTCCTGGAAGAACTCAGGTCCTGGTAGAACTCAGATCCTTGTCAAACTTGGATCCTGGAAGAACTCAGATCCTGATAGAATTCATATCCTGGTAGAACTCAGATCCTGGTGGAAACTCAGATACATGATAAAACTCTGATCCATGGTGGATGTTAACAAGATAGAAACACAACAACAAGATGATACAAGAGGTGACATTTCTTGATAATATTGCATCAGTGTGCCATGACTAGATAATCGGCAGTTGCAGTATTTGATACTGATAATATCCTATTCAAATTTGAATTCCCATTTTTTTTCTATAAATATACTGTGCGTAAAGTGGGATTGTATGTTATGTTTTACAATTTTGTGGGGATTACTTTTGTGAAAGAACAGTCATCAGTGTCTTCATTTGACACATATCATCACGAGGTACAAATTACTTCTGAGTGTGCCCAACGTATCATTACAAGTATGCTCTGTACCACTTCCTATGTGGGTATACTACAGCTGCATCTTTGGCATCTCCTTGTTCATCACTTTCTCCCCACTGGGACCCGGGTTACAACTGGTCCTCAGCATCCCATGCCGTTTGTAAGAAGTGACTTCATAAATGTCGGGCTCGACGACTTTGCTGATGCATCAGATGTCGTGGATCATTGCTCATAATATCAGTCACTGGATTGTCTGGTCCAGACTCATTTTTTTACAGGCTGGAATATTGCATAATGTTACCGCTCCAAACACACATATATATACAAAAATCATTAATATCAGATATTTTTCAGAGCAAATGTGAGTTCTACCTGGAGAACATGTCCACGTTCCGATCAGCTCGGAACCGACTCAGCGACTCGACGCCACCTGAAGTACTGGAGTTTATACAGAAAGTCATGGACAAAAACGCAAGTCATGCTTGTTGTGATTTTATCATGATAAAATGGTTATGGGCAAGATGAGAATGTAGATTCTTCATTATTACATCATAAAACATTATTACATCATAAAACATGAATCATTGCTCATAATATCAATCACTGGATTCTCTGGTCCAGACTCGAACATTTATGGTCATATATGCCATCATATAGCTGGAATACCGCAGAGTGGCGTTAAGCAACAAACACACATCAGAATAGAAATACTTAAAAGCTGAATCCTTCAATGATGCTGAAATGAACACTTCCTCAATTACACAACAAATCGGAGATGGGCCAAACCTATTTCCTCAGAGGGGGCACGGGTGGCCCAGTCGTGTAAGGCGCCGCAATTCGCTGTGTAGAGTTGCGTCCCTGGACACGCCAGAAACCTATGATTGTGGGTTCGAAATCCTGGTTTGCCCCGATTATGTTTCTAGGTTTGTCAGCACCTACCCGTGCTCGTGGGTTTCACTAAAGTGGTAAACGTCTAAGACCTGCATCACTTTGGGCTTTCCTCCCACATTAAGCTGAAATGCCTTAATATAACTGGAATACTGTTAAAAGCATCGTTAAACTCAACTCACTCACAATTTCTTCAGAAAATCACGTTTTGGTTGCCAATGTTTGAATATTGAATTGGTTCATGAAAATATTATGAAACAACTTATTGTGGTGATTGATGAAATAAGTCATCAGTGAAATTGTACCTTCGTAGAGTTCAAAAGTGTTTTGGAATTTTCATCAGCCATTACTCATTGCTCACCTTCTTCATGACTGGTTAATTAATTATGTAATGAGGTCATCATGACACAGTATCGAGTCAGTGTGAATATGTGCATGTGACTTGTGTTTTCAACAGGCAGTTGTCAGTGCACACCTCTACCTCCGGCAGCTGGTATTTGAAACAATTGCATTGTGTGCCAAATTTCACCTGGATGAAGAAATACCTCGGCATCTGACCCCATTAGAGGAGGTGAGTCCAATCTTGTGGAGATGCAAATAATTTTCTTGTGCTAACTGTATTTGAGTCATGAAACCAAACTAAATCAAAAGTTTAAAAATTCAATGTGTAGCCATGTCCTTGACCAAGAAGACACAATTTTTGGATAGCCCCATTTTTATTTTACTGTAATGGTGACTTTTCGGTACAGATCCTTATACCACTGTCAAGCAGCATATAAGAGCCTTTACCGGTATATCCTTATATCATTGTCAAGTAACATATAAGGACTGTGCCGAAATGTCACCACTGCATAAAAATAAAGAAGTTGTTATCCATAAGTTGTGTGTACTTCGTCATCCGTCAGCTTCTAAGAAATGCCTGTCAATCAATGAATGTCCTTGACCTACATACTGCTGACCTTGACCTTTATGTAAACATGCCTGTTACCTTGACTTGCGTGTGCTGGCTACTTTATTTGTTATGTTATGTACCTCGACTAAGAATTTTTGAATTTCATTGGTTAATCCATATCACATGATGAAACTATTAATTTCACTGCTGACCTAACAATAGAAAATTGACGAAAATAGGTATTGGTCAAATCACGTGACTGACACTGACCTCGAATATTGAGGTGACACATGATCACTACTGACCTGGGCCCACTTGCACAAAGCGATCTTAGTGCTACGACTATTGTAAGCCTATGTTAAAGTATGGGAGTTACGATCATCTTAGCGCTAAGATCGCTTTGTGCAAGCGGGCCCTGTTCTAGTGGCTAGAGCATCTGGCTGAAGAGCGTAAGATTGGTGGTTACATCTCTGGCTGTGTCATTCTGAAAGGTGTTAAATGATGGTTCTTGTTGTTACCCTGCCTGGTGCATGGTATTCCGAGAATAAAACAAGTACTTGTTGGCATGGATTCAGTATGATGTATCTGAGATGAGTATCCATTTTAGAGGCACACACATCACTGTACAAGTGCAATAATCGTGATCATGACGCCAAACCCCTTTTTACCACACCTCAGTATTGACCTGCTATGTGATCTGTACCTTGTGATGAAACAATACCATTCAATGTAGACCCCAAATCATGTGACTGACACTGACCTCGAATATTGACTCATCACATGATCAGTATTGCCCTGTCACGGGGTGAATTTTGACTCGTCTGCAAGAAAACAAGATCGCGTCTGGTACGAACATTTCATTGTTCGCAGTTAATATGCTGTAATCAAAGACATACATTGATATATTAACGTCTTTGCTGTAATGAAACAGAAAACGGTTTTAAGGCTTCATAAAGTTTAAAGTGAATTTCTGCATTACAAAACGAATGATAATTCTGACAAGGTCAATATGCGAAAACAATCACCTGAAGACCCCTGGCATGGTCGGGTAGCCTAGTGGGTAAGCATGCGCTCTTCACGCCAAAGACCCTGGTTCGATTCCTGAAATAGGTACAATGTGTGAAGCCCATTTCTGGTGTCACCCGCCGTGATATTGCTGGAATATTGCTAAAAGCGGCGTAAAACCGTACTCACTCACTCATCTGAAGACCCGACCCCTTCGGTGGTCTGACCGGACCTGAGGTCGGCAGCCTTGGTCTTGACAGGCCACATCAGGGGTCGGGTCTTCGGTGATTATTTGTTTATTATTATTTTCCATAATGTTGTCTCATTAACCATGACCTCTGTGTGTTTCATCACCTTCTTGATCTTATGCTCCACCTATGACCACTGTGTGTGAGTTGACCTTGATGGTGACACTCTAGCCTTGACCTTTGTGCAGGCCCTGGAGCTGGATGTCCGGGTGAGTGTCGAGAAAGACGGAGAGGACTGGGAACAGCATCACGAGGTCACGCAACAGCTCATCAAGGAACAAATGCGGGTGAGCTTATTGTTTACAGTGTCTGAAGCGTGAGGGTCAAGGGGCTGTATCTGATAGTAATGGTGTCTCTAGATTCAAATATGACAGAAGCAGTGTTCAATTACCACAGGACACTGCTAAATTACTAACACTTACTACGTTTTATTAGGCCATAAAGGAACTATGTTATGGTTCAAATTACATTTATTTCAAAATAGGGACTTTTTAGTTGGTCTTTTTTGCTTAAAACCCTAAAACTGTGTTTGGAAACTACTGTTTAGCTTGTGTTATTTTTGGTAAAAATTGTTTTTATTTTTTTCTTCACATTTGTATTGCATTTTTGGTAAAAAATTAATGTCTGCTTTGTTTTGAGCAGTGAGTACCATTAGAGGTGAGTGTGTATCATTTTCCCCGGTGAAGATCCAGGTTAGAATGGATCTTCAGCAACCCATGCTTGTTGTAAGGCGACTAATAAGATCGGGTGGTGATGCTCGCTGACTTGGTTGATGCATGTCATCGTATCCTAATTGTATAGATCGATGCTCATGATGTCAATCACTGGTTTATGTGGTCCAGACTTGATTGTTTACAGACTGCCATCATATAGCAGGAACATGCCAACTGCAACATTGGATAAAAATATAATAACTATTGTTGTTTTCCTATCCAGGATCACAAGCTAATTCGACCGTCCCGGCGCCAGTTGAAGAAAAACGGAGCCTTGCACGCGGAACACATCATGCGACAGAGAAGCCGTGACGTTCTGGCCAGCATCACCGTTCAGCTCCAGCTCAAGTCTGCCAACCGGCGCTTCCCACAGACCAAGAAGTGTCTAGAGGAAGCCATCAACACCTTCCCGGGAGCGGCTACAGACTCCTAGTACGCAACCATCTACATGGTTCACGACAAGCAAGTTGACAACAATCCATATGCAACACATGTAATAATGACAACGCGCATTACAGCATTGGTGACTGCTAGAAGGTATTGCTGGAAAAATGGTTAATGAGGACACAATAGGCATTGATTTGTTTTAAGATGGTTAACAGAATTTTGTTTTGTTTATTATTAATGTAAACGTTTCTGTTGCAGTCAGTTGTTTATTTTGGTGGGAAAGGCATGTATTTGTGTAGGTACAATATCAACATTAAAAAACTTGTCGATACCCATGATATCGCAATATATGATGAGACCCTGTTTGGATCATGTGGAGAATATTATGTTTGCGTGTACTATTTGTCCAAAGTGTACCAATACAGTGTACGATTTTATGAATTCCGAATTCAGGTTTATGATTATTATACCTTGAAATGGGGCGGTTGGGTAGCCTAGTGGTTAAAGCGTTCGCTCGTCACGCCGAAGACCCAGGTTTGATTCCCGACATGGGTACAATGTGTGAAGCCCATTTCTGGTGTCCCCCGCCATGATATTGCTGGAATAATGCTAAAAACGGCGTAAGACCATACTCACTCACTATACCTTGAAATTGTATGTTAAACTAAGGTCAACTTTCGTATATATATTTTGTAATTTGTAGAAATTCTTTGCAGATTTAATTTTTTAGGAATAATGTTTTGCAGATCAACACAGAAGAATAGAGAAATATATTGGGGCTGAGTCAATTTTAGGTGATGGGTGGGACAAAAGTAGAGTATCTGAGAATGAGAATATGCTTCTTCGTGCCAAAAGTGTGATTGTGTGCTATTTGAAAACAAATGTTATTGAAGATTAAGTCATATTTAAGTTTCTAATAGACATATCAATATGATATGGTATTTATGTTTTCATTGTTGTATCACATTAATGACAAATCAGTGTTTTTTAATCCTATGTCATATTTTCACCTTTTTAAATCACCTTCACAAATGTTAGATTTTTTGGCTGATGAATTACGGGAGAGGAGAGGTGGGAGTAACAGTGGTAACCTGGGCATGTCACCGGAGTCAGGTAAACTGGAGATCAGTTGGTCAGTGGAATAAAGGTGGAAAAAGTAATTTGTTGATAAACAACATTGTTGATGAATTGTTTGATGGGCTTTGTGTAGAAGTTGATGATGACAAAGTGAACAACAAAGTTATGGATAACATCTATCACAGTAGAAAAAAGAAGTTGCTATCCATAATTTTGTTGTCCACTTTGAACATCATTGATGGTCACGTTATAGAGTGACGTCACTTCTATAGGGAATGTTTTTGAAGTTTTATCTTTTATTTGAATCCACATTTGTAAAACTTAAGGTCTACTGGTTCTAAAAGCCAGCATGCCCATCACATATCTATTGTGTGTCGTTGTTTCTTGTTTTTCACTGCACTCAGCAATATTCCAGCTACATGACAGCAGCACATATCTATTGAATATCGTGTAGACTTTATCAGTATCTAGATGTTGACATTTTAGAGTAATTATCTACTCTTTTTACAGATATGAATATTGTCCTGTTACAAATCACTTGTAAGAGATTCATAAACTTTAATCCAATTTTTTCATTTTATCAAAGAATATACATGTTTATCATTATGCATGTATATTCACATTTGTTTATATACAATAAACCGTTATTAACTCAATCTTCCAGAGCATGATATTGCTTAAGACAATTTTGTGGCAGGCAGTGATACTGGTATGCTTTTGTGATTCCGGTCGTAAATCTGGATAGGTAGGATGGTCTGCTTTGAATTCATGGCAGCTCACCATGCAGAGTTGTGTCCCTTGCTCAGTTCGTGAAATAATTTTTCAGCAGTATAGTGTGGAAGGTAATTTAAGGTACCGACGTTTACTACAATATCTGAAAAACTATCGGACCTACTCCAGTCAAAGTTGGTATGAGATTATTAAACAGTCATGCATAACTGGATATTACATTTAAAGACAATCGGTGCATGAATAAAAATCTGTCTATTTAGCTATCACTATATTTCATCAACAACCAGACCTGTTCGTCACGGGTGGAACGAGCATTCATTGAAACAGCCATCTACATAATGCTACCCCTGTGTCACAAGGCCATATGACGCAGTTGAACCAATCAACTCAACTCGAAAGGTTGCACGGGAACGCACGTTGAGGAGCCCAACGCTAACACCGTATTCGTGCGTGCGTGATTCCCGTGCACCCTTTCGAGTTGAGTTGATTGGTTCAATGTGTCAATGAATGCTCGTTCAACCCTTGACGAACAGGTCTGGTTGTTGATGATAGTTTTTCAGATATTGTAGTAAACGTCGGTACCTTAAATTACCTTCCACACTATACAAGCCGGGTGGGTTTCCTAGATCCATTTTACATGAATTTTTGGTTTGAGAAGCCAGTCACATTTTACCCTACCAAATATTTTCAGTTTCAACAAGGTCAGAACTTCAATGGTCAATATCAAACAGGTTTCTGTCTCTGGCAGAACCAGTGGCCAGGAATAATGGCATGCTTGATAAATCTTACAGTACGTCCATCACATGTCACAAGCCAGAGTAAGAAGATAGTAGACATAAAATATAATAAGCACCCTGTGTCAGTTTTGTGTCTGAGGGGCTGATTATGAATTTTTGTTATTATTACTTGAAATAGTTATTTGTATGAAAATTGTTGGTTGTTTTGTGTTTTTACTGTACAAAAAGGTGGGTTTACAATTCAGATTGTTGCAATCTCTGTTAATGTTAACTGAATGCCAAGTGACCGTAGCCCACCAGGTCTTGAAAGACAGCCATCTTGTTATACATATGCTTTGAGATGAGAAGTTGTACAATATCGAGTATCAGTGTGGAGCCAGTCTTTTTACATCAGTGAATCATACAGGCAACTGGGTATTACGAGTTTGTGATTTTAATTAACTGTGTTAATGAGTATCCATGTAATGGTTTACCTCGTTATAACACCTCCCTCATAATACTGTCATACAGTGTGAAGACAGTGGTGTTCTTATGGTAGCCTGGTTTACCTCGTTATAACACCTCTCCCATAATACTGTCATACAGTGTGAAGACAGTGGTGTTCATACGGTAGCCTGGTTTACCTCGTTAAAACACCTCCCTCATAATACTGTCATACAGTGTGAAGACAGTGGTGTTCATATGGTAGCCTGGTTTACCTCGTTAAAACACCTCTCCCATAATACTGTCATACAGTGTGAAGACATTGGTGTTCATATGGTAGCCTGGTTTACCTCGTTATAACACCTCTCCCATAATACTGTCAAACAGAGTGAAGACATTGGTGTTCATAGGGTAGCCTGGTTTACCTCGTTATAACACCTCTCCCATAATACTGTCATACAGTGTGAAGACATTGGTGTTCATATGGTAGCCTGGTTTACCTCATTATAACACCTCCCTCATAATACTGTCATACAGTGTGAAGACATTGGTGTTCATATGGTAGCCTGGTTTACCTCGTTATAACACCTCTCCCATAATACTGTCAAACAGAGTGAAGACATTGGTGTTCATAGGGTAGCCTGGTTTACCTCGTTGTAACACCTCTCCCATAATACTGTCATACAGTGTGAAGACAGTGGTGTTCATATTGTAGCCTGGTTTATCTCGTTATAATACCTCTCCCATAATACTGTCATACAGTGTGAAGACTGGTGTTCATATGGTAGCCTGGTTTACACTGTCATATTGTGTGGAGACAGTGGTGTTCTTATGGTAGCCTGGTTTACCTCGTTATAACACCTCTCCCATAATACAGTCATACAGAGTGAAGACATTGGTGTTCATATGGTAGCCTGGTTTACCTCGTTATAACACCTCCCTCATAATACTGTCATACAGTGTGAAGACAGTGGTGCTTATATGGTAGCCTGGTTAACCTCATTATAACACCTCTCCCATAATACTGTCATACATTGTGAAGACAGTGGTGTTCTTATGGTAGCCTGGTTTACCTCGTTATAACACCTCCCTCATAATACAGGCATACATTGTGAAGACAGTGGTGTTCATATGGTAGCCTGGTTTACCTCGTTATAACACCTCCCATAATACTGTCATACAGTGTGAAGACAGTGGTGCTCATATGGTAGCCTGGTTTACCTCGTTATAACACCTCTCCCATAATACTGTCATACAGAGTGAAGACATTGGTGTTCATATGGTAGCCTGGTTTACCTCGTTATAACACCTCTCCCATAATACTGTCATACAGTGTGAAGACAGTGGTGTTCATATGGTAGCCTGGTTTACCTCATTATAACACCTCCCTCATAATACAGTCATACAGTGTGAAGACATTGGTGTTCATATGGTAGCCTGGTTTACCTCGTTATAACACCTCTCCCATAATACTGTCATATTGTGTGAAGACAGTGGTGTTCATATGGTAGCCTGGTTTACCTTGTTGTAACACCTCCCTCATAATACTGTCATACAGAGTGAAGACATTGGTGTTCATATGGTAGCCTGGTTTACCTCATTATAACACCTCTCCCATAATACTGTCATACAGTGTGAAGACATTGGTGTTCATATGGTAGCCTGGTTTACCTCGTTATAACACCTCTCCCATAATACTGTCAAACAGAGTGAAGACATTGGTGTTCATAGGGTAGCCTGGTTTACCTCGTTATAACACCTCTCCCATAATACTGTCATACAGTGTGAAGACATTGGTGTTCATATGGTAGCCTGGTTTACCTCATTATAACACCTCCCTCATAATACTGTCATACAGTGTGAAGACATTGGTGTTCATATGGTAGCCTGGTTTACCTCGTTATAACACCTCTCCCATAATACTGTCAAACAGAGTGAAGACATTGGTGTTCATAGGGTAGCCTGGTTTACCTCGTTGTAACACCTCTCCCATAATACTGTCATACAGTGTGAAGACAGTGGTGTTCATATTGTAGCCTGGTTTATCTCGTTATAATACCTCTCCCATAATACTGTCATACAGTGTGAAGACTGGTGTTCATATGGTAGCCTGGTTTACACTGTCATATTGTGTGGAGACAGTGGTGTTCTTATGGTAGCCTGGTTTACCTCGTTATAACACCTCTCCCATAATACAGTCATACAGAGTGAAGACATTGGTGTTCATATGGTAGCCTGGTTTACCTCGTTATAACACCTCCCTCATAATACTGTCATACAGTGTGAAGACAGTGGTGCTTATATGGTAGCCTGGTTAACCTCATTATAACACCTCTCCCATAATACTGTCATACATTGTGAAGACAGTGGTGTTCTTATGGTAGCCTGGTTTACCTCGTTATAACACCTCCCTCATAATACAGGCATACATTGTGAAGACAGTGGTGTTCATATGGTAGCCTGGTTTACCTCGTTATAACACCTCCCATAATACTGTCATACAGTGTGAAGACAGTGGTGCTCATATGGTAGCCTGGTTTACCTCGTTATAACACCTCTCCCATAATACTGTCATACAGAGTGAAGACATTGGTGTTCATATGGTAGCCTGGTTTACCTCGTTATAACACCTCTCCCATAATACTGTCATACAGTGTGAAGACAGTGGTGTTCATATGGTAGCCTGGTTTACCTCATTATAACACCTCCCTCATAATACAGTCATACAGTGTGAAGACATTGGTGTTCATATGGTAGCCTGGTTTACCTCGTTATAACACCTCTCCCATAATACTGTCATATTGTGTGAAGACAGTGGTGTTCATATGGTAGCCTGGTTTACCTTGTTGTAACACCTCCCTCATAATACTGTCATACAGAGTGAAGACATTGGTGTTCATATGGTAGCCTGGTTTACCTCGTTATAACACCTCTCCCATAATACTGTCATACAGTGTGAAGACATTGGTGTTCATATGGTAGCCTGGTTTACCTCGTTATAACACCTCTCCCATAATACTGTCATACAGTGTGAAGACAGTGGTGTTCACATTGTAGCCTGGTTTATCTCCTTATAACACCTCTCCCATAATACTGTCATACAGTGTGAAGACTGGTGTTCATATGGTAGCCTGGTTTACCTCGTTATAACACCTCCCTCATAATACTGTCATACAGTGTGAAGACAGTGGTGCTTATATGGTAGCCTGGTTTACCTCATTATAACACCTCTCCCATAATACTGTCATACATTGTGAAGACAGTGGTGTTCTTATGGTAGCCTGGTTTACCTCGTTATAACATCTCCCTCATAATACTGTCACACAGTGTGAAGACAGTGGTGTTCATATGGTAGCCTGGTTTACCTCGTTATAACACCTCCCATAATACTGTCATACAGTGTGAAGACAGTGGTGCTCATATGGTAGCCTGGTTTACCTCGTTATAACACCTCTCCCATAATACTGTCATACAGTGTGAAGACAGTGGTGTTCATATGGTAGCCTGGTTTACCTCGCTATAACACCTCTCCCATAATACTGTCATACAGAGTGAAGACATTGGTGTTCATATGGTAGCCTGGTTTACCTCGTTATAACACCTCTCCCATAATACTGTCATACAGAGTGAAGACATTGGTGTTCATAGGGTAGCCTGGTTTACCTCGTTATAACACCTCTCCCATAATACTGTCATACAGTGTGAAGACAGTGGTGTTCATATTGTAGCCTGGTTTATCTCCTTATAACACCTCTCCCATAATACTATCATACAGTGTGAAGACAGTGGTGTTCATATTGTACCCTGGTTTACCTTGTTATAACACCTCTCCTATTATACTGTTATACAGTGTGAATACAGTGGTGTTCATATTGTAGCCTGGTTTATCTCCTTATAACACCTCTCCCATAATACTGTCATACAGTGTGAAGACTGGTGTTCATATGGTAGCCTGGTTTACACTGTCATATTGTGTGGAGACAGTGGTGTTCTTATGGTAGCCTGGTTTACCTCGTTATAACACCTCTCCCATAATACTGTCATACAGTGTGAAGACTGGTGTTCATATGGTAGCCTGGTTTACCACCTTATAACACCTCTCCCATAATACTGTCATACAGTGTGAAGACAGTGGTGTTCATATTGTAGCCTGGTTTATGTCGTTATAACACCTCTCCCATAATACTGTCATACAGTGTGAAGACTGGTGTTCATACGGTAGCCTGGTTTACACTGTCATATTGTGTGGAGACAGTGGTGTTCTAATGGTAGCCTGGTTTACCTCGTTATAACACCTCTCCCATAATACTGTCATACAGTGTGAAGACAGTGGTGTTCATATGGTAGCCTGGTTTACCTCGTTATAACACCTCTCCCATAATACAGTCATATTGTGTGAAGACAATGGTGTTCATATGGTAGCCTGGTTTACCTCGTTATAACACCTCTCCCATAATACTGTCATACAGTGTGAAGACTGGTGTTCATATGGTAGCCTGGGTTACCTCGTTATAACACCTCTCCCATAATACTGTCATATTGTGTGGAGACAATGGTGTTCATATGGTACCTAGCTTTTCCGTGACAGTACATTCAGGGACACTTAGAATGAATGGTCAGTGTTGAACACAGAACATACACCCTCCGTACATGAGTCAAGTTTCATTTATTTCAATATTAAACAGTCACAGACGCTCATGCAAACCTCACTGGTTCATGTCTTCAGTGACACAGAGTTGGTGCTGTGGCTGTGAATGTCAAGGTATGTGTCAGAATTAAGCTGGTATTGATGCCCAAAGTCAAACCTGCATGTGCTTTTCTATGGTACGTTTAGGGAACATTTAAACAAAATTGATGTCGGTTAAAAATCTAAACCATTTGATTATTTTCAGGGGCAGGTTGGAACATTTTTTGCAAAGCTGTTTTTTGACACAAGAACTCTATTACCACTCTAAACCCCGTCGCAAAACCTATACGAATCCTCGATTATCCATCCTTTCTCTTCCATGCAATAATTATATATTGAATATACCATGAGACAAAAGAGATAGGATAGGCTGGATAATCGAGGGTATTTCTGGTATACGCTCACAGACGCATTCATGTGCTCGAGGGTTTCACTAAAGTGCTCAACGTCTAAGATCTGCGTCACTTCGGTCTTTTCTCCAACATCAAGCGGACACGCCATGATATAACTGGAATAATGTTCAAAGCGGCTTTAAACCCAACTCAATCACTCCGATCAAGACCGTTTTGAGGAACTGAGCCCAGGGAATAAAGTGTGTTCGGTATAACTGTCTGTTCATTATACCCAACTTCGTGATAACCGAAGTTGAGCGTATAATTGTCATGATTGTTAGAAAGCACCTGAACATGTGCTATATTATTTACAAATAAACCAGAAACAGTCACCTTTATGATTTTGCGTTGCATGTGAAATTTATGTCAAGCATGTAAGAATTATTTACAATTTGTATTTTTGTAAATTAAACTGCTTTATCCAAAATGAGATCTTTCTTGTGCTGAAAATGAGAGAAATCTATGTGTTTTCCTTGATTTCCGTGGTAAGTTAAGAAAGGCATTTACATCTTTTGTGAGTATTGCTTAATGCTGCTTTTAGCAATATTCCAGCAATATCAGGGCGGCGGAAACTAGAAATTAGTGGTTCGTTGTGAGCGCAATCGATCACTTGATTGGCTGTATTATTTACAGGACGACGTCATATAGTGAGGCGTTAAAACCAGAAACAAAAACATCGCAATACTAGTTCCGTCCTCTGAGTACTCTATAAGAATTATCATATCCAAACTACAGAAAGGCAGGAAAGGTGAGCTAAATTGTTGCTGTTAATCGAGATATCATCTTGGAATACCAGAACATGCCATCTGAAAGTGTGTTTGTCAATCCGGGTGACCATGCCGAATGCGAAAAGTTCCATTCTACCCCATGTATGACTTAAGTGCAGCGTCGATCGTTGCTCATGCACGAAATGACTGCCTCGGTGCTTGTTGTATAAGGCAACTATGCTTGTTGTAAGAGGCGACTAACGGGAACAGGTGGTCAGGCTCGCTGACTTGGTTAGAAGCATGTCATCGATCCCAATTGCGTGGATCGATGCTCATGATGTCAATCACTGGATTGTCTGGTCCTGACGACTATTTCCAGACCGCCGTCATACAGCTGGACTATTGCTGAGTGTTGCGTAAAATAAACAAACCAACCAACCCGAGGCAGGTGAGTTAACTGGACTTTTATTGTCAGTTAAGTCACTTGCCTCGGGAAGATGTATCCCAGTTGCGTAGATCGATGCTCATGATGTCAATCACTGGATTGTCTGGTCCAGACTCGGTTATTTACAGACCGGCGTCATACAGCTTGAATATTGTTGACTCGTGTAACAACGTTCACACACTTAATTCCCTGAATTATGTATCAACTTACAGTGTTGACACTGAAAGCTTCCTCCACTCCAACATGCAGCTCCTTCTGAGTGACAGCGGGGGCAGTCGTCTTAGGCGCAGCGATTCGCTGTAAAGAGCTGCGTCCCTTGGGCACGCCAGAAACCTATGTTTGTGGGTTCGAATACCGGTTCGCCCCGATGATGTTTCTAGGTTTGTCAGCACCATACCCGTGCTCAAAGGTTTCACCAAAGTGGTAAACGTCTAAGACCTGCATCACTTCTGGCTTTCCTCCCACTTTCACTGACAAGCCGTGATATAACTGGAATACTGTTAAAAGCGGCGTTAAACCAAACTTACTCACTCACTCTTAGTGACAGCAGAACACACCAGGAATATTGTTGCATGATGGTACTTTCGGAATGCATCGACGTTGGCACATTGAACGCACCGTCTCAAAAACTCAAATATAGATTTGCTAGATAGAGGCCAACGGTTACCCGGAGATTGACCGTCTTTTATGTGCCAGCCTGACGACCGAGCTCTATCAGGTCACCAGATGACGCAGTTCTTTACTGATGAAGAGGCTCGCGGCTCTCTATGCTCAGCAGATGGTCGATTTCTGGATATATGCTCATCAGATGACGGAGTTCTGTATGCTCACCCTCATGACCTAGTTTTTTATGCCCGCCTGATGGTCGAGTCAGATGGGTCTGTCTCTCCCCCTCTCCCCCCTCTCACACACTCTCCCTCTCATGTTTTCTCTCTCTAATCTGATACCCTCTGCAGTGCCTTTCTTCTTTGTTGTGTTGTGTGGCATATATAGTGTTGTGGTGACCCTAATCATATCTTGAGTTTCCATACCGACCCACTGGTGGTCGTTCAACAGATCTGATCTTGTCACACCTACATATTTCCCCGAATACAATACTTCTGTACTTGTGAACACGCAATGGGGGGATATCAGGGGAAATGGGGGTTAACGTCGCGTCCAAGATCATTGCAATTTTATAGGTGAGGTGAGGTGAAATGGGGTTTAACGTCGCGTCCAAGATTATTGCACTTATATAGCGACGTGCATGCACGTGTGTGTGGCTGCCTGTACTAGTCCGGACTAATGCCAATTTTAAAGTGCTAGCCCACTAAGATACCATGCCGCAGTTTAACATGAATACCCCACTCAGACACGGTATACAAATACGTAATTGCATCAGTCATTGTTTTAGACCCTCAATGCCGAGTGTCAGGCAGGGTAACAACAAGTGCCATATTTTAACGTCTTTTGGTATGACGCGCCGGGGATCGAACCCCGGACCTTCCACTCTCTGGTCGGACGCTCTGCCACAAGGTCACGGAGGCGGGCGAACACGTAATGATACCCTCGTTACATGTGTTGCCAGCTTGGTGTACGGACACGGAACGTTCGTGCACACCAAGTAACATCACGTGCACCCACTTTGTGACACGTGTATATCAGATGGCGATGTTCCGTGATTGATTATTTGCAGACCTCGCCGCGAAGAACTGGATGATTACTGGTGCGGCGTTTAGCAATATTCACTCAGTCTCTCACTTACGGACCGCCATGGTATAACTGGGACTGCATTATTAAAACACAACCACACAATCAGACACGAACAACGTTGGCTCATAACACAATCATCTGATTCAAAATGAAAACAAAATACCGCCAAGGCATTTATTTATTTACAATAAACATCAATGATACGTCCCGGCATGTATGATGTAACTGCAGAGATGCCAGCCATTACTATTTTTACGAAAGAGGTAAGACTTGGAAGCTAAAATTACGCTAGTTCTTCGGTAAATAATGATTTTTGGTCATTTTTATTCACGAACTATTTGCAAGCATAAATTGCATCACGGATTGCAAATTGTCAATGAACTGTTGACACGAAGCACGCGAGACTATGCTGAAAGTCATGCTTTCAAATAGTGTTAAAATATCCATCACTCGGTGATACGAGGTTTCGGATTGGTTGCTATGTTAAAACACACTCAAGTCATTTTATCGATCGATCTTTAAGGGTACAGAGAGGGAACTGGTTGCATATACGCTGACATTACTTCGGAACACGAAACACCACGTTTTCTTGCTGAAACTACAGTTAATTTGTGTCACATGATACATTTTATAAACGTGTGGAGCTTAGACAACGGGTTTCACTTACGTCTAGGCTTACCGAAAATGTCGAAGCGAAAACCTGCATGTTGGTAAAATTGGAATTACTTTTTTTCAAATCAGATTACGCCTTTTTAACCAACTATGTACTCCAAAGCTTCGACCCATGGAGATCCGGGGTAGAATAGGTATACAGCAACCCATTCTTGTAATAGGCGACTATGCTTGTCGTAAGAGGCGACCAATGGGATTGGGTGGTCAGGCTGGTTGATGCATGTCATCGTATCCCAATTGCGTAGATCGATGCTCATGATGTCAAGCACTGGATTGAATGATCCAGACTCGATTATTTACAGACCGCCGACATATAGATGTTATATTGCTGAGTGCGGCGTTAAACAACAAACTAACAAACAAACAAACAAACAAACAAGCAAACAAGCAAACTCAAAAGCTTCATTTTAGGTTGGCATCTCTGCAACTATATATCACTGAGAGTCGTAACGTGAGAGTATATATTCTTGGTCATTGGCTGTCCCTGATCCCGTGTGTTATATCATAGGTTGTCCGCACTACAAATAGTACGATCTTATCAATTGTCTCACAGTGGTGGAAATATCGCCAAAGAAGCGTTTCTCTGTCATTTCAGCTGCCACAGTGCGCAAGACAGGAAGTGTAAGGAGCATCTTTCCAAATCTCGCGGGATTATGCTGATGAGCTTGTGTGACGTAGTGTGCAAGTGCAAGCTGTGCTTGATCCTGGAGAGTCTCCACTTTGGTTGGTTCAAACAGACGCTCTGACTGGTCTATAGACAGAAACAAACATTGAAAGAAAACGTGATTATAAATATTTATACGTTACACGCTACGTGAAAAAATATTTAAATGCGTTAACGCGTTCCGTTCCAAATGACATTAGGAGTGTTTGATCAACGATGAACCACCTCGAACTGGAACACAATCGATCACTGGATTGTCTGGTTATCTCCATTCTGCCATGACTAAAATGCGTTTTTGAACGGACTTGCCCACGTATTCAGGGCAGTGGTGTGGTCAAAAGTGGTTACCGCTCATTATCCACTTGCAATTTAGTAAAATTAACCAATCAAATTAGATCATCCTTCAATGCCATGTAAGGATAACTTATATGCCATGGTAGAGATTGAGGATAATACATTACGTCAGACGCTATCCGGAAACGATTTCAAATGCTTTGAAATAACAAGAATGACTATATAATGTCTCGCGTTCAATGGATATTACATTTTAAACTTTTCAGTTTAAATCTTGAATTGAAGGTTAAATGTCATCATGTGTTAAAATTTTGAAATGCACTTACCTTGCCGGAGAAGAACAATTGTTTCCAGGAACGGTAACTCTGTAGAGTCTGCATGAAGCGTCTGGCACGTGGTGATGACCTTCTGAACGCTGGCTAGGTCATCATCCCTGTCACTCTGGAATATAACAATGTCAAGTGCTAATCCCAGGGCAGATACATGGGGAGGGTCATGAATAAATAGAAATGGAAAGTTATTGGAAATCGTTGATAAAAAATAAAACAACTCGGGGAAGCAGTTGGGGAGAGCTGCAGTAACGGATGCAAGGTGACACACCTTTTGCGACTAGCGTGGATAAGCATATCGTCGTGAAACGGTTACAGAATAGCTTGCCAGCTACGGGGAATTGCAGATGTTCTGTCCCGAGTGAAGTAGGAGATATACATACAGTGGAATCTGTTAAAACCAGACTCTGGCTAATCCGGAGTTATGTCAATATCAACCATTATTATGGTTCTGAATTTATTACGATTAATGGTAATATTGTTATCAACCTTATCATTTTTTCCTTGTTTCGTAACCTGTAGCTATAATCTCACTATTCCGAAACACTGTCTAAACCGGACTATAGATTCAGTTCCACTAAAATCCGGTTTAGAAAGCTTCCACTGTTGTGTGTTTTCAAAGTAGAGTTAGAATACATGAAGATTTTATCGTGTTGAGTTTATTTTGGAAACAAAGAAGCAACCTGATGTTTCAAATGAAAAAAAATGACTTCGTGAACTGGCTTGTGTGAAGTAAAGCAGATTACATTCAGTGCGATTTACTCAACATTACTTCCCCTTTGACCATCCCTGATTTATGTTATTTGTTATTAAATGGACTGGTACTTACATCTTTGCCTGCGTTCTTCCTGGCCAGTCTGGAGATATCTATAGGCCAATACGCCGCCGCAAACAGGAACACCTCGCTCCACTTGCTCTCCAACAGAACTAGTTGGTCGTGCGGATGTAGCGATTTGAAAATGTGGTTGTAATGCGTCCGGCGGAGTGCCGTGGCTAGAATTTGTTGCGCCGTGGAATACAGCAGGCTGTTGGGATCGCTCATGATGTTGGAGCCTGGGGAAGAGGTGTTTACAATTTGTTAGACTGGTGGTATTTAATGCAATGGTTTGTTTACTTGTTGTTAAACGCCGCACACAATATTCCAGCTTTTCGACGGCGGTCAGTAAATAATCGAGTCCAGAAAATCCAGCGATTGCTATCATGAGCATCGATCTACGCAGTGGGGATACGATGACCTGCATCAACCAAGTCAGCGAGCCTGCCCACTCGATCCCGTTAAGTGCCTTTTACAGCAAGGATGGGTTGCTGAAGACATATTTTATCTCAAATCTGCACAGGTTCAATCGTAACAAAGCATTTTCAAGTGTTATACAGACTTTATGACCCGTGTCAAGGTGTCAACGTCATTGGATAAAATATTGGGGATGGTAGGGATGGAACGGTGTTGTCTCGTCCAAACATCTCCCCGAGGCAAAGGCGTTAACTGACTGTAAAAGTCCAGTTTCCAATCTTGCAGAACTAGGCTGGAATTTCCAGGCTAAATCGTAGCCCATCAGTGGCTATTGCGAGTTATGTCCCTTGTATGTCCTATTTATTGACCAATCAGATTCAATCTGTCATATCACTTGCATTTGCTTCAAACAAAAGGGCGGCGCCCAGTCAAGACGATCTGATCATAACAGAAATGCATATTGTTAAAAAACGGGTTTGCAAAAATATCTGTCGAAGCGCAGTTGACGGTACACATGCTTTGCAAATCCTACAGTCGACCGAAATCTGCACGTTGAAATGCATGTCGTTTACGAATCGGATGTCCGGTTCGATACGCGATTTTGATTTAAATATGCATGGACTCGTTATTCCAGCCAAAATGTAACTCCGGAATTCCCGTCTAGTTCGGCAAGGGTGGAAACTGGACTTTTATAGTCAGTTAACACCCTTGCATCGGGAAGATGGCCTGAAAACAGGGTTCGTGTTGTCAAATGGGTACAAAATGAGAAGCCCATTCCTGATGTTCATGTCGTGATTTGACTTGAATTGTGTGAGAAGCGGCGTAAAATCATACTCATTCACTCTCATGTCATTATTTACTCCACGTGACATGTGATTCGAAGTGAACCCACTCATTTTTACACGATTTTGTGTGTCAGGATCGGGATTTTCATCCTTGGTCTGTCTGCAGCAAATATTCTGTGTCATGTTTCACCGAACTGGTGAACATATCCGATGTGGGCTTCACCCCTACGTTACGCATTTGTCAAAACAGTCTCATTAAAATAAAATATCTCCGATATAACATCCCCCTGTGTTTGTTTGTTTGTTGTTTAACGCCACACTCAGAACAAATTCAGCTGTATGACGGCGGTCTGTAAATAATCGAGTCTGGATCAGACAATCCAGTGATTAACATCATGAGCATCTATCCACGCCTTTGGGATTCGATGACATGCATCAAGCAAGTCAGCGAGCCTGACCACCCGATCCCGTTAGTCGCATCTTACGACAAGCATAGTTGCCTTTTACGGCAAGCATGGGCTGCTGAAGACCTATTCTACCCCGGATCTTCACGGGTCGTAAGCTCTGAGAGCCAACACAATAAGTTGATACATAATTCTAAAAAAGTAAGTGTGAAAATGTTGTTTCACGAGTCAACAATATTCAAGCTGTATGATAGTGGTCTGTAATAAACGAGTCTGGACCAGACAAACCAGTGATTGACATCATGAGCATCGATCTACGCAACTGGGATACGATGACATGCATCAATCAAGTCAGCGAGCCTGACCACCGTTAGTCGCCTCTCAGGACAAGCATGGGTTGCTGAAGAAACTTTGTTATCGACCAGTCAGCGTCTCGGATTCCAAATCCTCAGGACGATTGAGCGAAGCATTCAGATAAGCATATTCAATTTCTCATTCGTGACCAACTCGTGTTATAACGGGACAAGCCGAATAGCGGCTCGTGCCCCTCTCATGGCCATTTTTGCGACCGGGTTCCGTCTTAGCGCAAACGGGCATACCTAAAACAGTTGTCAACTCGTTGCGTAATGGTTCATATATCTCTCCCCATATATTATAAATATATATTTCAGATGCAATTTAAAGCACATCGGGACGTGCGAATTTAAACAGTATGATTGAACACATTTAACTGTGTCTTGGGTATATTTTTAGATGCAAGACATATGTAAAATCAAAAATTATTTCTGAGGGATTCTTTGACGGAGAACTTGAAATCATACGCGCATTCTGATTGGTTTGTCGTATTTTCGTACATAACATTCATCAATAGGGGTCTTCTTGCAGGTTACGGAAAGGGGCGAGTGGTGACGAATGTCAATTTCTGTGTCGAATCTGTAATCGGGGAGTTCCGGATGCATAAAGGAACAAGGCCGCGCGATTATATTGTTGTGGATATTTTATACATTAGGTCGTTTCTGAGCGCCATGGAATACCTAAAATGATTACTGTGCAAGGTATATTTGAGTTCTGTTGCGGTTTGCTTAAGCTTAGATCGAAATTTCCGAATCGAAGTGGTAAAGAAATGAAACCGAAGCGTTTGAGAGAGCTGACATTTGATTGGCCTAAGAACCCACGCATTCTTTATGTAGATTGGGAGGTCAAAGGTCGCTCAGGGTTTACAGATGATAGCTTTTGTGGAGGTGTCCTCGTTTCTTCACACAGACAGGCATCGTATCGGAGTAAAAGATTTGAGTTTTATAAGACTGTGACCAAAGCAGCATTAAAGACTAGGGTCGTCCTGTTGATAGTCCCAGCAAGTGATGTCTACCATCCTGCCTCAATTCTTGTCTTGGTTCTAATTCTAGACTCCCTCTGGCTTGTTTATCCTTGATCGTGGGTTTTACCAAATTGAAAACGTCTGAACCCTGCATTGCTGCCGGCTCTCCAAACACTAATCAGAGGCGCCATGATATAACTCAAATATTGTATACAGCGGCGTTAAACTCAACTCCACTCACTCACACAATCATAACGTATGTACCTTCACTGAATATAGGTATACAGGGCGTATGTACACGTGCTATACCGTTCATTTGGGTTCCGGGAATTACGTATATCGTACACATCAGGCTACATTACCGCTCTCACCTTCAATTCGCTTCATGACCTCTGACCCCTCAGCCGCCCCCGACATCCAATAGGGAATCGCATAGGGTGTCGGCCATGTTGGAATCGAACCACGTGGTACAACGGGTTTAAAAGCACTGAAGTAGGAGCTCCACGCGAGACGTTGAACGTTGCCGCCTAGCAACGATTTGGCGTCGAGTGGTTCCCCTTGGTGCATATATGATGACGTAGATGTTACTATAGCAACCGTGCGGCGAGATGGGGTAGAAGTTGGATTCTTTCGACAGCCTTTGTTCTTTCTTGGCCCTCGTTCCTCCTGGACCGCTGTAACAGAATTTTGATTTGAATCGTGGGTTGTGTGAGTTGACAAGCACGGATTTGACCAGTAATTGACAGTATTGGCATGAAGCGAATTGTTGTAGATACTGGTTTGAAAATTTGTTAAAAAAATGTGTTCATATGCTATCAACTGTGCTATTGTTAAAATGAGAGAGTGAGGTTTAACGCCGCTTTTTAACAGTATTCCAGTTATATCGCGGCGTGTCAGCTTAATGTGGGAGGAGAGCCCGAAGTGATGCAGGTCTTAGACGTTTACCACTTCGGTGAAACCCACGAGCACGGGTATGGTGCTGACAAACCTAGAAACATAATCGGGGCGAACCGGGATTCGAACCCACATTCATAGATTTCTGGCGTGCCCAAGGGACGCAACTCTTTACAGCGAATCGCGGCGCCTTAAACGACTGGGCCACCCGTGTCTTGTAAGCCAAAATGGTTGGGTGCTTAAATAGTGACACATAAATAAACTATTCTTCTTCATTTTGTTCATTTTCAACATGCTGTGTATGACTTCCTAAACTGCCAACATATGTAATTTGTGAATTCTGGTGGGACGATAAATTAATATCTTAGTTAGTAAACATTAAATATATTATCTTCACTCACGCAGACAAACAAGCATGGAATTCTCCGTTCGTTTTCGATAATTGGGTTTGCATAAAAGAGGCGATTAATAAAATACGAAACGAGCCTATGTGTAATACCATGTTTTATGAACCTAGCGAAACCAAACCAAACCAAACTGTTCACTCGTTTCCTAGAAATGGTACGGCACGGGGGATCGTTTAGTATTCTATGTACGAAATGAGCGATACTGTTGTTCTCTCATCTATTTTAATCATTCACAATATATCTCATTCAATATCTTGAAGTTGCCAATGAAAGCATGAACTCAATTACTGTGCAAATGTAAGAGTTCATTTGGTATGAGTATAAGTATGAAGTTTGTTTTTTTATCTTCAAATACTACGATGTGCTCACTGATACCGTCATTATGTTGACGGCCTGATTGTTAACAACCATGAGTTGCGATATGTTATATGATTGCTTTGTATAACATCGGGTCATGCATGCTGTTCACTTTCATTGGTACTGGATTCTTCTTTGCGCAATAACCAGAGTATCTCACTGACTGAGTATTTGTTTTAAATTTACGCAAGTTTTGTGCCTTGTGGAATTGTAGATGAAGAAACACAAAACAACAATTTGCATTTACATAAGTAAAGAAAATATCAATTAAATCTGAATACGTCAATGTGTCAATTTCTTGTCCTAAAATAACAGGTATTAGTAATACTATTCATATTCCACTTATTAATAATTTGTATTTGTAACATTTTTATTAATTTTCTTGCGTCTGTTGTACAGTTCATTTACAGTCGTAGTTTGTTGACTTTGCAAACGATATTAGGCTGAGCCCCCAGAATTTCTTTAAACATTTGGTTGCATTTTAAGCAAATTCGTGCCTTTTGGACAATATTCATACCAACAAAAGTTATAAGTCAGTGGCAAAAGTCAATAAGTCCAATGAACAAAGACGGCGGATGCAGTACAATTTCGAAGTTAAATCAGTACTTTTTATAAAAATAGGGAATAGATTCAGCGCAACTTAAGGTCCGACGATAATAGTATTGTGTTATGAATAATAATAAAGGCATGTTTGATGCTGAAAGATCTGATCGAAAACAAAACAACCCGCGACGGTTGTCCGGAAACGCCATATTTTTCGGAGTACATTTTTTTAAATCTTTGATTATATTTTTACGCGGAAGATGATTTTTTCCGAGGACTACTGTTAAAAAAACCGCGATTTTCCGCGCTTCCGCGGAGCTTTCACATTATAACAATGTACACCGTACAATTAAACCGACAGCTCAGCACAAACCAAATTCAACACTTTTAAGTAATAATAGTATAGCTTTCATCCTCTGTGTAATCCACTCTGTTTGCTAATCTGCTATGCGCACGAGAGCATGTTACAAATCACATCGCGGCATCCCGTGCAAACCAATCCCAAGCTCAGCACAAATCGATTTCAACACTTGCAAGTGATTATAATACAGAAGTCAACGCCAATGCAATCACCCCGGACTGCTAGTCCGCTCTGTGCATTTGACCATAAAGTCTACCCACCTACTATGCACCGCGCCAGGAAAAGAACCAGATGCCCTAATCGCTTGCCCGCCAATATCATTGCAAGGAGAGTACGTACTCCCACTGACAGTGCGTACTCCCGCTGATAATACTGATCGGCATTTTGCACATACAAAACAATTATAGAACAATACATAGCAATTATCACCCTTTACCAACATATACAAAGAAACACAGTGCTCAACTTAAAACACTTCATTTTGTACATATATAATAATTATACACGAATACATAGCAATTATCTCCCTTAACCAATATATACAAAGAAAACAATTTTGGATACATCCTATATACAAAATTGTATATCTTTGGATATGTCATATTTACAAACTTGTATATTTTTGGAAAATCTCATCAATCCAAACTTGTTTAGGCTTTGGCTATATCATCTTTCCAAAGCATATACAAGCAGTGTCGAACTGGTGGCCCAGTGACTGAGGCTCAACAATACGCTTTATGTCGCTTCAGGCGTGTGAAATCTAGGATGCTCGAATCCCACGTCCTGAATGCTATGAGAGTGTGACTCTAGAACTGACCACCACGAGAAGGACACAGGGCGTAAAGTGTGTGACTCCGGAACTGACCACACCCTGATCACGTGCACGGGGCGTAAAGGATCTGACTCTAGGACTGACCACACCCTGATCATGTACACAGGACGTAACGGATGTGACTCTAGGACCGACCACAGCCTGATCATGTACACAGGACGTAACGGATGTGACTCTAGGACTGACCACACCCTGATCATGTACACAGGACGTAACGGATGTGACTCTAGGACTGACCACACCCTGATCATGTACACAGGACGTAACGGATGTGACTCTAGGACCGACCACACCCTGATCATGTACACAGGACGTAACGGATGTGACTCTAGGACCGACCACACCCTGATCATGTACACAGGACGTAAAGGATCTGACTCTAGGACCGACCACACCCTGATCATGTACACAGGACGTAACGGATGTGACTCTAGGACCGATTACCACCATGAGAGGGACACAGGGCGTAAAGGATATGACTCCGGAACTGATAACCACCATGAGAGGGACACAGGGCGTAAAGGATGTGACTACGGGACTGATAACCACCATGAGAGGGACACAGGGCGTAAAGGATGTGACTCCGGAACTGATAACCACCATGAGAGGGAAACAGGGCGTAAAGGATATGACTCCGGAACTGATAACCACCATGAGAGGGACACAGGGCGTAAAGGATGTGACTCCGGAACTGATAACCACCATGAGAGGGACACAGGGCGTAAAGGATATGACTCCGGAACTGATAACCACCATGAGAGGGACACAGGGCGTAAAGGATATGACTCCGGAACTGATAACCACCATGAGAGGGACACAGGGCGTAAAGGATGTGACTCCGGAACTGATAACCACCATGAGAGGGACACAGGGCGTAAAGGATGTGACTCCGGAGCTGATAACCACCATGAGAGGGACACAGGGCGTAAAGGATGTGACTCCGGAACTGATAACCACCATGAGAGGGACACAGGGCGTAAAGGATGTGACAACGGGACTGATAACCACCATGAGAGGGACACAGGGCGTAAAGGATGTGACTCCGGAACTGATAACCACCATGAGAGGGACACAGGGCGTAAAGGATGTGACAACGGGACTGATAACCACCATGAGAGGGACACAGGGCGTAAAGGATGTGACAACGGAACTGATAACCACCATGAGAGGGACACAGGGCGTAAAGGATATGACTCCGGAACTGATAACCACCATGAGAGGGACACAGGGCGTAAAGGATGTGACTACGGGACTGATAACCACCATGAGAGGGACACAGGGCGTAAAGGATGTGACTCCGGAACTGATAACCACCATGAGAGGGAAACAGGGCGTAAAGGATATGACTCCGGAACTGATAGCCACCATGAGAGGGACACAGGGCGTAAAGGATGTGACTCCGGAACTGATAACCACCATGAGAGGGACACAGGGCGTAAAGGATATGACTCCGGAACTGATAACCACCATGAGAGGGACACAGGGCGTAAAGGATATGACTCCGGAACTGATAACCACCATGAGAGGGACACAGGGCGTAAAGGATGTGACTCCGGAACTGATAACCACCATGAGAGGGACACAGGGCGTAAAGGATGTGACTCCGGAGCTGATAACCACCATGAGAGGGACACAGGGCGTAAAGGATGTGACTCCGGAACTGATAACCACCATGAGAGGGACACAGGGCGTAAAGGATGTGACAACGGGACTGATAACCACCATGAGAGGGACACAGGGCGTAAAGGATGTGACTCCGGAACTGATAACCACCATGAGAGGGACACAGGGCGTAAAGGATGTGACAACGGGACTGATAACCACCATGAGAGGGACACAGGGCGTAAAGGATGTGACAACGGAACTGATAACCACCATGAGAGGGACACAGGGCGTAAAGGATATGACTCCGGAACTGATAACCACCATGAGAGGGACACAGGGCGTAAAGGATGTGACTACGGGACTGATAACCACCATGAGAGGGACACAGGGCGTAAAGGATGTGACTCTGGAACTGATAACCACCATGAGAGGGAAACAGGGCGTAAAGGATATGACTCCGGAACTGATAGCCACCATGAGAGGGACACAGGGCGTAAAGGATGTGACTCCGGAACTGATAACCACCATGAGAGGGACACAGGGCGTAAAGGATATGACTCCGGAACTGATAACCACCATGAGAGGGACACAGGGCGTAAAGGATATGACTCCGGAACTGATAACCACCATGAGAGGGACACAGGGCGTAAAGGATGTGACTCCGGAACTGATAACCACCATGAGAGGGACACAGGGGGTAAAGGATGTGACTCCGGAGCTGATAACCACCATGAGAGGGACACAGGGCGTAAAGGATGTGACTCCGGAACTGATAACCACCATGAGAGGGACACAGGGCGTAAAGGATGTGACAACGGGACTGATAACCACCATGAGAGGGACACAGGGCGTAAAGGATGTGACTCCGGAACTGATAACCACCATGAGAGGGACACAGGGCGTAAAGGATGTGACAACGGGACTGATAACCACCATGAGAGGGACACAGGGCGTAAAGGATGTGACAACGGAACTGATAACCACCATGAGAGGGACACAGGGCGTAAAGGATGTGACTCCGGAACTGATAACCACCATGAGAGGGACACAGGGCATAAAGGATGTGACTACGGGACTGATAACCACCATGAGAGGGACACAGGACGTAAAGGATGTGACTACGGGAACGATAACCACCATGAGAGGGACACGGGGCGTAAAGGATGTGACTCCGGAACTGACCACACCCTGATCATGTACAAAAGACGTAAAGGATGTGACTCCGGAACTGATAACCACCATGAGAGGGAAACAGGGCGTAAAGGATGTGACTCCGGAACTGATAACCACCATGAGAGGGACACAGGGCGTAAAGGATGTGACTCTAGAACTGATAACCACCATGAGAGGGACACAGGGCGTAAAGGATGTGACTCCGGAACTGATAACCACCATGAGAGGGACACAGGGCGTAAAGGATGTGACTCCGGAACTGATAACCACCATGAGAGGGACACAGGGCGTAAAGGATGTGATTACGGGACTGATAACCACCATGAGAGGGACACAGGGCGTAAAGGATGTGACTACGGGACTGATAACCACCATGAGAGGGACACAGGGCGTAAAGGATGTGACTCCGGAACTGACCACACCCTGATCATGTACACAAGACAAAACGGATGTGACCCCGGAACTGATAACCACCAGGAGAGGGACACAGGGCGTAAAGGTTGTGACTCTAGAACTGACCAGATTCCCAGCCCCCGAGAGGGACACAAGACTTACAGGACGTAAAGGATGTGACTCTAGGACTGAAGACAACCCTGACAGGGCACAAGGCGTAAAGGATGTGACAATAGGAGCGAAGACAACTCCGAGAGGGACACGGAACATAAAGGATGTGACAATAGGAGCGAACACAACTCCGAGAGGACCACAGAACATAAAGGATGTGACAAAAGGAGCGAACACAACTCCGAGAGGGACACGGAACGTAAAGGATGTGACGATAGGACTCACCATTCTTATTCATGTTGACGGCAAAGCATTTCTGTAGGCGGCAGTATGGGCACCAGTTCCGCCGTGCCTTGTCGATCACACAGCCGCCTTTACCTGTCGGCAGAATCACGAGCTGTCAGCACACATGACCACACAAACACAGAGGGCAATAGTTCGACGTTTATGGATACTGAATATTGCTAATGGAACAAAAGGTTATGAGTGTGGCTTTATGACGAGTTTGACTGGTTTGAGGATAGTCTCCCCTGTACACGTAAGGCTCCGCGTAAGGAGATATATTCATGTTTACATGTATACACTAAATAACTTGCCGATACATAGAGATTATGATGTGAGCCTGTGTTTGTTACTGATTTTACGAAACGAGCGTCACAACTCGTGTATTTCTCGAGCGAGAGCGAGGGTAATACATGAATTCTTAGACGAGTTTCGTAACCATTTATACCGACGAACCAACATATATACTGAAAAATGAATCTATAAACTGACTTTTGAAATATGAACTTACCTTCACAAGTATATATTATTCCATATAGCTGTGCAAGTATAAACTGACCTACTGTATAAACTGAATAACATTATATCTGATGCAATTTCCTATTTCGACTTATTTGAACAGTTGACATGTTTTTGGATGTCTTTGAGAATGATGCCGACATTGGGGCGGGATAGGCACGCCTTGTCTCAAACACCTTGTATCATAATTATTAGTGATTCATTAATAGAGTTGGAATCGTACAATGTTCTGTGCTTTTAGCAGAGAATCTGAGGCACGGTTTGGTCGCTTTTATTTCACCAGTAAACACTAACATGAATAAGCAGAAGCCGAAAAACACAAGTATAAACAGACCCAAACACGTATAAACTGACCTATGCATGTATAAACTGACCTTCACAAGTATCAACTGACCTAAACAAGAATAAACTGACCTATGCAGTTATAAACTGACCCACACAAGTATCAACTGACCTAAACAAGTATATTCTGACCCACACAAGTATCAATGACCTAAACAAGTAAAAACTGAACAAAAACAAGTATCAACTGACCTACACATGTATAAACTGACCTATGCAGGTATAAACTGACCCACACAAGTATCAACTGACCTAAACAAGTATAATCTGACCCACATAAGTATCAATGACCTAAACAAGTAAAAACTGAACAAAAACAAATATCAACCGATCTATACAAGTATCAACTGACCTACACATGTATAAACTGACATATGCAGGTATAAACTGACCTATGCAGGTATAAACGGACCTATGCAGGTATAAACGGACCTACGCAGGTATAAACGGACCTATGCAGGTATAAACGGACCTACGCAGGTATAAACTGACCTATGCAGGTATAAATAAACTGACCTACGCAGGTATAAACTGACCTATGCAGGTGTAGGAGATCCTCTTCCTGATGCTCCTCTTGAAGAAGCAGCTGCAGCCGTCGCAGCAGTAGACGCCGTAGTGTTTGCCGTAGCTCTTGTCGCCGCACACCTCGCACGCCACCGGCACCGGCAGAGTCCGACCTGAATATATGTATAAAGTGATGTATTAAGTTTGTAATACAATATACATAAATATATTCCACAATGAAATAAGCACGGAGACCCTATTACATACCAGGTACATTTAAGCGAGCTGAATGATATGAGTAGTGGACTCGCCAGCTGTTGTGAAACGAGAGTGTAGATGTTTAGTAGTTGCTATTCATTATAGGTCAAAAAGTTTGGTTTAACGTCGCTGTGAACGGTATTCCAGTTATATCATGGCGTGTCAGCTTAATTTCGGAGGAAAGTTCCCGGTGGTGCACGTCTGGGACCCACAATCTTATATGTTTCCTGTGCGCCCAAGGGACGCACGGCGAACTGCAGCGACTTTGACGACTGGGCCAACCATGCCCCTGACAAAGAACATTGTGATAAACATTCATGAAAATATCACCACATTTGATATCGCAGTTTCTAGGATATGAGGCATGCTATTTTAACATCGGCAACAATGACCAAACAAGTGTAACCATTATCTTCTACACCGCCTGACCACTGTCATATTCTTCGTTAAATTTTCTTTCAATTTCCATGGAAAAAAATCTTAACTGTTAATCCCAATACTATTATTAAAGGACGAGCTGGGGGTTAAGGGCCTTATTTGGCCCAAAAGACCCACACTATTTAAGAATTGAGCGAAACCTTTAGCAATTGGCTTGAACGTTATCAGTTGTGCTCATACGAGTTAAAACCGGACTTTGTTCATTTCACCGTTTGGATGTCTGGGAGTTATGACAACACAAAATGCATAGATAAGGATAAGAATTGTAGAGGTTTTCAGAAAACGTTTTCGTATAATTTGAACATGATAAAGTCCATCTTCCCGAGGCAAAGGAGTTTACTGACTCTAGAACTGACCTTTTATAGCCAGTTAACTCCTTTGCCTCGGGAAGATGGATCAAGTCTTTCCCCAAGCTGATTTTCATTGGAGGTATAAATATAACAGTACAGATATATAATATAAACAGTAGAGATATATAATATAAACAGTACAGATATATAATATAAACAATACAGATATATAATATAAACAGTATAGATATATGATATAAACAGTATAGATATATAATATAAACAGTATAGATATATGATACAGTAGTATAGGTAATGGGGAAGAAACAAGAGGTCAGGCTGGTGAACTTCATTCGTTGTAAAAATATCAAACTTCTTCCTCGGTATATAACGCGATGCCGGTAAGTATATTTGCCACATCGCTTGTTTCTTATGCCAATTCTTGGCCACATCTTTAAAAACCTTAGCCGCAGTGGCTAATTTTTTTATTGCTCCTTTACCTTTCCAATATCCTCGTGGGCTATAGTAAATTTTATCCATTATTAATTAATATTGATGATTCTTTTAAAACGAATTATGACGATCGTGGAATCGCATCATCGTTTTTACATTAAAAAAATCCCTCTGTAGTAGTGGTATAGGTCTATAAATCTGGCTCCAGTGGGGTTGCTGCAGAACCCCCATTACCTATACTACTGATACAAACTGTACAGCTATATAATACAAGAGAACAGCTGATTATACAAAACGCTTGTTTGGCCATGGACTTTCTCATCCTTCCGCACCAGTGGAAGCAACCACACATACTTATGAGTGCACCGCGACGTCCAACCCTATTCCACCTCACCCCACTTCATACATTAGTTCTCATCTTAGGCTTCAGCATCATTCCCTGGCACGAGGTCGCGTTCAAAATTATTTCACTTATGTATTGCTGGGAATTTGCTTCAGTCTCTGTTTCTCTTTCAAGATATACAATCATCTTTCTTGAAATACACCCATTGAACACGTTTCTTAAAATCATCTATGATATCCGCGTCATATAAATCACTATCGAATAACCATTTCGTGTGTACTGTAAATCGAGAAGGTTTTGCGGGCAGCAAAGTACTGCCTAAACTGCGAGCGACAACGCAATAGTTTCATGACAGTTAATTTTGCAAACCAACAAACAAAAGACGCAAAGGGGCATATTTCTTGAATTCACTTCAACACGTCGTCAAACCAGCCAGTACGTGGATGAATTAATAATCCCTCACATCCTGTGTTTCACTAATTACACATTGTCACCCAGTGTCAAGTCTTACTAGTCATCGTTCTTTGAATAGATCTTTTTCAGCCACCTTTAATAAACATAGGTGTATACATTCTTTTGCCCGGCAGTTTATACGGTTGTCATCGGCGATAATAACAAAACTGTCGCAAAGATATAACACACTGCGCAATATTCAAACTCACAAACACGCACGCACGCACACATTCTGATGCTAAATCATAATTTCCATTTTAAAAAGTGTATTATTGACATTTCTTTGCCGAATGGTGTGTGCCCCGGTGGTAATGTCTACATAGTGACGTGCAGAGCGCCAGGCGGGGGAAAAACAGATACCGTGTAGTACCCCTCATGATATAACGCGGCCGGGATCGAGCCACTGATCTCCCGTCCTTCAGGCAGACATTCTGTACAGGATCACTGCGGGGGTCCCTGAGTTTACAAACATTGTAATTACATGTTTGGTGTCACACGCATCTACCTTTAATTACATCAACCGCCCATGCACCTGCATGAACAGTTCTGAAAATATTTCCCGTTTTTGGGATGTGGCTTGTTATTTTCAACCCCGTCAAATACTGGGTTTGTATTGCATATGTGGGAAAAGTGTGTGTTTGTTTCTTGTTTAACGCCACACGCAGTAGTATGTCAGTGACGGGACGGCGGCTGTACGATCGAGTCTCAGATAAAACACTGTTTGATTTCACCTGGAACGTCTCACGCCGCCGGGAACGATGACACTCATCAAAAGTCATTGAGTCTGACCACCCGATTCATTTATTCACCTCGTATGTGAGTGAGTGAGTTAGTTGGGTTTAACGCCGCTTTTTACAGTATTCCAGTAATATCCCGAATGCAGGTCTTAGACGTTAACCACTTCGGTGAAAACCACGAGCACGGGTATGGTGCCGACAAACCTGGAAACATAATCGGGGCGAACCGGGATTCGATCCCACAATCATAGGTTTCTGGCGTGTCCAAGGGACACAACTCTGCACAGCGAATCGCAGCGCCTTAGACGATTGGGCCACCCGTGCCCCCTCGCCTCTGACGACCAGGAGAGGATGCGGGGGATCTATTCTATCCCGCATGTCGCGCGTTTCCATGCCATGGAAAAGTATGACATTAATATTGGCAATGTGTAATAAATTATAATGTATTTTCTAGTGTGGACTTTTTGTAAATTATCATAAGCTGATATGTGCAATACCAGGTGAATAATTTCAACAGATACACATTGAGTTTGGCATTGTTCAGCAAAACATCTGGGAAATCCTTGTCATGAGAAAGTCGTGCCCGGTCAAGTCTACTTCTGCGTTGGACACAAACAATTCAGACATATAGTTTCTGCTCGACATATTTTCGCAATTTATTTTGGCATATTTGATAGTTTTTCTCACAGTTACTAAGCTTTGAAAAAACAAACCTCCTGGGTTTAAGCTTGGAATTGTACACCCCGTGCGGAGGAATGCATATGAGGCAACAATTTTATTTTATGGTGTACATTTATATAATTTGAAATGATTTTGTTAAGTGCAAAGGTCGGCTTATATGGTAGATAAATCCATACATTTCAGGTTTACCGCGATTTAAAATCCGCACCCCGCGGCAACGCGTTTGGGTGTAAGTTGAATGAGTTGAGTTTAACGCAGCTATGAACAGTATTCCAGTTATATCACTTGTGTCAGCTTGATGTGAGAGGAAGGCCCGAAGTGATGCAGATCTCAGACGTGAACAACTTTGCAGGAAACTAACTACAACATGCAGTTTATTATTCGGGATATTAATAATTCCACGTGATTTACTTGTAAATGGTATTGTCAGTGTTTAAAAAAAAACCTTAGATAAATTGTCACTCATCAGATATCAGTGTCGCAAATGGGAAAAATTGTAAAGACGATGTGCGGGCATGGATACTGGATCTGTTTTCTATACGATTTGGTAGACGGTCACAAACGTGTTTGCAAACAGATGTTGCAACGTTCAGCAACAGCAACACCACCAGCACCACCATCATCATCATCATCATCATCATCATCATCATCATCATCACGTGTACAACTGACCCTCTCTAAACCGACACCTCTCTCAGTAATGCACACTCTGCAATCAGGCATCGGGGAAATAGGAAATCTAACGTAAGGCAATATGAGCTCATGTATACCCACATTTCCAGGATATACACAAAGACAGCGACATTAAGTTCAGATTGTACGACAATACCGTCTTTATAACCGAGTGACATCCTGTAACGGAGTCCCGCAAACGTACACTTACGGGCAGCCGTGAAGCTTTTGTTTAAGGATACAAAGATGCTAAATTTGTATTAATTATTCGTATTTCGTTCACACTAATGTCCCACATTTGCAACACGTGAAAATATATCGTAATTACACTGTACATGGAGTACATTAGCAGCAAGATAAAATATATCGTGACTACGTTTCGCTTGGAGTATATCTGTATTAATTAAAACATATAATTATATTATTTACATTGTACATGGAGTACATCTGTAACAATTATATATAATATAGTGTGTTTACATCGTACATGGAGTACATCTGTAACACTTATATATAATATAGTGTGTTAACATCGTACATGGAGTACATCTGTAACAATTATATATAATATAGTGTGTTTACATCGTACATGGAGTACATCTGTAACACTTATATATAATATAGTGTGTTTACATCGTACATGGAGTACATCTGTAACAATTATATATAATATAGTGTGTTTACATCGTACATGGAGTATATCTGTAACAATTATATATAATATAGTGTGTTTACATTGTACATGGAGTACATCTGTAACAATTATATATAATATAGTGTGTTTACATCGTACATGGAGTACATCTGTAACAATTATATATAATATAGTGTGTTTACATCGTACATGG